TATTGAAATCCTAATTATAAGATTACTATTAATATTAATTTTAGATTTTTCTATGTTTATACTAAAAATTACTCTCAAATATATTTTTTAAATATATTTTTTTATGGATGAATATTTATATGGTTTAGCTTTTAAGAAATTTATAATAATCATTTGGGCTTTCTTTTATTTGAGTAAAGCAGCCAAAAAAAAAAATTAGACAGCTTTTTTCAAAAAACACTAATAATCTAAATTATCATAGATTCTTGGTAAAAGCCTATATAATATTTATAAATTTCCTTTTGCCTTCTTAAATCCAAGACTCTTTTTATTTAAAGCAAAAGACTCTTAATTTCTATGAAGTAGCTTTTCTCTATATATATATAATAGTTGCTGTTCCCGTAATAAGAAATAAATAATTTAACTATTAATAACTTTTATTTATATATTCAAAAAAATTTAAAATCTAATAATGCGTCATATTTATATATTGAAAATATTATCCTATTATTTTATTTTTTGATGTGAGGAAATGCAGATAAGATGATTATAATTTAATTAGAAATGAAGTATAAAAGACTATTAATAAAATCATATAATATTCTCCATTTAAGATCTAACAGATTTAATATATAAAGGATTATCTAATTATTTTCTATTAGCTGATAATTATCTTTTTATTGGTTACTATTATTATTTTAAGTGTTAGATTTTCATTGATTTGCTATCAGTATTTTCAAAATGTTTTTAACTTAATTATTTAGGTCGAGCTGGGAAATGTTTTCCAATAGGAGGTAATTTATGATTTTAAATATTTTATTCATCTTCTTTTTAAATAATCCATTTTTTAGTTTCAGTCATATGGAAATTCTTTTCTTCCTAAGTGAGATTATTATACAATCCAATATATTAAGGTTAATTATCAATAGGACATAAATAATAATGTTCTTTCATTTTATTAATACATATTTCATCGGCAATATGACCACATGATAATAATCTAAGTTATTTTTACTTATAACAAAAGGAACATTTACTTTATTTCTAGAATCCAGTACCAACTAACATCAAACCTCCTGTTTCATGATTACCAGCATTTAAATTTTCAGGAAATAAATACATTAATGAATCTATTGTAACATTTACCTCAAATTAATATTTTTCTAATCTTGAATGCTTAAACATAAAGATATGTTATTAATGAGTCTTTTTATTATGACATTTATCACATAAATGATAATTTGAACATGATATACATGTATATATTGTACCAATTATAGGTGTAATTTTACAATAACTACATATTTTATTGTGAGTTTTATGTAGATTTTCAAATATTTTCTCCTCTTATCTTATTTCAACTAATGCAGTATCACCCCAATCAACTCTACACATTGGACAATTAATCTTTTTACCAGCAGTTTATTTCTACATCACCCACACTTTCATACACTTAGCATGAAAATTATTTCCGCATTATTTTTTACAATGTACTAATGCTTCATTACAAACTAAACTCTCTTAACAAATTGGACACATATCATCCTCTGTTATTTATTATCGATTTTATTATTAATCTTCAGATGTATTATTATTTTACTATACTTATTACTACTATTATTATCTTATTACACTTATTTATTGTCTTGTTTTAGTTTATTATGATTATGTTTTATATTGTCCATTTAAAATATTTGTAATATCATATTGAGAATATTATTGTTACCAAAGAATTGGACATTTTTCATCTACTTAAAACACTTTTAGTAATGCATGAATTGTGTGGATGCAATGTGAGTTATTTTAATTACACGAACAAATCATATTTGTTGACAGTTCTACTTTAAATTTATTTCCATCTTCATCACAATACTTTAAACTAGTTGGTCCTATTCTCTTTAACAAATATAATCTCGTTTACTTAGCTTACTCTATTAAATCTAAAATTATCTGAGGAGCACTATAAATCTTTTAATTATTTACTTTTTAGATGTTTTCGCTTTTGTTTGACTTTTCATTTTATTTTAAATATATATTTAATCAAATTCAATTATTTTTATTTAGATAACTGATTTATATTTATTATTCTTTTATATTTATGAAAACTAATCCTTTAAAAAAGAACTATTATTCTTATTTAATAAAATATATGTTTCAAAGGATGATATTTTTAAAAAAATTTAATATGAATTTAATAGATGATATTTTTGAGTTGACAGTGGATATTCTTTAGAAGTAANGTTATTTTTACTTATAACAAAAGGAACATTTACTTTATTTCTAGAATCCAGTACCAACTAACATCAAACCTCCTGTTTCATGATTACCAGCATTTAAATTTTCAGGAAATAAATACATTAATGAATCTATTGTAACATTTACCTCAAATTAATATTTTTCTAATCTTGAATGCTTAAACATAAAGATATGTTATTAATGAGTCTTTTTATTATGACATTTATCACATAAATGATAATTTGAACATGATATACATGTATATATTGTACCAATTATAGGTGTAATTTTACAATAACTACATATTTTATTGTGAGTTTTATGTAGATTTTCAAATATTTTCTCCTCTTATCTTATTTCAACTAATGCAGTATCACCCCAATCAACTCTACACATTGGACAATTAATCTTTTTACCAGCAGTTTATTTCTACATCACCCACACTTTCATACACTTAGCATGAAAATTATTTCCGCATTATTTTTTACAATGTACTAATGCTTCATTACAAACTAAACTCTCTTAACAAATTGGACACATATCATCCTCTGTTATTTATTATCGATTTTATTATTAATCTTCAGATGTATTATTATTTTACTATACTTATTACTACTATTATTATCTTATTACACTTATTTATTGTCTTGTTTTAGTTTATTATGATTATGTTTTATATTGTCCATTTAAAATATTTGTAATATCATATTGAGAATATTATTGTTACCAAAGAATTGGACATTTTTCATCTACTTAAAACACTTTTAGTAATGCATGAATTGTGTGGATGCAATGTGAGTTATTTTAATTACACGAACAAATCATATTTGTTGACAGTTCTACTTTAAATTTATTTCCATCTTCATCACAATACTTTAAACTAGTTGGTCCTATTCTCTTTAACAAATATAATCTCGTTTACTTAGCTTACTCTATTAAATCTAAAATTATCTGAGGAGCACTATAAATCTTTTAATTATTTACTTTTTAGATGTTTTCGCTTTTGTTTGACTTTTCATTTTATTTTAAATATATATTTAATCAAATTCAATTATTTTTATTTAGATAACTGATTTATATTTATTATTCTTTTATATTTATGAAAACTAATCCTTTAAAAAAGAACTATTATTCTTATTTAATAAAATATATGTTTCAAAGGATGATATTTTTAAAAAAATTTAATATGAATTTAATAGATGATATTTTTGAGTTGACAGTGGATATTCTTTAGAAGTAATTATTTCAAAAACAAAAAAAAGTATGACTAATAGCTACTGATATTTAATTAATATAAGATTCAATCATGAATAGTGGAAATGATAATAGTAATAATTGATCTCTTATGGTTTAAAATGTTTGAAGTGATTTTTCTATAGGTAAAGAATTAAATAATAAAAAAAATTTAATTTATTCTAAATGCAGAAAAATTATAAATTATGAAATAGTCTATTAAAAATATTAATAAGAAAAGCTACCATTTAGGTATGATTTAATTAATCATTAATAATTTATTAATTACAAAAACTAAATATTATTCTTATGAGATAAAATAAATTGCATACATTTTTTCTAATAATAAATACAGTCAAAATAAATTCAGGACTTTGTTTTGATAGAAAGAACTTACAAGTTAGAAATAAAAATATTATATTATGAAGGAAGACGATTCTGCGTTATCTTAAAAAAGGATAGATGAATTAATTAAGGATCAAAAATATGCTGCACTTATGTAGTTGATTTCTAGAAAAGATTCAAGTAGGTAAACTAATGTACTTTTAATTTTAGACTAAAACAATATAACTCTATAAAAATAAAGAATTAAATCTTCCGATTGAATTAAGATGTAGCTGTTTGTGCTAATAATAATGATGTATATTCTGGAAAGTTAATAAAAATTTATTGTATAAAAGATAAGAATAATTAGCATGTGCCTGTTATTCAAGTTTAATGGTATATAGAAATTAATATTATTTGTAGGTATTACACAAAGTAAGATCTAAATTTAGATAAAAACCTTATGAAATGTATTTCAATAAAAGAATTATTCTTTTCTACTCATGTGGAATATTTGGCAGCAAATAAATTATAATGTCCTATAGAAGTTATGACATTTGATTAATACACATAATTAGAATATGAAGAAGAAACTAAATTCTTTAGTAGAGCAGCAATAAATCTTAAAACAATGGAACCTATGCCTACAGTTGGTGAATGGACGAAATCATGTGTTTGTAGAATGCCTTAAAATCCAGATATATAAATGATTCAATGTGAAACATGTGGAGAATGGTTTCATTTAGATTGTGTTAATATTAAACCAGAAGAAGCAGAATAAATTGAACATTATAAATGTCCAGGATGTTAATGAGTCATTTTTTATTTTTTAATATTATTAATAATTCATCAGATTTCTATTATTCCATTTTTATTCCAGATTGTTTCCATATCCATTTTCATAAATATATTAGTATATTCTAAGATTATTAATCCTAAACAAAAAATTTAATTTTTGGATTTTAATTATAATTATCTTTCTTAAGTTCTTTATGATAATAATTGAGGAAGATAATTGTTATTCTTATTTTCAATTTCAAAATAATATCCTTTTTCTATATGATATAATTAAATTTCAAACTCTTCTGGAATTTGTAAATAAGTACTTAATTTTATTGAACTATTAAATGGTATAGAAACAGTAACATCTTCATTTACATTACTTATTTTTATGTATCTTTGATTAAAAGTAGAACCATTATTTCCTTTTTATAAATAGATTGGATATATTTCATCATTATTATCTTCTTATAAATAATCTTAAAAATTTATATCTTAAATTATTAAACTAAAATTTGGAGATAATTTGATTACCATTCCCACATCTAAATAGATTTTATACATAAAATCATCTTCTTTTTAGACAAGTTACTTTTTAATCAATTAATAACTAAGAATATCATTGTTACTCCAAAATTTTAATGTTTAACTTGATTAATCGAAACACAATTTTAAAATCTGCTGATTTTTACCAACATTGTTTAAAATTGACTCTAAATTCTTAAATCTTTACATTAACTATTATAATTCGATTTCTAATAAAAATAAAGATGTTTCTACAATTTTAGGTGCAATATATGATATACAAGTATGTTAATTATCACAATAGAAATCTATTGTTATAAATTAACTTGTTTTCAATACTATAATATCTTATTATAATTATTGAGATGATGTTATTGAAAATGTATTACATTACTCTTCCATAATATAACTCAATTATATAATAGATTAGATTAATCTATCTTAAATCATAAATCTTTTGTTTTTAAAGACCATCCATGTTTTTTCTGGAGTTTCTTATAAATTATTATCAGTTTTAGCTAAATTGAGCAAATTATTAAATCGTTCTATTAAAAAATTGAAAATTTCCTCTTCTTCTTGATATTCTTTAAGAATTTTTAAAGATTGAAAAATATTTTATTATGATTCTTAAAGAGAACGGATTATTCTTTAGTTCTAGCTGTTTTCTACTTATTAAAATAGTTCTATTATTATTTCTTCAACTTTAGAAAACTAATTTTTATACATTAAATAAAATAAATATTTTAAATTGATAGTTCAAGAAGATTATAAGTTATGTTTTTTAAGTTATAATTATATTGATAAATTTGATCATTTTATATAGTAGTTTTCTTCATCTCCTTTTTTCATTTAAGAATTGCCCATTTTAGATTAGTTCATTCTAGATTATTACATAATAGATTGATTCTTCATTGTTTTATCAAGTCTAGTAATTTCCTAATTTTATTAACTAGTTAATTCTTTTCTAACATTTTAATATTTTTATAGTAGTCTATAATAATTAAAATTAAAAAAGTACTTTTCCAATTCTTAAGATCTAATCTTTCTTTATTCTTCTTATCCAGATAAGATTCTTTACTAAAGAGCACCTAATTCATTGGATTACTTGAATTTAAGTTAAGCAATAAGATTTTTAATTTTGCTCATTCTTGATGCATTCCATTTTTCATATTCATCTCTCTCCATTGCAAGTATTCTTTATTGAGTTAAATGTGCCTCTTAATAACTAAATATAAAATTAAATTAAATACTTTTCTTATCTAGCTAATTATTCTTCAGTTTTTCTCATACTAAGTAATTCAGCAGAATCTTTTGGTTTTACAGGAATGGAATTTTCTAATTCATCTGTAAATTATTTTAATTCTTCTTCATGTCTTTATAACACTTATTCTTTAACTCTTTAAGCTTCTTAATCAAATTCAACCATTTTTTAATCCCAAAATTCGTTAAATTAATTAAATTCATCAAGATGAGCTTTTTCAATTTCTTATTTTTCATTAGTGTGTCTATCTTTAACTTCATATTTATTTTTTTAATCTAATTCTTTTTTTAACTCTGTTAATCTTTTTTTGGCTTGATCTGCCTCTAAATATTTTCCAGCTTTTTCACAACTCTTCTAATGTTCATATAAAATTTAACTATAATGAATATAAATATAGTATGATACACATATTCTTCAATGTCTCCTGTTTAAACTGGAAGATTATTTGTTCCTTTTCTACTTGAGTTATTCATAATTTTAATTTTATCTGTTAAATAAATATTGATAAAATGTTTATATCTTATTCAATTATAAATATATTTGTTAAGAATATTTATAATATCTGTTATAACAACGATGTATTATAGTAGTAGCTAATCGTCATTAATATAATCACCTTATGGTCAAATAATCACAAAAACTCCATTAACTAGATAGAATAGACCATAAGAGAAATTAAATGATTAATCAATTATGTCTCAATATCAATCACCAACATTGAGATAAGCTATGTCACCAAAAGCAGCAAGAGAATACTTAAATAGTTTAAAAAGCTTTATAAATCAATATGAATCTAAGCCAATCAATGAAAGTAGAATTACTACATAATCTATTCATTAATCAATCTAATAACAACCTTATTTATATTTTCCAATTGCAAATAGATTGAATGATGAAATTAAATTGATGACTCCTTAAAGAATTGAAATTAAAAAATTAAATTCTGATGGAACTGTACATTCATTAAAATATTATTATTTAAAGTAACCAGTTTTGAGTAGTTCAAATGATGTTCTTACTTCAAAATAAATTACAATTATTGGATTAAAACATAGTGGCAAATAAAAATTGTTTTTAGAACTTATTAAAAAAATAATGCCTAAATATTTTAAATTATCTATTAAGACAGATCAAAATGACAAATAACTAAATGTTTAAATCAATGATGATTTAAAATCAACCATTAAAAGTTTTAAAACAGGATCTAAGAATTGTTAATTAATTGCTTAAAGTGATTAACATTTACTTTTATGTAGAGGACAATAGGGTTTCATTAGAGAAAAGAGAGATTAAGCCATTCTTATTTTATGTATTAAGCCTGGTAAAGAAACTAAATTGGATTGTGTCTAAACTTTAAAAATGATAGAAAATATATAAAAAAATTGATCATATATGTAATATTTATTTCAATATAAATGGGTACTTGCTAAGTAAAATGTTGTAGATGTACATGTTAATAAGGCAGATTAGCATGTTAATGTGGAAGTGAAAATACTATAGTGCTTGAAGAATAATCAAGAGAGATTAGAAGAAGAATTAATTAAGATTAAATAGTAAGAAATAATGCTAAGAATTATAGAAAAGATCTAATCGTTTTGAAACTCATAAAAATAGAGATGGATCTCCAGCTTAATCTAATTCTAGCGGTTCTTTGAATAAAACTAAATTCTCAACATATCGCAAAGCTACTAATAAATCTTCAAATTCAATAGATAAATATTTAATTTCTTAAGAATGTAATATACCTACAGAACTTAGTTTAGAAAAAAAGAATTTTGAATAAAAAATACGAAATCAAAAATTTTAGATGAATGGATAGATTTATTTTAAATATGAAAATTATGACTTTAAATTTTAGGAAGACAATACAAAATTACAAAATGTTCATAATAATTAATTATCATCTCCTTAAATATAAAATTCTAAGGAAAAATTAGAAGATAAAAAAAGTTTAGAATAAATTCAGTCAATTAATGATCCTAGTATCTATATGAAAACACCAACAACAACTGCTTTAGAGATTACTAATAATTAAACTGTATCTAATCCATATTTAAATTAATAACCTTCAATCTCTAGAGAAAGTTCTCCTACTAAAATCTCTCGACCTATAACTTAAATTAGTATTGAACCAAATTCAATTAAACTATCCTTATCTGTGATTACAGATTAACAATAATTAAAAAATAGATCAAGAACAACTGATATATTTGATGATTAAAAAAGTGTTACTATTAGAAGTGTATTAAAAAAAAAATAAAAAAATAATGATTCATTTAGAACTTAATAATAAAAATCCAGAAAAGTTAGATTCGATTTACCTAATTCACATTATATAAGAGAGAGATAAAGATAATAACCTAAATTTTATTAATGATTTTTATGTGTTTATAATGATTAAAATGAATATAACTAAAAATTAATTTCATTATTTTCTTTCTTATTTTTTCTTGTACATTAGAAAACCTTAATTTAGATTTATATAATACTCATTTTATTTTATTGCATTTTTTTGGGAGTAACTACATTATTTCTAAAACTACTAAAATATCTATCATTCTCATCTTAATAGGTGCTCTTACTTCTCTAAGAATCCTATAATTAATATAATTATTCTTATTACCAAATCTGTAAATTCAGTTCTTAATTACATATTTTTAATATCTATATTAGATAATCCACCAACTGTTTTTATTTATTTATTAGTATCTGTATTTATAAAACTATCATCTTCCATAGTTCTTTAAGTACCTTAGGTTTAAGAAAACTTTTTTTTAATGATCTTAACTTTTTTCAAAGATCCAAATATTTTATTTAATTAATCCTCTGGTTTGTCAAATTCTTAACTTTCAAAAGCTTAAATAGCTATAGTTTTTGTTTAATTGGTAATTCTTGATTTTCTAACTGAATCAATCTAAACTAAGATTTCATCATTTTTAGAAAAATTATTAACAGATTACTCTGAAGATATATTATTAATTTTAGTTTCTAATTATTCATTTTTTAATTCTTATTTTTCCGATTCTTATTATGAATGTACAAAACGGAAATTTAATTCTGAATTTGATAATCTCAATATTTACTCACTTTCATCATTTTAATATCTATTTTCAAATTCAGGTGTAGGCTATTTAACATTATATGGATTTTATCTAAAATTTTAAGGACTTTTTGCTTCAATAGGAATTTTTTAAGGTTCATAAATTATATTTGCATTTTATTAATTATTATTTTCTTTTCCTTTTCCTTTGGTTTTAGTAGCAATTAAATTTTATTTGTTTTTAGGAGAGTTTAAGATAGTTTATTGTTAATTTAAAAATAGATCTTAGCATTTAAATTATCTCAAATATTTTTGATTATTTGAATTGCTTTAATGTTTTGAATCAAATTATCTTTTTATTTAAGGGGATTTACTATTGCATTAATGTTAGTAAATTGAAAACACCTTTTTTGTTTAGTATTGAAATAAGTAATTAGAGAATTGATTCATAAAGTTTTAACGTTAATATTATTTATAAATTAATAAAAAAGCAAATAGGAAGAATTGCTTAAAATTTTAGAATAAATTTAGAAAATATTATTAATTAGTACTAGATCATTCTTTTTATCCTTTAATTTTGACTGATTTCATTCTTCTTCTTTGTAATCGTATTTAAACTTAATCTTCTTATTCTTAAAGAGCTCTATCATAATTATTATTTGAACTTATTATGTATTCTTGTGACTCTCTAAGATTCATAGCCATGAAATTCTATAAGTTGATTTACTTATAATTTTTAATCTTATTCTTTGATATATTTGAGTTGATTTTCTAACTCTTATTATTTTTAGGATTTTTAAGGAATGATAACTTTAGGAGATGGAGGAGGAAGAATATCATGACTTTAAATATGTTTAGATTTCTTCAAAGCTGTTTCATGCTTTAATTCTTCATATGCAACATTCATGCATTAATTAACAGTACCCTTCATCAATAATTATTGAGTTTTATTTTTGAAAATCAAAAATTTATTACTTTTTATTGATTCAAAATATTCTACTCCAATCTATTTAATTATTTAAAATATTACTCTATACAATTCTAATAGTTAATTAACTACCTCAATTGTAACATTATTACATTCTACTTCCATTTCTAAATATAAAATATTTTCAGCGAAGAATGGAGGTAAACATTAAGAATGTTCCCAAAACAAGGATTTCACATTGCCTTAATGATCATTCCTTGTATTCATATAATTTAAAGAAATTAATTAATTAAATTTTGTTTATTATTTATATTCAATGCATGTTACATACTCCAGGTATTACTATTTTATTTTTCAATTACACTACATAAGCTACTTGTCCTTATAATAATTAAATTTTCCAAAACTTATTTTCTTATACTTAATGTTGCATTTCTTCATAGGGAATTTCTTTAAAGATTTAATCCAATAATTGATTGGAGTCTTTAGGTTTCCATGATCCAAGCAAAGTAGTCACATGAGAATACTTTAATTAATAATATATATATGATAGATACTTTATTTGTTAATGGGATTTAATAATTATGGTTTGAAATTGCTGTCACAATATTATTTGGACTTATTGCAATTGCATCAATAACAATATCCTATTCTAAATCTTATTTAAAATCTGTAAAAGCTTAAGATTTCAAATTTTTTGGATTGTTTCCAACAAAAAAAGTTGTCAAATGAATGCTAGGAGGAAATTGATAATTCTATTTTAGTTGCTAAAGCATGTTTTTTAACTATAAATCATTTTAAAATTTTTCATTTAATAAATTAAGTGAATTTTGTGTTAGATTGAATAAAGTTTCTTAAGCTAGTTATTGATCTTTTGCAAATATTCCTATAAATTAAATATTCTTTTTTAACATTTAAAATTAATTATTATATATAAAAATAAAGTAAATTATAGAAAACTAAAAAATGCTAAATTCAGAGATATATATAAAATTTTATGATTAGATAAGAATAGAATGATAGAATGATTGAAATTTAAAAATAATATTAAAACTGTCCAGAGAAATCAAATAAATAGAAGATAAAATAATAATAAAATCTTATATATATAACAGTTTATTATGGTAGGTTTTTAATAAATAAAAATGTAAACTAATGGTTATATCAAATTAAATAACAACTAAAAATTAGAAGAAGAATGAGTTGGATCAAAAAGATTTTTCTGAGACAAAAAATAATGTATGCAGCGTTAGTTATAAACAATAAAGTATTGGACTGAAGCGAAGTTTAATTATTAATTGATATACCTAAAGACATATTAATTATAAAAAGAAAAATAATCAAAATTATTTTAATGATGAATGTCTTTAAAATTTTAAAAAGTTTTCATTCTTGAATGTTTAGAAAAAGGTCATCTATCATATGTATAAATATGAATAAAGGTAAATGTTCAGAATGTTATAGTTATTCATTATATACATGCCCTTTTCATATTAGATAAAAAAAATAAAAAATTACAATTCATAAAATTTGCATATATTTTTAGGAACTATAACTGTATTGTTTGTATTTGCAACAGTTCTATGAATAATGTTGATATATAATAATGCTTGTAAAATAATATTATGATCTATAAATATAATTAATATTATGGGAAGTAGCACTTCAACTAATATAAATGAATACTAAAAAATAGATGCTGATCTTAAATTGACTACTCTTCCTGACTTAGATAAAGTATATCTAATCTTATATCGTAGCTTTTAATTGTTGCTTAAGATCTTCTTAAAGTTACTGAGCAACTCAGATCTAGGATTGTATCATATCATGACCTTATGTTTAGAATAGTCAAATTGCAATCATATAAAGATGTCACTTTGATTGATGCTTTTTAAATATGGTTTTTATGCACTCTTGTGTGTAATGATACAAAATAAGATAGTGTTAAATTCGAATGTAAAATTGAGAATTTTGATTAAGAAGTAGCATCAGAAAGTCTTAAAAAACTAATGAATTTTGTACTTATCTTTATTTATATTTAGGGTAGTGTAGTGGCATTTGCAATTGAAGACAAGTTTGTTTAAGATGAGAATGAATAACTTATAATAAGTGATACAGGAATATGTGGAGATTTTAAATTATAATTATGGCCTTTTATTTGTTCATCCTTCTTGAGTTATTTGAGATCTGCTTGTAGATTGGCACCATTTTTAGAAGAGAAAATCAATAGTTAAATTAATTTAATAAGAAAATATATTGATGTACATAAATCAGAGAAGCCAACAAAATTAGTAAATTAATAAACCTTAACTCATATTTGTGAATAATTGAAATATTTTGGTTAATTTGTAGACAAATATCATTAAGAAGTCAAAACATTTACTAAATAATATAAGGAACATATGAAAGAATTACATCCTTTGAGTTAGGAAGTTTTAAGAGAAGAAGGCAATTAAAATTATATTCTAAATGATGAGTAATATAATTATTAATTATTTTTTTAGGAGAACTATCTTGAAAACAAAAATATAAGATGTAGTAAGAAAATATTTTCCAAAATATGAACAAAAAGAACATGTGTAAATATAATAAGAGATTAGATTAAAAGAATAAAGAAGAAAGGTAAAACCAAAAACAAAATTGGAAAGAAGAAGAACTGAATAAGCTGCTTTAACATTTCCAACAACTTATCATTGGGTTGGTCATGAATATTTTGATACTTTTTTTTCAGCATAATCATTAACTTTATCTGAATTAGAAGATTGCCGAGCTTAAGGAGAAGAAGCTAGAAAAAAATTATTTAAAATAACTGGGGTAAATTAATGGAAAGATAATACTATTAAAAGTGTATTTGAATGTCTTACTTGGATTATATCTGCAGAACTTAATAAAAGTCTTAAAGATAAAGAACTTAAATTACTTGAAGATGAACCTTGGCTACATTTTATTAAACTTAAAAAACATAAATATACTGATCTTTCAGATTAAATTGTACAACATTTAAAAATATGGTTAAAATATTTTAGTCCAATCAGATATCAAAGAATCTGCAATTATTAGTATGTTATTTAATTTAATTTATTAAGTTAAGATTTCTTAAAAAGACAAAGAGAACTTGAAAGTAACAAATTTAATTTTCATCATTTAATTAGAGATCTTCCTCCATAAAATTAATATAATGCACTTTCTAGTTTTACTAAAAATATTAGAGTAAATGAGACTTATATAAGTAAAATTGAAAAACTCTTTGAAATGACAATTGAAAACAATGGCAAAATGGGATAAGAATTGTATGAAAATTGGTAAGAAATTGTTGATCAAGCTGATTCTATTAATTATTAATTAGGAACTCCATTAAATGAATTCATAAAAGAATTTAGACCTAATACTTTAGCTTAATTAGATTAATTATAAAATAGAAAAGCAGAAAGAAAATAAACTAAATTATCTATAGCATGTATTGAAATATGAATTTAATTTATATTCTATCTTATTCAAATCAATGTCTTTTCATATTATATAATCAGTTCTCTAATACCAAAATTAACGATTAATTCTGAGGGTCCACCTATAAAATTTATATTATTCAAAATACTTCCATCAGCTTTAAATTCTAAAAAACAACTTGAACTCTAATGATCAAAAAATGCTTCAAAAACAAATGATTAACTATAATTAATATTATCACATGTATTTATTTCTGAAGTTAATAAAAAGTTTTGTTTCCAAACATTTTATCCATCAGCATTCAAATATAGATATCTAGAATTACTAAATTTTTATAAGTAAATTATGACTACTTTAAACTTTACTAAAATCTTAGAATGAGTTGGTAAATTAATTAATTTATTACTAACTTTTTTACCTTTCTCAATGTAGATCAAATTAAAATTAGAATTCTAACAATTAAAAGTCTAAAGTGTTTCACTATAACCAAACCAAGATACAATTGATTTATCATCATTAATCATTGATTTACCTACTACTTTCTGATCAGCTTAAATTTAAAATTCACGAATTCCCCAACGACCTAATTATTGAATATAATTACCAACAGTAGTAGAACCAATTACATACAATTTAATAATAACATTTGAAGAAGTATGAGAAACTGAATTAACTTTAATTGAAAAATAAGTATCAAGTTATTGAGTATTTCCACATAATTTTAAACCAGTTGATAAATCAGTTATATAGAGTAACTATTTTTCATAAACTTAAACATCATCAACAATTATATAAAATTTTTCATTATTTTGAAAAGAATCTATTTAAAAAAATAGTAAAGAAATAGTAAGTTAATTGTGTTATGGAAGATTGAAGATTTAATAGGATAACTTTTAGAGTTAAATATCTTATAGACCTCCAATAATTTATTATCCATTACAATTTCTATTATCAGTATAAACTATTTATTCAATCCATCCATCAAAAGTAGTAATCATAGCATCATTAAAATGATTAGCAAATTAAATCATTGTACTTTAAATACCAACACAATCAGATATTAATGGACCTGTACAACTATACAAACAACTTGAATGACATTTTTTTAATAGTATTTAAAAGTCTCTTATACCCCAAGGTGTATTAATATCAGAAACTTATTATTGAGCAATAGTAATTGTTAATTTAGATTGATTATGAAGTCTGTAAAAATTAACTCTATTGACTTAATCTCCTGTAGGAATAGATATTTATTCAATAGGTATATAATTACAAATCATCAATTATAAAACATCTAGAAGTTCAACAACTTAATAAACTGTTACATCATCAAATAAAATTGAAGTTGTAGGTTTAGTTTATCGATTAAAATTTATATAAAGTATAAGAAATTAAATTTAAATTGCATAGTGTGGTTGTAAAAAAATAGTTTTTTCTAATTTTGTTGTTTTATCAAAAAATCCAAAAAAATAAAATTTAGTTTAACCTGATTTAAATTAAAAATATATACTTCCACATTAATAAATATTAGCTGGTTATTCTCCAATAGGTTTCCAACCATCATTATTAAAATTTTATATGTTTTAAGCTTTCATTGAATAGTCAATTAAAAGCCAAGTATTACATGAAGCTAGATGACTTGCATCACAACTTAAACAACCTGAAGGACATAATTTAAGATCGATTGTTAATTCTCTAAATCCAGAAGTTGACATCTAATTCTAATAATAATTATAAATACAGCAGGAATGCCACCCATTTATAAATACTCTAAAAGAAGTGTTTAAGATGAATGTCTAAACTCAGTTGAAAAAGCACCAGAGTTAAATTATAGATTATTAGTATTACTAAAAAATAAGATAATTTTATACTAATAAGTAACAATTCCATCTGCAAAGAAATAGGATTCTTATTGAGAACTAAAGGATGTAAATATTAACCATCTTATTATATACATAAAATATTTACGATTTATATTTAAATGCTACACTTATAGAATGATGAGGTGGAAGATCATATAACATAATATAGCCTCCTGCTATAGTCATAGTTCCATAAAAACAATTAAACCCAAAATATTCTTATCCCATCATAAGAGGTCCATTATTATCACATTTATAATTCCAACCTTTTCATAATATCTAATCTTAACCTTCTGTATCTACACTACCCAAGTTAATTCCTAATGGATTACTCATAAAGTAACTAAGATAACTTGATTTAACTTCATTAATAAGAATAAGTATCAGCAAAGTATGTTTTATAAACATATAAAAGTTGTAATTAATTGGATTTATTTAAGTCAATTCAAATATAAAACTTTAAATCTCTCTTATATTATATTTAGTTTTAGTAAATATTATTTCATAACTTTTCAAATCAATCAAATTCTAAAATTGGTTTTCTCATTTTGTATAGTAATATTCTCTATTGAGGACCTAGGATTATCTAAATTAATCTTTCTTAACATTTCTGTATAATAGTTCTTTAATTATGGAGTTGATAACTCTACAATACTTTTGTTGTTTGATTATTGTCTCTTAGGTGTCATACTTCTTGAAGGTGTTTTATTTTCAATACCTCTAGAATAACCTGATGTTTGTGATTTTGTATCAACAGATTAATTTTATGAATTTCTTTATTATTCTTTACTTTTTTATAATGATTTATAATGTTGTACACAATATTATAAAACCTTCTAATCTTTATTTGTTGTAGTTTATTAATTTATAAAAACCATTTTAAATATTTCTACAATCTCATCTAACTTTATATCCTAAGATACAAATTCGTTTTATAAATAATAATAATGTACACATACAAAAAAGAGACTTTTCAACTATTCAGAAAATTTATCTGATCGTTAACAAATTTCTTTAATGTTGTATAATTCATCAACTTAATTTTAATATTTTGCTTTTTGTTTCTACTTTAACTCATAATTTATCCCTTTAAATTACTATAAACTTGTCAACTACTTCTAATAATACATTATTTTGCTTTATATTTATTTAACATATTCATTCTCATTCTCATTCTTTTCCATTTTTATTTTAATAACTGCTTCTAAAGTATTCTTATCAATTTAAATATCATGTGTTATTAGAAACTATTATAATTTCTTTTTATTGTTTTGTGTCTATTCAGAAAATATAATCAATTTATTATAATTCATTATATATTAAATTTATGGATTGGAATATGAGCCTTTTAATCTTCTTCTTCTCCACACATTCCTAATCTATTTATTAACACTTTATAAACTGTTCCACAAACTTAACATTAATTTTCTTTATTTATTTTCATTATCTCAATCAACTTCTTTTGAACATTATCATAAGTCTATACATAAAGTTAATATAAAGGAACCAACTAATTATTATATCAAAATATACTCCATGCTAATTCAATTAATCCATCTTATCTTTTGGTAATAAAATAACCAAGTTATCTGTGTAACTGAAAAATGGATTCTTTTTTGCTTTAAAACATTATTAAAGATTTCCATATTATTTTCTATGCATATTAACTGGATGCTTTGGGGGAAGTTTTTACATTGCATTTACTATATCATTACTTCCCATTTATAATCTAATTGAATTTTATTTACAAATTATTTCCATTAAAAACTCATAAAACTCTTTTTCCCAATCCATTTTATATTTTATAATTAAAAATAAAAATGTTTCAAAAATATACAAATAAAATTTAAAAAGTAAAATTCTCTCAATATCTGACTTAAAAGAAGCTATCTATAAAGAAAGCATTTATTTTTTAAACATTATAATTGATTTATTTGAATTATAAATTTTATAATAGTTTTATCATTACTTAAACTTCCTAAATTCTTTTTTATTCTAGTAATGGATTTAAATAATTAAGATATCTGATTTATATAGGAGTTTGTAAAAATATTTTAAATTTGATTATGATTACTCTAGCAAGTTAAATATTTTAAATCTAATTAAGATACAAGAAGGATCTAAAACTATATAACTATTTTTCTGAATAATTTTTATTTACACATCAAAAAAGAAAATTTTAACTTATTATTTGAATATCATTGTGCTACATTGATAAGTGTAAACTAATGTTAATGTAAAACGATAATAAAAGATTTCAAGATTTATTAATAATTTCTAAGAAAATTATTAAAAATACATAATAAAATTGAATAATTATTACAGTTTTATTAAAGTCTCGTATTTGGAATTGTCTAGACAATTGGAGGTTATACATAATTAATGATTATATTTTTTATAGAAAAATATAACAAAGATTTGATTTAAGGTTTACTAAATAGAAATCCAAATGTTTATTAGTTAATGAAAATTTTTATGAGATTCCTTTTAAGACCTGTTCTTGAGAAATCAAAAAATATTTAATTATTTCGATTAGTATGCTATAAAATGGTGTTGCAAATTCATAGTATCTAATTATACCTTTAGTTTTATTGTATTTAATGAATGAAAAATCTTGGAAATATTATAAAAACTTATTATCACATAAGAAAATAAGAGTAAATTTCATTTTAATTGTATGGATTCAAAATGCATTTTTAATAATCTCAATCTATTAAAAGATTTAATATTAATAATAATGTAAATATTTACATAAATTTATATTTTTATAATTTGGTTCTAAAATAAATCCATAAATCCATAAATGAGAAATTTGAGATTTCTTCTTTTCATGTATGATGAATGAGAATAATAAATCCTATTTGAACTAAGTTTAATAATTGATAAAATCTTATTTGAAAGCTAAAATTATTATTAATTTTGGACACACTTTTAGATTAAAATAATTAATATATGAAATGCTTAATTTTGTTATTAAAATTAATAAAATATTGATATTGATTAGAAGTTTTTCATTGAATGTTGTAGATTAAGAAATATAATAAGTTAATTGAAATAAAAATTGATATTATCATAGTTATATTCTGTATTAAGGAATATGTATTTATTCTGTATGAAATTTGTTCTAAAATAAGCTATAAATATTAAATTTTATATAAAATCTTTATTGAGGGATGTAAGATGTAATAATGAAAATAACCATAAATAGAAAAAAGACCAGAGCAAGTTCTAAGATTTTCTACTTTAATTGAAGGCTTTAGTTGATTCATTTTTAAATCCAAGTCCAGAACCAGAGGAATAACCGAAACCATAAGTCACAAAAGCAAAGAAATAAAAAAAACAAAAAGATCCTCTTGCACCAAAAATGCCTAAATCAGCGTTCATTTTTTACTTTTAGGATAAGAAGGAGAGATTTTAATCATAATATCCAAGTGTTTATTAAATGTAAAACTAGATTTACAATTTCAAGAGATCACAAAATTGATAGCTAGTGAATGGAAAGATTTACCAAAGGAAATTCAATAGGTATGAAAAGTAAAAAATAAGTAGTAATATCATGATCAAGCAGAATAAGATAGAAATCGATATTCTTAAGAGTAGGAGTTATATTAAACACAAACAGGGAAGTAACCAAATGGGAAAAGTTAAGCTAAAGCAAATAAATCAAGTGCTAAAAAAGAGAAAATTATTAAACCTCTTGATTTAGAAGAAGATAATGATTCTTTTGGTGCAGACATAGGTTAGGACTGATATCTATATAAGAATATTTTAAAAATATAATTGATCTAAATATTTGAAGGAAATAGTCATTTATTATTTAATACAAAGTGTCTAATAAATTATAAGATATTGTTGTGTTTAAATCAACTTATTTTTTACTTATTACTTAAACCACTTTATAATTATCATTCTATTATATTATTTTTTTGAATTTTAAAAAATCTTTATCAAAATTCAGATGGACGTAAAGATAGGGAGATCGTTTAAATTAACAAAGAAATTGGGTTCAGGTGCTTTTGGAGAAATATTTCATGGAATCAATCTTAAAACAAACATGGAAGTGGCAGTTAAACTTGAACCTGTAAACACTAAGCATCCACAACTGTTTTATGAAGGAAAATTATACTAATACTTGTTACAAGAACCCTCAGTTATTGATAAAGGAATTCCAAATGTTTACTATTGTGCAACAGAGGGTATTTATTTTATGTATAATTTAAGGTGAATATAATATCATGGTTATGGATCTCTTAGGGCCATCTTTAGAAGATCTATTCAATTTATGCGGCAGAAAGTTTTCACTTAAGTCAGTATTAATGTTAGCTGATTAAATGATTTAAAGAATAGAATATGTTCATTCTAGACACTTTTTACATAGAGATATTAAACCAGACAACTTTCTTATTGGAACAGGAAAAAGGTAAAATATATAAAAAAATTAAATAGAGCACATAAGGTTTATATAATTGATTTTGGATTAGCAAAGAGATATATTTAAAAAGATGGAAAACATATTCCTTATAAAGAAGGTAAAAATTTAACAGGAACAGCTCGTTATGCCTCTATTAACACACATCTTGGAATAGAATAAGTATTCATTTTATTTCAATTTTAGGGAAGAAGAGATGATCTTGAATCATTAGGTTATGTGATGATGTATTTTTTAAGAGGATCACTTCCATGGTAAAACTTAAAAGCATCTAATAAAAAAGATAAATATGAAAAGATTATGGAAAAAAAAATTTCTACATCCATAGAAACTTTATGCAAAGGATTTCCATAAGAATTAGCTACTTACTTAACATATGTAAGAAATTTGAGATTTGATGAAAAACCAGATTACAGTTACTTAAGAACTTTATTAAAGGACTTATTCACAAAGAGTGGATTTGAAATGGATTATATTTATGATTGGAATTTAATCTAGAAAGCAGATGGTGCTCCTGGATAAACCACAAACAATTCATAACCACAATAGCCACCAATCGGTTAAGTACCCCCAAAATAAGGTTGATTATCAACCTTAAAAATATTATATATATATAAAAATATTATAAAAGAAATATTCAATAAAGATCCTAAGAAAAACAATCAATAATTTCAAATCAGATTCTTACTATTATTTGCTATCACATATAATTTAGTGTAGATACTACAAAAGTATGACTATATTATTTATCATATTTTTCCATTTTTTATTGATAGATTAAATTTAATTAACAATTAATCTGTTTCAACGACATTCAAAGAAGTAATTCTTCAGTTAATATTAGAATAAAAATAATTAATAAAAATATATCAATTGAAACAATCTTACAAATTTATTTAATGTAATGAATTATATATATATAATAATATTATATTATGCAAGTTAATTCAAATGAAGAGTTTTATCTAAGATATTAGTATAAATAAATATTTACTTTAGTGTTGGACATAAAGGTGTTTATGGACATGAGTTTCTTGAATTCGAATTTAGAAATGATGGTAGATTGAGATATGCAAATAATTCAAATTATAAATAAGATGTATTAATAAGAAAAGAATGCTTTGTTTCAGAAGCAGTAATAACAGAGATTAAACGTATTATAGAAGATTCAGAAATTATTAAGTATTTATAATGCAATTAAATTTTAGAGAAAATGATTCTAAATGGCCAGCACCTGATAAAATAGGAAGATAAGAATTAGAAATCAAACTTGGAAACAATCATATTTCTTTTACTACATCAAAATTAGGATCAATTTAAGATGTATAAAACAGCTAAGATCCTGATGGATTAAGAGTTTTTTTCTATTTGGTTCAAGATTTAAAATGTTTTGTCTTTTCAATAATCAGTCTCCATTTTAGAGTATTATACTTATCTAAAATTATTAGATAAAGCCGGTCAATTGAGCATTTATGTATATTTTATATAATATAAATTAATATTTTAAAAAAATGATCAGAGATTGTTCACACTTAACAAATCAGCATGACTAAACTAAGTCCGCCCGTTACTTTGTCATCATTTTATAATAATTTTAATATATTTTCAGGTGAATGTTGGAATATAATCATGAGATCATAACCCAGTGCTTGTTTTCATCATTAAATAATTAATTAAATAAATTAATAAAATTATTTGTTTAAAATTATGGTTATGATCTCAAAATAAAATTATTTTTTTTTATAAATAGTTATTTGTATAACAAACTAGGTTCATAAAATAAAAAATTCAGAACAATACAAAGTTGTTTTAAGAAAATTTTATAAAAAATGAATTATATTTTTTCTTGATTATAATAATAAATCTTTAAATTACACAATGATCATATAATCTATTATTACATTTATTGAATATAACATAAAAGATATTATAGTTATTCAATATATCTTTATTTTAATCATCTTTTTAGTTCTATGACTATCTCATTTTATTAAATATCTTCATTTTTTTCTTTTTTTCATTGTTCTTCTTGTAATTTCTTTTTAAAGATTTCAATAAAAAATCCCAAGATTCTGAAAAGGCATAAGCATGATTATAAAAAGAAAATATAAGATTTTCTTGATCAATATTATAAACAGAATTGTTTTGTTATTTTTATCCAAACCACTTAAGGATAGATTCCAAAATGTTTAGAGAAGGTTATAATTTGAGAATAAATAAATTTTACTATTTAAAATGATTGATAACTTATTATAAAATTTTTTAGTAGTATTATTTTGGATTTAAAAATTATTTAGAATATATTAGATTTAATTATATATTGGTATACTTAATAGACTTTATAATTAACAATTTATTATTTATTTATTGAGTTTAGGCAAATGGCGTAGATGGTTATCGCGCTGCATTTACACTGCAGAGGTCCCGAGATCGATACTCGGTTTGCCTATATTTTTTATTTTAAATTCTAAAATAAGAGAATAATATAATAATATTAAGTTAAATTCGATGTTCTAAATTTAATTTCGAAATAATGATCTAAATTTAATTTAGAAATAATGATCTAAATTTAATTTTTGAAGTCAAAAAATTGGACTTCAAATATAGAGAATATTTAAAATAGGAAAGCAAAATTATTGTAGAATAGATCAGATAGAGATGAAGATGAATTTCGAGAGAATATGTATCTATTAAAGAAGATAAGAATTATAAAGTAAGTAATTAAAAAAATGTTAACAAAGATAGAATTATTTTTATTTTTAGTAATAATGTAATAATTTAGAAAGTTAATTTAGATGGATGACAAAGTTAGTTAAAAATAACAACAAAATATATAAGAAAAGAGAGAAGTACAAATTTGAGTGATAAATAATAATGGATAAAAATTTGATGGGTAATTTACAAAATAATAAATAGATTTTGAATAATTTGAAATTTGAGATGTGAGTATAAGATGGATTATAATTTAAATGAAGGAATCAAGATTATATAAAGATAGGGAGGATGGTTAAATATCTCTTAATAAATCACAATAATTAATGGTGAAGGAAAGATAAAAAACTCATTAATAAATTTAGTTATCTGAATTAAAAAATGAGCAATTATAATATATGAAAGAGAGAGCATATTGGACAATAGGAGAGGAAGTGATATTATTGAAGTACGTAAAGTGTCATGATGGACTATAGTGCAATTGGGATGGATTAAAATAAAAGTTAAGAAAAAAAGATGGAAATGATTGTTAAAAGAGATATGAAGAAATAAGAAGACCAAAGGATGAAGAATATGAGAAAGCAGAGACTCCAATAGATAAAAGTTGGGATGATAAGAAAGAGAGCATATTATTATATAGTTATATAAAATACTAAGGTTAATGGGGAAAGATTCAAAAAAGGATCAGTGAATTTAGTATTTAAGAATTGTAAGAGAAATTAAGTGAGGTAATAAAAATAATAGATTTCTAGATATAAAGTTCAAGAGGATTGAATAATCAATGGAATGTATATGGAGATTACTAATTATTAGAAGGAATAATGAGAAATAAGAAGTTGTAAGAACTTGAAGGATAATTTGGGAAGAATTAAGAAGAAATAATGAATCATGTTAAAGAAATATTGGAAGAATTAGGAAAGAAATTTAGAATAACAGAAAATGATTATTTAAGTGATAAATCAGATGATTAAGAATAGATTAGAGAAAGAATAGAGATAGTAAGTAGTAATAATAGTGAAGGAAGTGGATACAATAGTTCTGATAATTGAAATTATAAATAATATTTATTATTAATGAAATCAACTAATGATTTAATTTGCAGTAGAGATATGAAAATCTCTAACTCCCCAAAATTCTATTAAATAAATAATGAATAATTACCATTTCCATCTCCTGATTCAATATTGAATATTAAAGTAAACTCACTTGAGGAATGAGTGACAAATAAATCTACTTCCACTACTTAATAGGAAGCACCACCAACAGAGCAAAGTTATGATGCATAATTAGCTTTAAGAACACTTTATCTCCAAATTTCTACATTATCAAGATTAATGACGAGAGATTCAGTACTAGCCCAATCATTTATAAAATAAATATTCATTTAAATTCTCATAGAATTATGCGATGGTAATGATCCATATAAAGCTCTAACCTATTAATCTTTACTAATAATATTATAACCACCTAGAACTTCAATATTATTACAAAATGTAGCTTATATACTATAAGTGATAAGTTGCCATTTCTCATTATCTGTAAGTGTATCTTAAGCAAAATCAATATCCACTAAAGAATAAACAGTTGCACAAGCCCCTGAATCAGTGCAGATATCACAATCACAATTACCAGTATATATTTCAAATTTATTGAAGCCCTATAATAAATGTCCACCTGAATAAGTAATTCCTTCAAATATAATACGAGTCATTAAGGAAGTGTGTTCCACTTCAACAGCATAAAGAGTATATTCTTCATATTTATCACCTTAAGCAGATCCAGCACAATTAACATCATTTGTTCCATATCCAATTTAAATTGAATCCACTAAATTATTGTCTACGTTTAAACGGACATCATTCAATTTTGATTAGGAGTACAAATAAAAAATCATTTTCAGAGTCTTATGTTAAGTTAAAGTGAAATCTTTATATAAGGTATCATATAAAGCCATATATGAAATTGGTGCTGTTGCATCTGTACAAGCTGGAGTAGATATTCTTGGTGTTGCAGAAAATGATTAATATGAGGACCATTAAGAAGGTAGACTGTTATAAAAAGATGTTACTAGTGCTGCTACTACTTCTTAAAAATCAATTAAATCTTTATTTGGTACAACTTCAATTGGTGTATTTTAACATAAAGATGTCTAATCATCACAAAGCAAAACATAAATATAAAAATCTCTTATTCCATAAAATTCACCCACTGCAGCATCTGAAAAAAATTAAAATGTAATTAATTGAGAATTAGTATTAAATTCAATTTCTACATTTACATATTCTTCATTTGCTACAAGTGAACATATTTTAATCTACTTTGTTTTTGTTTTATCAAAATTCCATACATTGTCTCCATTTGCATATAAAGCATGGGAAATAGAACTACTCACTGAATCAATTTTCCAAAATTAAAATTTGACTTTCATCTTATAAAATGATAATGGTAAATAAAATTTCTTAGATATTGATACTCCTGTTGGATAATAACCAAACATCAAAATTTCTTAATTATTAATTAGATTAAATACTGTCACAAAACATTTATTTTACTTCAGAACCAGAAATTAACCATCCTTAATTTGTTGTAAATGTACTAGTTCCAAAATTAACCAATTATTTTTAATATTTAGGACATGTATCTGTAGTATCTGAATAATTACATAAATCACATCCAGTAGGACAAGTTACGGCTATAATTTCAATATCTCTTACTCCCCATGATTCCTTAAAATTAAAACTTGTTACTTACATTATTATTTGATTCATCCAAACTAGATGTTATTTCTATTAATACAGATGGAGAAGAGTGAAAAAAAAAGATCTCTTAAAATAGATATTAAGCAAAATTGCTAGCCAAACCTGAATTAACCAACTATTTATTTACTACTACACCATCAGCCTTTATTATTATGTATTCGCTCTCCCATTTATTTATCCTATATTCTTTTAAATTCTTATTTTTACGCCCAAGTTCTTAGCTTCATTCTAAGTGTATGATGTGCTTATGGAATTTCTACTAATTTATAAATTGCCACTCCTACTCCAAACCCATTATTTCCACCCAAAACTGATTTACTCATTTATGTATCAAAAATTGCAGGTGATCCAATTATTCCCCATCCTATTTTATACATTTATAAACATACCTTGAGTTGTTGAAAATGTAGCTTCTGTAAAATATGATGCTATTTATATTGTTGTTTAGTGGCTGTTTAAAATAAATAGAACAGAGATCAAAAAGATTATTTTATTCATATAATTTATATAAACACTTTTTTCACAAAATCTTTGATGAATAATATTAATAATAATAAATAACAAATAAATAGATTCTCATAATGAAAGTTTCGAGAATTCAAGTTCTTTCGAATCAAAACTATATTATTCAGAAAGATCTAAAGTAAAAGGTTTACTAATGAGCTCACAAGGATCTTGAAATTATAAGTTTTTTTACTTTTCCCTTATAAGAGAAGGTAATATTAAACTTCTATCCCCTCAGCCATCTTATTTACATCAGCATATATGCTAGTGTAAAAGACTTTTTAGTGATTGTTTTTATCTTTATAATTTTTTAATCTTTTTTGAATTTTATTATAATTGCTCATTAAAATAGCAACAGATATCTTGGGATCTGATTCCAATATAAATTAAATTTTTCTTTCTTCCCATCTATTTTCTATTGTTAAAACATATTAATACTTATATTCATTGATTTTTCATCCTTCCAATTTAAAATTCGGTTTGGACCCTGTTCCCATTAAAAATAACTTTCATTTGATAGAAAGTAATCTCCTATTACATATTTATATTCGAAGGGCTTCTAAGAAACCTCAAATGACAATTACCAAAGAGAATCCTATTTATATACTGATATAATTTACCTAAATACAAATCATACGACAAATTTTATCAACAATCCAATTACATTAGGAATTGGCTAAGTATAAGGCTTGTCCATATTTTAAAGTTATTTCGACATTAAACAAAATGAATGGCATAGAAAATAAGTTATTTATAAATTTAATTAAGTGGCTTTATGAATTTAAAATCAATTTGATCCTACTGTCAACTTGAATTAATAATCTTAGCGATTATTATTCCATAATAAAATATTATTTTATTAAAATAAGAGGACAATAAATATTTATGTTGAGTTTTATATTAGATTTAGATTATATATACAAAATATTTCAATTTTGATCTATTGAAATTTTTATATTAATTTTATTCTCATTTTAAGATAGATTATGTGTTGGTTTAAATTATTGTCATTGTCGTTGAATCATCAATTTCTAAGGAATTTAATTGATAGAAATAAAGGGAAAATTTTGGTTCATTAATTAAAATTTAATAAATTGTGTGATATTAATTAAGAAGAATACATTAATAATTCTAATAAGTATAATAAATAAAATATACAAATAAAATTATTTTGATTTTAATAAAATTAAATATTTTATTAAATATATTGTTGTATTAATTTTGTTATTAAACGAATAAGAAAGTAAATTTTTGAATTATATATAATGATAAATTGTAAAAATAATCAGAAGTCATTAAAAACTATTCATTTTTACAAGTGAAGGAGCTTGATTGTATTTTTTAAAGCTTTCATTGGAGTATTTTTCTTAGATTTAAGGAATCTAAAAGTCATCTCTTTATTCTTCCAATTTTTCTTAAATGGGTGATTGACAAATATTATTGTTAATAGTTTTTTTGCCTTTAATTTTTTCAGAAGAGAGATAAGAATCAAAAGGTTTGAGTTCATACATCTCTTAAATCATATTTTTAATTTCTGCAATATATTTATGCTAAAATATAAAAATTCCGCATTGTACTTTTTATTCGATTGAGCTAATTTTATTGTAATGAATGATTTATAATGTGGCTTCATTTTATAGAAAGGAGATAAAGAGGTCTTTGAGTAAATTCTTGCAAAGTTTTGACTCTTTTGGTTCATTAACCTAAACTTAGAAACATCTTTGCAAATCTCCTAATTCAAATCGTTATTGTTTAGATGTCTAAAATAGATATAGAATAAACTTTAGATTCTTGAACATTTTATAAGTATTTATAAGCAGCATCTTGTTCCATCATTTTGGCCCACTTTTTAAAGCGAGATAGAAAGAAATGAGGAATACGCCTAAAGTTTAGAGAGTAAATAAAGTTACCTACGAAAGTCTTGATCTTCTTTAATATCAGGATTTGGATTTGGATGGGAAACATTGTTTGATTTTTCTGAGTCAGAATTGACTTATATTAATTAGAGATGAGATACTTCGTATTTTTCTTGAGGATGGTTAATTTGGGTTAAGCTATTGTTTGATTTCGTCATGAAATCTTTAAATGATTTAGAGAGCATTAGCAAAAGAGTTGAATTGATCTTCATCAGCTTCAAGGATGATTTTTTTATTTTTTTATTCAAGGACCTAAGAGATAAGATAAGAATTAGATAAAGTACTCGATATTTGAATAGAGAAGGCTCATTATTGGTTTTCATTTATTATAATTAATGAGAATGCGTAATTAAATAGCTGTATTCATCAGGGGATCTTGGCTTTAAGGACCTGGATGATTTCATGGTATATCTGCAAAGGTATAATTTAAATACGATTTTGCCCAATCCGGGCTTATATTTTTCTATTTTCCTGAAAGTACGCTTGATCTTTAAGGTTTCTTCTTTCAGTGATTCAACATCTTCTCTAATTGGTGTACCAGTAGCATCCAACTTTAAGGATGTGACAACTCTATTATGAGTATAATTAAGAGTTTCACAACTAGCTTATTATTATTCTCCACTAAGCATTCCAGCTCTTTCTAATAATTCAAAAAGAAGCTATGTTTTTTTAGCATTCTTGATAAATGGATGAGTAAGTAACTAAGCAGCTGTAGGTCGAAGACGTGAATCTCTTTGCAAACATTGATGTACAAAATCTATCATTTCATTTGGATAATCTCCATTTAATCTTGGAGGTTGTTACACTATTTTAAAAATCACTTTCTATGGTGGAACATCTTCATAAGGAATTTTTGAAGTTATTAATTCAAATGCCGTTATACCAATAGCCCATATATCAGTCTTCTAATCAGTCAAAGAAGATTAAATTGTCTAATATTAAAAGAAGGTCTCTTACCTCAGGAGCCATCCAATAAGGCAGACTCAAAATATGAGACTAGGATTTATTTATGGTATCAGCAAATTCCTTATTGGTGGAAAAATAGGATAGTTTAACTTTGGCTTCTTGGGATAAGAAAAGATTGGCAGCTAAAAAGAAAATAAGGGTAAAAATAATAAAACTCACATTTTATATGACGATGTACCAGACCTTCCTGATGGATCTCTTATACACCCAGTAAAAGTTCTCTTATGATCACTTGCACATATTATATCTCCAAAGTTTGTTTATTGATCTTGAATAAATGAATCAAGTCTTTTAGTGATCCTCCTGCAAAGTATTCCATCACAATAAATAGTTTTCCATCTTGTCCAAAACATTTATCAACCAAACAAATATTTCTGAATGGTTTTGTACGATATGTTTACACTGCTTAAGCCAATTCTGCCTGATTGACTAAATTGATGACTTTAATGGCTACGATCAGTCCTGTTTTCTTATCAAGTCTATTATGATATGATTATTAGATTACGCCTTGTAGACTGTAGAATAATCTGTACGGTCGAGTGCGCATAGAATATCATAATCTTCTATTGAATGAATTTAGTGATCCAGACTAATGAAATTCATAATTACATACAAAATAAATCAATGATATTATGCTATATATGTATACTCCAAAGCAAACTCATCTCATTAAATGAAATAAGCTTTAATTTTTAAACATGAATCCCCTAATGTTAAAGCTGATTTCCATGAGAATGATACTAAAGACCCCATCAAGATTCTTCAATCCATTTATGATCAATATGATGCTTTATATGTTGAAGAGATTATTCTAGAAGAACTCGAAATACCTGAAATAACACCTGAATTAAGAGATAAATTATAAGAATTTCCTAATGTTCATAGTTTTGGTATCAATAGATGTGGATTACAAAGTCTTACTAATTTTCCATCCTATAAACATCTAGTTAGATTCTAGGCTGATGGAAATCTCATCAAGGCAAAATAAATTGGTTATCTTAAGAAATACACTGAATTACGTTCTATTTCACTTATTTCCAATTAAATTGATGACCCTAAAACAATCATCAAATATTTGAAAGAAATGAAAATTACTCAACTTAATCTCTATGGTAATCCAATGTAAGATTACTTTAAACTCTTCTTTGATGAAATACCTTCCTTGATTTATCTAGATAATTTATAGAAGACTGGAGCTGAAGTCTATTACGATTACGATGATACACATGAATTGAGTAAACAAGATGGTTATATCTGTCCTAATTACAAAGAATATAAAAGTTGATTTTATACATTTTATATAATAATTAAATACATGGCTTATAATAGTGATTTCCAGGATCTCTTACCTTGTGATTAAGAAGATTTTGCTATCAAAATGCCTGTTAAGACTCATTTGTAGAGATTGGATGTAAGTCAGTCTCCTAAAAGTAGCAATTACTTTAATTATTAATTGATGATTTGGATGTGGCCAAAAAAGACAAAGAATAATTGCGAAATAATTTAATTGAATTATCGTAGAAGACCACTGATTCATTTGATGAGGCAAATAAATATTTGAATGATGAATATAGAAGATTAATGTAGGAGTTTCATGAATAAAATGCCTTATAATTAGAACAACATCAATTTCTTAAATAATAAGTCGATTAGATAAATTAAGACAGAATTAAATTATAATAAAATACTATTGTACTTGAAAACAGAGTTTAAGATGCAGAAAAAGAATTGGGATTTATTTGATTATTATTATCTATTATTAATTATATATTATTATTATTATTTATAATTATATAATTATATATATATTATATATTATATATTAATTTACTATAATTATTAATTCAAATCAATAATATATTTATAAATGTATTTCAAAATAACTATCTTCTTTTCGTTACTTATATTACATAAAGCTACAACATTTTCAACTACAAAATGTACTTGTGAATAATTACTATCATAAAATGATTGTTAAATAATGAAATGTACATGGGACCAAAACAAATGTGAGATGAGTATAGAAACTCCTGTAGAGATAACTGCTAGAATTACTTATTGCACATATTTTGAGGATTCGATTTGTTAAAATACAGTAGGTTGTGCATGGATAGATAAAAACTGTATACCTTTTACAGGTTGTACTGCCTATGTATTTACACAACATTAGGAGTGTCAATATATTTCAAATAAATGTATGTCAGATGGAGTACATTGTATTGATATTGGATTGTGTTCAGAATATAAAACAGAGATTGGATGCTTCAAAAATAAATATAATAAATTATGTTATTGGAATGTGGATAAATGCCAAGATATTTCAGAGTGTTCTCAAATATCAAAAAGTTTATAAAGTGATTAAGAGTGTAGAAATTAATTATCTAAATGTACAGTGGAGGAATATGGTGGTTGTATAGATAGTGGTGATGCATGTTCAAATTAGAAATTAGAAATATAATGTGTTTGGGATAAAAGTAAATCTTAATCTTGTGCATGGATAAATTAGAAATGTGTAAGTAGAATTTGTTCAAATGCCCCTATTAGTTATACTACATTTGAACAATGTAATAATTTCGATTCTACTTGTACAACTTAATAAAATGGAGGATGTGTTATTATAAGTTCTTGCGAGAATATTAAAGTAGAATTAGGTTGTGTTATGAATATGAATAAATAACCATGTATATGGATTGAAAATAATTGTATAGATAAGAAATGTTCACAGGCTCCTTAGAAATTCAACACAAATGAATTATGTAAAAAAATAAATAAGAATTGTATAACAACATTAAATGGATGCATTGAATAACAATCTTGTGAATCTTCAAAAAATTAAATAGGATGTATAGATATGGAGGATGGTACTAAATGTTATTGGAATGGAAATAAGTGTGTTTTAAAAACCTGTATAAATAATACAACATCAAAGACAGATACTGAATGTTAACTATATTAAAATTCTTGTATTTTAAATGTAACAGCTCAAAGTGGATGTCTTGATAAGATTTGTGAAAATATAGTCTAAGCTGATTAATGTATAGTTGATAAATAGAACAATAAATGTTCTTGGAAAAGTACTTGTTTTATAAAGAGTTGTAATTCTGCTTCAAAATCCTTAAAAACAAACAACGAATGTTAATAATATATGGACTAATGTGTTTTAGATACCTCAGGTTCTGGTTGTATGAATATAGGTTTGATATGTTAAGGATATGTATCAGAAAGTTCTTGTTATATGACTAAGAGTGGTTAATATTGTCATTGGAAAGATAAGAAATGTATAGATAGAACATGTAGTATGGCTGATTTAAGTTTAAGTAATACTCAATAATGCTAAGCATTTAAACCAGATTGTATAGTTAGTAATATTTCTAAAGGATGTATGGATCTGAGTGTTAATTGTGAAGATAGAAAAATATAAGGTAATTGTTAATATGGTGATAAACCTGTATGTATTTGGAACTTTAATAAATGTGTTAAACAAAGTTGTGAAAGTGCAAGTGTAATTGGATCACCTAATTATTTAAATGTTTTTGATTAACAATCGTGTTTATCTTATTTAGATAATTGTATCCCTAATAATAGTGGTAATGGTTGTATAGCAAAACCCTAATATTGTACTCAATTAAGTATTAATAATTGTATATCTTCATAATCTAATGATTGTATATGGTCAGGTGGATAATGCAAAGATAAAATATGCATTAATTTGATAGCGTCTTCGCATTAAGAATGTTAGAATCTATTATCTAGTTGTACTGTAAATGTATTTTTAAATAGCTGCATTTCTTTATCATCTAAATGTTCATCCTATACAAATTAGCGATAATGTTTTTTAACATCTAATAATATTAATTGTTTTTGGAATGGTACTTAATGCAGAGATGCTACTTGTACTGATGCTCTAGATACATCTGATTATGATACATATGAAGAATGCAATTCACTTAATCCTTCTTGTACTGTTGTTAGTAAAGTAGCTAAATAAGGATGTGTTGAAAAATATTCTACTTGTGAAAGTTATAAATAATCTTATCAATGTTATTATTCTTCAAATAATATCTAATGCATTTGGATTAACGATTCATGTTAATAACTTTAAAATTTAACTTGTGGAGATATCAAACTTACTACTTATAATCATAGCAATTGTGCTAATGTGCTATCTCATTGTAAATCTAATCTAAATTAAAATGGATGTACCAATAAGATATGTACAGACTACAATTACACAACTCAATAGGCTTGTGAATTAGTATCAGGATGTACAATAAATGCTGATTCTAATTAATGTATTACTAAATTAGACAATTGCTCATAATATGGTGCTGATTCCACTTCATGTAAATATTCCAAAGAAGGTGATTGTGTTATGAAGTCTCTCCTATGTGTATGGACTCATATACCATGTAATACCATTGCAACACCTACTGATGACATTGATTGTTATTCAAAAAGATCCTTTTGTAAAATGACAACTACAGATTAAGGTAATAATATTTGTATTTCCAAAAATTGTACTGAATATTCTGGAATTACTCCAACAACATTCTCCATCTGTTAAGAATATGATTATTCATGTATCAATAATAGAAGTAATACTGGATGTATTTCTATGCAACAATATTGTCATTAGGCTAGTGATCAAGCATGTGTATATTCAAAAGAAGAAGGTGTTTGTAGATATAATGGTACAAATTGTGTACCTATTGCAACAAACAATGTTAGATATTGTAATCTACTTGTAGAACCTGGACTTACATTCTCAAAATGTTAAGATTATTCCAAATATTATTGCAGTGTTAATAGAACCGGTTCTGCTTGTGTTAATCTTAAAGCTTAATGTTCAGAATATTCTAATTTAGAAGATTGTTATTCATCATCATTAGGTAGATGTATTTAAAATCAGCAAAATGATTCTGGAGCATTATGTATAAATATAACATAAGCAACTTTATGCAATAAATTGTTTATAGGATAATCAAGTTCATACACCCATTCTATTTGTTAAGATTTAAAAAGTACATGTACGAACAATTCGAATTCTGGATGCTAAGATAAAACATGTTTGAATACAAATACATTATTTACTACTCATGCTTAATGTAATGAATGGTTGTCAAAATGTACAATAAATTTAACTAATAATGGATGTGTTGAAATGAAATAAACATGTTTAGAATAAAATGTGAATTCTTGTTTATAAGCATAAGAAGGATAATGTATTGTTTATGATAATAAGTGTATGAAGTTCACTTGTTAGAAACTATCCGATACTTTAACTACACATAACGAATGTGAAAGTTAAAACAATTAATGCACTGTAGCCACTATTGGAGGTTGTATTATGAAATCAAATAATTGTAACATGTACAAGACTTTACTATAATGTTAATATAATATAGAAGGTAAGAAATGTTGGTGGAATTAATATAATATGACATGTGTAAATCTATAATGTGATTTGATAGAATAGACAAATGATTATAATACACATAATAAATGTTATAATGCCTCAACAATTATAAAATGTACATTATCATCGAATGGCATTGGCTGTCAATAACTGAAATAATGTACTGAATATCTTATCTAAGGATAATGTGTAATAGATAAATATAATAAATAATGTAATTGGAATGTAAATGGTAATCCAGGTATGTGTTAATTAAAATCATGTGAAAATGCTTCACTTTCATTCATAACTCATGAGGAATGTTAAGAATTCGATTAGAAATGCACAGTTAATATTTTATATAGTAATGATTAATCAACTCATATAGCAAGTGGATGTTTAACATTAAGCATAGATTGCGCAAGTTATTAATATGAATAACAATGTTTTTTAAATAAGAATAATAAATAATGTAAATGGATAGATAATCAATGTGTTGATTTTGGCTGTAAGACTGCACCTAAAACAACAGATTATTCTACTCATGAGATTTGTTAATAATATTTGAACACTTGCACAGTAAATTATGATTTATTAGGTTGTATGACATTACCTAATAATTGTTCAGACATTATGTATCAAGTTCAATGTATTAAAGATATAAATAATAACGATTGTTATTGGTTCGATTCAAAATGCGATTAAAAATCATGTGCAAATGCTCCAAGTGATAAAAATACTAAATAATTATGTGAATAATGGTTACCTAATTGTACAGCTGAAGATACAAATAAATGTAAAACAATCACATGTGAAGATTATCAATATAAAACAGATTAAGAATGCAGATAATAAATGCCAATCTGTACAACTGATGGTATTAAATGTGTTACTAAAGGTACTTGTGCTTAAGCATTAAATGAAACAGCTTGTTAAAAATCTATTAATGATGAATAATGTTATTGGAATAAAACTTATTGTACTTTGAAAGTATGTTAGATTATAAATAAAGAAATAGATTGTAATTAGAGTTATAACAATATCACATGTATTTGGGAGAACAATAAATGTAGAAATATAGGAGAATGTTCTGACTATAAAGGTACTACTCATAAAGAATGTTAAAACTTTAATAAGTTATGCACTATTGATGATAACAATAAATGTAGAAAAATTAGATAATGTAATGAATATTAAAAAGAAAGTTAATGTATTTTAGGATAGGATGGTCCATGTTTATGGATTGAATAATAAAATAAATGTTATAAATACACATCTTGCAACAGTATTGAATTTTAAACACATGTTGAATGTTAATAGATTTCATTAGAATGTACAACAGATGGTATATAATGTGTTCCACTTTCACTTTGTTCTGAAACAAATACAAATGGAGGATGTATTGAAGGAATAGATGGAAATTGTATGCAAACTGTTGCTGCATTAAATTCAAATTAACCACCAGTTTGCAAACACTTTACCAGTTGTATTGATGCTTATTACTTAACACATAAAGAATGTTAATCTGCTAATAAGAATTGTACTACGAACGCAGTTTCCGGTTGCATAAGTTTAAATGAATGTAGTTAATATCAAAGATAAGAATCTTGTTACTTAGATATAAATGGAGTTTAATATCAAGATAACTAAATTGTATCTACAGGTAGATGTGTATGGGATAATGGTTTATGTAGAAAATAAAATTGTTCTGATTTTAGTGGAATTACTAATGAATAATGTAATAAATTCCTTTCATTTTGCACCTTCAGTGGTATATAATGCATTACCAAATAAAATTGTTATTAATATACATCATCAGCCTTATGTTCTGTTGCTTATGGTTTGGAGGGAAAATGTAATTGGAATGTAGCTCTTGATAAATGTTAAAAGCTTACATGTGATGATATCTAAAATGGAACAACATTAGCTTTATGTTAGAAAACTCTATCTAATTGCATTACTAATGGTGTAAATTGTATTAATAAAGATACTTGTTCTAGATATATAACAAAAATAGCTTGCAATGTTGGAGGTACTGATGGTATATGTGTATGGAATTCAAAAACTTCAGTATGTTCATTGATGCTTTCATGTACTTAAGCAGATAATGATTAAGAGGCTTGTTTATAAGCTAATGATAGATGTGCTATAAAATATGCTACAAGCTAATCTACAAGCTCTTGTTATACTCATACTTGTGAAACATATTTAAATAATAATGGCTTATGCAAATCTTTCTATAATTGGAATTACTCTTCTAAAACTGCCTGTTCATTTACTTAAGGAAAGTGTGCAGACATTGATCTATCAGCTCTTACTGAATAAGAATGTCTTATCAATTCACAGTATTCCTATACATGGAATACTAATAAAAACAAATGTTAATCTTGTATTACTCAAAATAATAATAATAACTTTGGCAATAGTACTCAAACAAATTCAAGTTCCAATTTAACAACACCAACTTAAACTGTCGATTATGCATTTTTAATCTCAGCATTAATGTATTTTTTATTGATTATTAATTGACATAATTTTTACACATTATTATTCTATCTGATTTTATCATAAAATTTATCATTATCATTAATGTATTTTTTATTGATATGATTATAACAAATTATTATTCTATCTGATTTTATGATCAAAATTATTATCATCCTCCTTTTACTGTCTAACTTTCTTATTGCTGAACAATTATTAAATGTACATTGTGATTGTACTAGTATTAAAGTCAAAATAGACTGCTTAAGCAGTTATAAAAATTGTTATTGGTAAGAAGATGGTGAATTTTGTGTTGAAGAAAAAAATAATCAATCCTAAAATATTATCATAAAAGAAAAACAACAATATTGTTAATAATTTATAGATATGAAAACTTGTTTAAAAATAGAATCATGTGCTTGGATTTTGTTGGATAAAATTTATTCATGTTAAACCTTTCCAGGATGTAATTTTTATTAAAATACAACCCATGAAGAATGTTAAAGTTATTCAACATTATGTATATCTGATGGAATCACCTGTGTACAAAAACATCAAAATTGTATAGATTATGAAACTTAGATGTCATGTGAATTTATTTAGTAACCCTAATAATATTATTGTTATTGGGCCATGAATTTATGCCTTTAAGCTAATTTTTGTGATTTATTACCAAAATCTTTGAATACAGATGAACAATGCAGAACTGCAATGAAAACATGCACAGTTAATATTGATTAAGGATGTATTGATAGTGGATTAAATTGTTCTGATCAAAAGAATGAAAGTTAATGCTATTGGAATTTAGACCAAACAATATAATGTATTTGGGTTAATAATGAATGTTTTGAAAGAAACTGTAAAACTCTAGCTTAATAATTGAAAACATCTAATTGTAAAAGAGATATTAAAAATTATAAATGTTATGAGGATGGACAAAATGGGTGTTCTGAAATATTAGTTTGTTAAAATTTAAAATCTTTATCAAGTTGTTAAAATTACTAATAAGAATGCTATTGGGATGTTAATACTTGCATTAAAAGAGAATGTTATTATGCACCTAATTCATTCAACACTTGGGAATAATGTCAAGATTTTTCAAAAGAATGCATTCCAAAACTACTTTATGGATGCTAACAAATTTAGGAATGTAATGATGCAGAAATTTAATAAGCTTGCCTATATGACAAATTTGGAAATTCTTGTTTTTGGAATGAAAACAATTAATGTTAGAAAAAATTATGTGAAAATATAACAATTTAAGAATTAGAGAATAAAACATGTAATTAAATTTTAGAAAATTGTATAAAAAATAAATATGGAAATTGTATGAATAAAACAAACTGTTTATTCATTTAAATTTATTAAGAGTGTGATAACTAATATGATNATTATCATCCTCCTTTTACTGTCTAACTTTCTTATTGCTGAACAATTATTAAATGTACATTGTGATTGTACTAGTATTAAAGTCAAAATAGACTGCTTAAGCAGTTATAAAAATTGTTATTGGTAAGAAGATGGTGAATTTTGTGTTGAAGAAAAAAATAATCAATCCTAAAATATTATCATAAAAGAAAAACAACAATATTGTTAATAATTTATAGATATGAAAACTTGTTTAAAAATAGAATCATGTGCTTGGATTTTGTTGGATAAAATTTATTCATGTTAAACCTTTCCAGGATGTAATTTTTATTAAAATACAACCCATGAAGAATGTTAAAGTTATTCAACATTATGTATATCTGATGGAATCACCTGTGTACAAAAACATCAAAATTGTATAGATTATGAAACTTAGATGTCATGTGAATTTATTTAGTAACCCTAATAATATTATTGTTATTGGGCCATGAATTTATGCCTTTAAGCTAATTTTTGTGATTTATTACCAAAATCTTTGAATACAGATGAACAATGCAGAACTGCAATGAAAACATGCACAGTTAATATTGATTAAGGATGTATTGATAGTGGATTAAATTGTTCTGATCAAAAGAATGAAAGTTAATGCTATTGGAATTTAGACCAAACAATATAATGTATTTGGGTTAATAATGAATGTTTTGAAAGAAACTGTAAAACTCTAGCTTAATAATTGAAAACATCTAATTGTAAAAGAGATATTAAAAATTATAAATGTTATGAGGATGGACAAAATGGGTGTTCTGAAATATTAGTTTGTTAAAATTTAAAATCTTTATCAAGTTGTTAAAATTACTAATAAGAATGCTATTGGGATGTTAATACTTGCATTAAAAGAGAATGTTATTATGCACCTAATTCATTCAACACTTGGGAATAATGTCAAGATTTTTCAAAAGAATGCATTCCAAAACTACTTTATGGATGCTAACAAATTTAGGAATGTAATGATGCAGAAATTTAATAAGCTTGCCTATATGACAAATTTGGAAATTCTTGTTTTTGGAATGAAAACAATTAATGTTAGAAAAAATTATGTGAAAATATAACAATTTAAGAATTAGAGAATAAAACATGTAATTAAATTTTAGAAAATTGTATAAAAAATAAATATGGAAATTGTATGAATAAAACAAACTGTTTATTCATTTAAATTTATTAAGAGTGTGATAACTAATATGATATTAATGGAAAATTATGTTTTTGGGATGAAATAAAATAAGTTTGCCTTGAAAAGAAATGTTCAAATTCACCAAAAAGATCTTCACATTAATAATGTCAAGAGTTTTAAAGTACTTGTACTATCAATAAAACAGGAGATTAATGTGTTGAATGGACATGTAATATTTCTAAGAGTTAGGAAATTTGTGAATAATCTGTTTCAAGATGTATATGGAATTAAAGGTGCATAGAAAAGGTTTGTGAGTTTGCATCTAAAAACATAAAGACTCATCAAGAATGTTAGGATTATTTAAATTCTTGTACATTAAGCAATTTAGGATATGGTTGTATGAACATACCACTTAAATGTGAGGCAATTACAACAAAAGGAGGATGTGTAAAGAGAGTTATTAAACCTGGAGGTTCAAAACTAAACTGTGGATGGTATGAAGATAAATGCATTGATAAAGCTTGTGTAACTGCACCTTTGAATTTATTGAATGATTATTAATGTGATTATTATGAAAAAGGATGTGTGATTAAATATGTAAAAGAGAATTAATCTATTGTTGCAAAAGGATGTCAAGAATTATCTTTAACCTGTGAATAAAGAATTAACTTTGAATAATGTATAATCTAAAGAATTGATTATCCAGTATGTATATGGATTCCTAATATTAATGTCTGTAAAATAAAGTCATGCTTAACTGCTAGCATTGAGAATTCGACAGGAAGTTTAAAAGAATTTAATTTAGAATAATGTCATTCTTATTCATCAAATTGTATACCAAATGCTAATAATGATGGTTGTATTAATCAATAGTAATTTTGTTATTAACTTTCAAAAAATAATTGCTTTCATTCATTAGAAGGAAATTGCTTTTTTAATTAAAATAGTTGTGTTTTAAAAATTTGCAAAAATATTAATTAATATTCACATGAGAGTTGCTATTCTAATTTGAAAACCTGTACAGTAAATTCTAATCTGACTGGCTGTTAAACATTAGCAAAATAATGTTATGAATATATATCAAAAGATTAATGCCAAATTACAATTACAGAATAGAAATGTTTATGGGAAAATAACTATTGTAGAGAGTTAGAATGTATGGATGTACCTCAAATCTAAGATTTTAATTCTTATAATAGTTGTCAAAATTAATCATCAAAGTGTACAGTAATAAGGAGTTTAGATATTTGTGATGAATTGGAATATAATTGCATTGATTATAAAACTTAAGAAAGATGTTTTAGATCTGCAAATAACGCAGAAGATAATTGTATTTGGATATATAACAGATGCTATGATTAAAAAAGTATTACTAATCAAGTTTGTTCTAATTTCAAAGGAACTAAGGAAATTTGCAGACAATATAAATTAGGATGTACAAATGTAGATAATGCAACGATATATAATTATTGCTATTTTGATTGTAATTAAGTTTCGTTGGCTAATTTAACATTTTAGTTTTGTTAATCTTTAAGTTATTAATGTTCTGTCAATATTTAAGGAACTGCATGTGTTGTAATGCAACCATCATGTGAGTTATATTATTAAGAAGAGAGTTGTTTTTAAATTTTACATTTTAGATGTTTTTATGAAAATGGATCATGTCACACTTTAATTTCAGGAGATGATTGTCAAAAAATTTAAGGTCCTTTTACTGATGAATATTGTTCTTTAAAGAATAACTTATGTTTGGCAAATAAAAATTAATCAAGTTGTATTAAATTACATTATGATTGTTCAAATTATCTATCAGAAGAAAATTGTACAAGAAATTAATTCAATCAAAGATGTATCATTATTAATGGTTTATGTACCTAAATATCTGATCCTTAAAATTAATGCTAATTAATTTAAAATTAAAATGGAACATTAAATTATGATTATTGCTCATCTTATAGCAATTATTGTGTAGGAACATAAGATTAAACTAATTGTTTTTTTATTCCTTATTCCTGTTAAGAATATAATTATGATTTTAATCATTGTGTATATTCTAGATAGGGAAAATGCTATTATAATGTTTAATATAATATCTGTTTATCAGTATAAAATCCCTCAACTGATTGTATTTAAATAACTAGACCCTCATTACTATTTTAAGATTGTTAATCTTATAATATAAATTGTAGTGTTTCTTATGATGGAACATATTGTATTGAAATTAAAGATTATTGCTAATATTATAATGCTTTTGATTAATGTTATTAAGCAAGATATGAAAGATGTATTTCCATTTAATCTAATGGAATACATCAGTGTATTTCATTTAATCAATGGATTCCTTGTAAAATCATATATTTGCAAGTAAATCAATACAATCATTTTGAATGTAACTCGAAGAATAAATTGTGCACAAATGATTCTACGACAAGTTGTACTGAAAAGAACTGTTCAAATTATATAGGATCTGAATTTAATCATAATAATTGTAATACTTGGAAAAGTGATTGCACAGTTTCAACTTTTTATGATAAATGTGTACCTATGCTTACGAAATGTTCATTAAATAATATTGAATCATGTGTTCATTCATATGAAGGAGATTGCATTGTTATAGATGGTATTTGTTAGATAAAATAATGTTAAAAAGCTCCAGATTATTTATAAACACATTCTTAATGTAATGAATACTCATCTCATTGCACTATTGCTAAAGTAGGAGGATGTGTTAATAAGATGGCTTGTTAATTTTATTCTTAGATTCAATGTTATTCAAGTGAAGATAATCAAAATTGTTTTTGGAATCCATCTAAAAAAACTTGTGTTGTTGCAAATTGTTTATAAATAGAAACTACAGAATTATTTGATTCTCATGATGAATGCTATTATGTTGTTGGATTATCTATTAAATGCACAGTTAGAAGTTAAAATGGTGTTCCTATTCCTGGTTGTATGATGTTAACTTAATGTTCTAATTATTCTATTAAATAGTAATGTGTAATTAGCATAGATAATATATCATGTGAATGGAATGAGAATTTCAATCCTCCATAATGTATGGATAAATCTTGTTAAACAGCTTCAAATCAATTAGTTAAACATGAAGAATGCAATTCTTATTATCTGAATTGTACAGTTAGTAAATTTATAGATCCTAATACAAATCAATATATTGTAGGGAGATGTTAAGAATTGTAATCTTGTGGGTTATATACTTTTGAAGAGTAATGTGTTATAGATATTAATAACAATCCTTGTCAGTGGACTGGAAATTATTGCACTATCAAATATTGTGAAACAGCTCCATTTTCGGATTTATATGATACAAATCAAGAATGTAAAGACTATTTTGGTGAAGATTGTGTAGTTTCTGATTTTGGTAAAGGTTGTATGACAATTAAAATAAAATGCGAAGATTATATTTTAGAATAATAATGCTAGAAGAATAAATTTGGTTAACTCTGTTTTTGGAATTCAGATATAATGAAATGTTTAGAAAATACATGTTAAAATATTGAGTAACACAATTATGAATAATGTAATATAATGAATTAAAATTGTTTTTCACCAAATATAGAATGTAGAAATTTAATATGTGAAGATCTTAAATATTAAACTGATTTTGAATGTGAATATCATATGAAAGGATGTACTACAAATGGTGATTAATGTGTTAAAAGAGGTTCTTGTCTTTAAGCTATGCATAGAAAAGGATGTGTTAAATCCAATTTAGGAGAGATTTGTGTATGGATTATAAAACAAGAAAATGATTATGGATATTGTGATATTGCTGTATGCGATACCGCTCCAACTTCATATAGTACTGAAGAACAATGTTAATTTCATAATATTAATTGTACTGTAAAGAAAAAAGGAGGTTGCAAAGAAAAAAGCACATGTGAAAACTTTGAACAATAAGAAGCATGTATAATAGATATTAATGGTAATAAATGCTTTTGGGAAGATTATATTTGTAGGAGTTTTAATTGTTAAGATTATAAAGGATTGACATATGAATCATGTTAGTATTTTAATGAAAATTGTACTTTAGGTTATAATGGATATTGCACATAAATGTTAAATTGTAATCAATATACATTAAAGAGTATGTGTTATAAAGGATTTGATGGTATATGTGTATGGATTTTGGATGATTAATAAACTTCTGATAGTGAAGGTTAATGTTACTAATTCAGTCAATGTGAATCACTTTAACTTTTTACAGATACTAAATGTAAATAAGCTTCCAAATTATGTACAACCAATGGAATAAATTGTGTACCACTAACTAGTTGCAATTAGACTAATATAAATGGTGGTTGTGTTACAGGAATCGATGGAGAATGTATTATGTATTTTGATATTTAAAAATAAGCATTATAGTGCACTTTATATAAAACATGTTCATAAGCTTAATTTTATACATATTTCGATTGCCAATCCGCTAATAAAAAATGTACAACTAATGGATAAAATTGTATAGAATTTTTAGAATGCAATTAATATTAGAATAAAGTATCATGTGTAAAAGATAAAAATCAAAAAAATTGCTCATGGGATTCCTATTATTGTAGAGATTAACAATGTTAAGATTATAAATTAGAAGATGAATGTGAAAAACATGATTGTGTTTGGAATGAAAATATATGTAATAATAAAAAAAAGTAAGATTGTTTTGACTTTGTATAACAAGAAGAATGTAATGCTTCTCATGATGAATTGAATTGCAGTTTTGATGGTATAACATGCAAACCAAATTAGAATATAGATTGTTTTTCATTTTTAACTGAAAAAATTTGTTATTAGCATAAAAATCCAATTGATTGCTTCTGGTAGGATAATAGATGTTAAAGATTCTAAAATTGTTCTGATGCTAATAATAATAAAAATGCTTGTTATTAATTTTCAAAACATTGTATGTTCATATAGGATAATTGTAAACCAATAGATTGTTAAAGATATTATGAAATAAATGGAATTTGTTCGAGAATCAAAACTTTAGATAAAAAGTATGTTATATTTTGTTCAAAAGTTAATGATTTTTGTTTAGAATTAAATCCTACAACTCTTACGTAATCCAATTGTTTTTAATAATCTGATTAGACATTTGTGTGGAATACCTAGACGAATAAATGTGAAGCGTGTTTTCAGGATAATTCTTTAGATATTTCAAATACCACGGATATCAATTCTCCGAATGAGAGAAAGTAATAATAAATTTTATCATCAATTATGATTTTGATTTTCTTATTGAGTATCTATTGATTTATTTTAATTAAATATCAATACATAACTACATAATTCTCCTTGGAGATAAAATATTCATTATGGTAAATTTCTAAAGATATAATTAATCTACCATTGTTACTATTATTCGGAATTGCTTTATAAAGGATATTTATACTTACCCTAAAAGTAGTTAATAATTTATAAAATCCTTTTGATTTTGGTTTAATTCTCTAGCCAATTAATAAATTTTGACTTTCTAAATTATTGATAACACTATACCTTCATTTAAGCTTAGGTTAAAAACAAAATTCAATATTTTTAGATAGTTAAATTTATTAGTTTTATTCTACAAATATCTCCATAACTATAAAAATATCCTTAGATTGAATTAATAACAAATATATCTTCAAATCATAAATTTTATTCGTTCAATTTCTTTCATTATAGTTTTTGTATAAAAGTTATTTGATTAAAACTGTAGAATGGTAAAAGTGAATAAAAGAATTAGATAATTTAAATAAGAAGATTGTTAATATATTTTTGCTAATAAAAATTAAATTATGTTAACAAAAAGTATAAGATTATTGAGACAATTTAGATTTTGTTCAGCTATGGAAGAAATAACAAAAAAATAAGCTGAATGGTCAGCCATAGCAAGATAGAAAACATAATCGTAATTTAATAATTATAATTAAGACAACAAGAATTTTTAGAATAAACATTATCATAAGACTAAAAATAAAGAGTAAGAGCAATAGCTGATGCTTGTTGTGAATTAGATCTATTTGAATTGCAATGTCTAATGAGCTAATTGAATGAGAATCATTATAAAGCTTAAGGAATAGGTATCTTTGAAATAGATTCAAATTGGCCTGTAATCAAATAAAATGAAGTACCAACTTGGCCTCCAAAAGAAAAAGAATAAATTGAAGCTTATATGAAGAACCTCTTTGGAGAGAATATAGTAAGAATGATAATAAATTACTTAGCCTGATTTCAAAGCTATTTTTGGTGGTGTTGGATCAATGGGAAATCAAGCTCAAGGTTAAGCTGCTGTTTAAAAAGATGCTCCAAAATAAGAAGAAAAAAAATCTGAAGCTGCACCTAAAGTGGAAGCAGAAGTAAGTAATAAAATAAATAATTAAAGAAAAAAAATTATGATGTTGAATTGAGTGCCATAGATGCAGCTTAAAAAATAAAAATCATTAAAGAAGTTAGGTATAAATATAAAAATGAATTTTAGATAACTTCTTAATTTAGGATTGAAAGAGGCTAAGGATTTAGTTGAAAAATTACCAGCCAATTTAGGAAAATAATTGCCAAAAGAGAAAGCCAATGAATTAAAAGAAAAATTAACAGCCACTGGATGTACAATAAATTTAAAGTGAAAACCATTAATATATAAATACATAAATTTCATAAATTTGACAATAATTCCTTAAAATCTTTTAAGTTTAGAGGCTTAGATAATACATAAGTCATTCCTGCATCTAAACAATTTACTATATCTGATTCACTCGTAAATGCTGTTAAACCTATTATATTTATCGATGGAATCTTTTTAGCTTTTATCATCTCTAAAATAAGTTTTGTAGTTTCAATTCCATTTAAAATTGGCATCTAATAATCCATTAAAATAACATCAAGCAATTAACAATGATCGCAACATTTTTATAATTAANTAAAAGTGAATAAAAGAATTAGATAATTTAAATAAGAAGATTGTTAATATATTTTTGCTAATAAAAATTAAATTATGTTAACAAAAAGTATAAGATTATTGAGACAATTTAGATTTTGTTCAGCTATGGAAGAAATAACAAAAAAATAAGCTGAATGGTCAGCCATAGCAAGATAGAAAACATAATCGTAATTTAATAATTATAATTAAGACAACAAGAATTTTTAGAATAAACATTATCATAAGACTAAAAATAAAGAGTAAGAGCAATAGCTGATGCTTGTTGTGAATTAGATCTATTTGAATTGCAATGTCTAATGAGCTAATTGAATGAGAATCATTATAAAGCTTAAGGAATAGGTATCTTTGAAATAGATTCAAATTGGCCTGTAATCAAATAAAATGAAGTACCAACTTGGCCTCCAAAAGAAAAAGAATAAATTGAAGCTTATATGAAGAACCTCTTTGGAGAGAATATAGTAAGAATGATAATAAATTACTTAGCCTGATTTCAAAGCTATTTTTGGTGGTGTTGGATCAATGGGAAATCAAGCTCAAGGTTAAGCTGCTGTTTAAAAAGATGCTCCAAAATAAGAAGAAAAAAAATCTGAAGCTGCACCTAAAGTGGAAGCAGAAGTAAGTAATAAAATAAATAATTAAAGAAAAAAAATTATGATGTTGAATTGAGTGCCATAGATGCAGCTTAAAAAATAAAAATCATTAAAGAAGTTAGGTATAAATATAAAAATGAATTTTAGATAACTTCTTAATTTAGGATTGAAAGAGGCTAAGGATTTAGTTGAAAAATTACCAGCCAATTTAGGAAAATAATTGCCAAAAGAGAAAGCCAATGAATTAAAAGAAAAATTAACAGCCACTGGATGTACAATAAATTTAAAGTGAAAACCATTAATATATAAATACATAAATTTCATAAATTTGACAATAATTCCTTAAAATCTTTTAAGTTTAGAGGCTTAGATAATACATAAGTCATTCCTGCATCTAAACAATTTACTATATCTGATTCACTCGTAAATGCTGTTAAACCTATTATATTTATCGATGGAATCTTTTTAGCTTTTATCATCTCTAAAATAAGTTTTGTAGTTTCAATTCCATTTAAAATTGGCATCTAATAATCCATTAAAATAACATCAAGCAATTAACAATGATCGCAACATTTTTATAATTAATTCAATAATTCTATTGCTTATTGTCCATTGAAAGCCTAAGATAAATAAATTTAATACTGACCACTAACACTTCAAAATCTAATGTTTGTAGTAACATACATAAGGAATGTTAATTAAATATTTCATCATCAACTGAAAGTATCCTTCTACAATTACATCTCTTTTTTTAAACAAAATTTAATAAATTCTATTAACTCTCTTAATCTTCCAAATATTTTAACTATTTTATACTAAAAATCTATGAACTTCTACTTGATTTCATATCTTTAAATTATTGTTAAATTGAAGGAGAATCATTTGATTATCTTAAATTCTTGAAATTTATATCTAAATTTGAATCTGAGTTCTATGAATTGTTTAAATTACTAATTAATTTCGGATTTGATGATCTCAATTCTTAAACTTTTTTATTTATTGTAAAAAAATCACTAGACTTATCTATTGACATCATATCAGTACAAAATTCTATTGTCTTAAATTATGGAGTTATTATATCATTATTTTGAAAATTTGATATTGTTTTTACTTATGTTACTATTACAGTTCCAATCTAAATTTTATTTTAAGAAATCATTTTTGTTCCAAATTTAACAGATTTTCTTGAAAGCATAATCTATTAACCTTTATTTTAATCTTCTACAAATATTGTTATCTTTGTTCCTAAACTTTTACCTTGACTTTTAATTTATAATAATTATCTATTTGAATTAGATGATAATTTTGTTAATAAAATTGATGAGATTAATAATCCAAATCCATGCCAATTTTTACTAAATATAAAATCGGATGTCTCTTAAAATTGACTTAAAGTTTTTTAAATTTTCTCCAATTTTTCTTATTCTATACCAATACCTTAATCTTTGATAGCGATTTTCAAAATATTTTATTCTAATGATTTAAATCTAACTATTACATTACCACTATAAGAAAATTTTAAAGAATTCGCCAATAAATTTACTATTATTTATATTAAGCGATTATAATCATTATTAAATGTTTAGAAATTATTTTTTACCATTACAATTCTCAATCCCATATTTTTCATCTCAAACTATTATTAAAAAAGTCCACTTATTTCATTTATTAATTCTTTGAAAGTAAATTCTTTAGTTTAAAGATATAAAGAATTAGCATAATAGTTAGAAAAATCAATTATATCATTAATAATGCATGATTACAATTTTAATGAATTAAATGCAGGGTGTAAATATTAGGTTTTAGTATAATTATCAATCTTTTACTCAGAAATAGCTGATTCTATTAAATTCTTAGCACTATTTAATGGTGTTTTCATTTCATGTGAGAAAGATTCAATGATTTTTGATTTAAAATCATCCTTAATTTTTTATTATGATAATTCAGTCTATTTTGAAATATCATTTAAAAAGATAGTGATTTCTTTACCATCACTAATAATTTAACCACTCAAAGAAATATTATTGCTATTTTACAGTTTAACAGTGCAAGATATATCTAAAGCTTTATTATTTGAAGCTTCAATCAATGAATCGAAGCTCCCTTTTTTATATTCATCCAGAATTTACTCTAATTTTTTTGTTTGAGCTGTAATTACTTATTTAGTAGACTCTAAGTTTTTAAACTCTCTACAAAATGGATCTCTTTACTTATCCCTTAATCTCTTCATTTAAAGTGAAGCACTTTTAAAGACTTCTGTATATTACTAAGGTATTTAAAAATTCAATTCTTATAAAATAATTTTTTGTAATTCTTCTTCCATTACACATCTAAACAATTCCATAAAACATTAATTGATGTATTTTACACATAAATTTGAATAACCTAATATAAGTACTTATACATTCATTTCTTATATTCTTTACCTCCATATATTTTCACTTAATTTAGATAATTCTGATGGTGACTATACATCATTTAATGATGATTACAAATATTAATTTCTATTTTACAATTTCTTATTATATTAGATAAACCTTAAAATATCAAGTACAATTAATGTTAAAGAGCAGATGAAACTTAGTGCATTTATCTAAATTAAACAAACTGATAATATTAAACTTAATTTTCCAAGTATATTACAAAGTAAAGTAAGTTTAGCCAATTTCAGATTAGTTTTTAACTCCAATGAATAGCACATATAAATAGATAAATATATACAATTAGGTAATTGTAATACAGATATTACTATAATTTCTAATATTCTATTCACAACTATCATGTTCTACAATATGTTAAGAGTTATTTTATTCTTTAAAAGATACAACAAACATAATATGATAATGTCAAATATTATTTTCAAAATGATAATAATTAAGCTAGTTATTGTTTCTGTCAATTCAATAATTAGACTTGAATTTAATACTACTTGTATTGCCAATAGGAAAAGATTAGTCTAAAATAATGTATTTTTAGTTGATGAATTCTTGTTCATTCTTAGAGATATTCAAATAGTCTATGAAATTTATTTTATTTATTAATAAAATATATATATTAAATTAAAGTAAGGACGACTGAATGATATTTTCGCAAGTTAATAATAAACAAATTTAACAGTAAAATCATTAATTTTTCAAAACATAAAGTATTAATATAAAAATTGTTTAGGTTTATCAAATTAAAGTAAGAATTTCTTTAAATTCTTTTAGATTAAGTGGTTTATGTAAAACATCACTCATTCCTGCTTTTAAGCAATTTTCAATATCATTTGAGTTTGTAAAAGCAGTTAGGCCAATAATATGAATTTTAGGGATGATATTATCATTCATCATCTAAATCAATTTTTCAGTGGCTTGACAACCATTTAGAATAGGCATTTAATAATCCATTAGAATCAATGTTAATAATTGGCACTTCTTACTACATTTTTGTATTTTTTAAATATCAGAGCAAGCTTATTATCCATTAAATGCCTTTGAATAACAATAAAATAAATACTAAAATAACTTCAAATCCCAATTTACATAACAACATTTAAATAGATTTTTGATTGAATATTTCATCATCAACAGACATGATTCTTTAACATTGACACTTTTTTCTTCTTTTATAAGTTTAGAGTAATTCTTCATCTTCTTGTTCCTCAGCTTATTTTATAAATTGGATACTAAGTATTCTAGAATTATTAGATCTTTATGATGAATTTTCATTTCTACTATATTTTCTTCTATCTACAACTTTTTATGGTGAATTATAAACTATATCTGTAATTAAAGATGGTTATACAGGAAATAGTAAACCAAATTTTTAATCTAAAGAATCAAACACAAGACTTTCACTAAACATTGAATTATCATTTGATTTTTAAGAACAAATTTTATTTTTTTATTATTTGGGAATATTTTTCATTGCTTATTCTGTAGTCTAAATAATTGTACCATTTAAATTATTAAGTGAAGAATTTAAATGAACTGAACTCTAAAATCTTTATGTATTCTATCGAATAGTTGGTTACTTTATACTATTGTATTTAACTTATTAATTCTTAATAAAAAAAGATACCTTTGAACCTAAATTAATTCCATCAGATTCAAATTTAATTGTACTTTTATCAGATGGTCCTAATTTTTAAACTAACAAAGCAGAAATCAATAATCCAAATCCTTACCATGATTTATTTAATTGAATTTCCTTTTGATTCTTTAAATTATTTAAATAAGACTAAATCTAAGAAATATTTGAAGATGAAACTCCTTGTCCCATATCAGTAACAGTAAATTTTAAAATATCTTTTGTATGAGATTAAATTCTCAAAACAATAAGTCCTTCAGTTGAAAATTTAATTGAATTTTAAAGTAAATTAACTAATATTTGCATTAATTTACTATAATCACTTGTAATGATATTTGTACAACAATCCATTAGATCAACACTAAATTCAAGATGTTTTTCTGAAAATTACATTTAAAAAAGTGAAGTAATTTCATTAATTAATTCTCTCATTGAAAATTCCTTAATTAATAGTTCTAAATTGTTTGTACTTGAAGATGTAAAATCAATAATATCACTAATTAAATACGATTAAATTTTGAGAGAATTTATTGCTGGAATTATATAATTATTTTTTTATTTTTCAGAATTATCAGAATCTTACAAGAAGGCTGTTAAAAAATTAATGGCTCCATTTAATGGAGTTCTCAATTCATGTGAAAATGATTCTAAAATCTAAGAATGAGAAATATAGTTACTTTTGATTTAAATTCGTCTTAAGAAATTAATTATTATAGTTCATTCTGCTTTGATATATCATTTAGAAGTAGTATTATTTCTTCATTTTATTGATTAGTTAATATAGAACCAGATAATTAGAATTTCTTTAATTGAGTATGATTAGTATTAGCATTTTCTGCAAGTCCTTAAAAATTTTAATGACATAATAATTCTAATGAATTATTTACTATATATTCTTAAAATAGACCATCAGAGAGATTTGAGATAATTTCAGCTAATGTGAATTTAAGTGTATTATGTTCCAAAGAATCTGCTTATCTTGAAGATATACATTATATTCCTGAAGATCCTGATAGAGGAGCTGGAGTACCACAGTTTTAATTCTCTTATTAAAAATATCTATTTTATTTACTTCTTAATCTTTAACGAATTTTTAAATAAGAAAAAGATTAACAAATTTAATCTATATTATCTTATACTAAATTAAATTATAATTTATGTAGAAGAAGATCTTCAAAATCTTAATCATTTTCACAAAAAAATGAAAAGAATTAATGAGCAGTTTTATTTTTGAAATTGATTTTTTAAGTTTTAGAATTAATCATTACAAATGATACAGGAATCATTTAAATTCTATTTTTCCACAAATTATCCTATTCTTATTATGAAATTAAACTTTATGCTAATGGATTATGTTAATTTGAAATAAACTTGTGTTAATTTTTAGTATGAGTTAATTTATTGAGTTCCAATAAAAATTAAAAGGATACTGAAATAATTGATATTAAATCAAAATTGATAATTATAATGAATAATGTTATTGCTCTAGTTGTGATTATTTCAAAATATCGAAAATATTTTTTATCAATCTCTAAGAATTCAAAGGAATGCAATAACATAATTAATGCACTCTTTAATTATATGTCTAGTAATGCTATCATTAATAATGTAGATAACCTACTGATAAATATACATATTTTCTTAAATAGGACATTTCTATTAGTAAGTTCAATCATTTAAGTTGTAATGGCAAAAATGGTATTAAGAATACAAACAGTAATAGTAAATATTAGTTATGAGTTGTATTTAACAATCATGAGAGCGTCTATAGTTAATTAAAAACAAAAAAAAATGGTAATTGAATGATCTCTTTTGACAATATTCCGTAAATATTATTTGTTTTGGGAAGGCTTCTAAGTATCATTCATGTCTAATTATTTCATTTTCACTTTTTAAATAATTTATTCTTCTTTAATATAATCTTAATGAAAATATTAATAATAATATTGCTTTTGTTATATTCAGTCTAATCCATTTGGGGACCTACATGCAGAAGTGTAAAAGTATTTATTACATTTAGTTATGTTACAATTCTTAAGGTTCGATTTGTGGAATTTTGTCTTAGAGTTGTTGTAAAGAAGGTTATTGTGCAAATGGTTGGTTTGGTGAAGAGTGTGAAATGTATATATGAGTATTATCTATTCAAGTCGATTATTTATTCCTGGATGTACTACTAATTGGAGTTTGTTTTGATATATAATAATATATATTCAATTATAAAGAATAAATATACTTAGACTTTTTCTAATTCTTCAAATTTAACCTTATATCTATTCTAAATCATCTATTTCTTATTTAACAACTTCTAATAATTCTTCATTTATATTGGTATTCATTAGTAGTAAAATATTCAAAAATATCTATCTTATTTAATCATAGTTCTTTTTAATTTCTTATGCTAGAACATTGTAACAATTATTATATTTATTCTTTCCAATTTATGATTCATTTCAATCAAATAGACTACTTAAAAACTTAAATTTATAAAAATACTTTTTTTTTGGTTTCGCATCTCTTCAAGGATAAACGCTGCTTTTTATTTCAAAATTTGTATATTTTTCTCAAATCTACTATTATATCCTTTATATTAGTATAATACAGCAACTTTAAAATTTTAAGAATAAATGGTTGATTTGGATTAATAGTTTTTTTATTACTATCATGATTATTTCTTCTATTAATAAATTATAACATTTGTCAATAATTTGATTCATTATATTATATAGATATTAATCTTTTTCTAAAATATTTATGTTTAATTTCTTATCCATCTTAATTCTTGCTTTTTCTTAAAATTGTTTAAATCTTGCTTTTTCTTAAAATTGTTTAAATTTGGTTATCTTTGTTAAGACTTAGAATGAACCAAAAAAACTAGAGTAGTTTATATGTTTAAAATAATGAAGAAGAACCTATTTATATAACAGTTTGTTACTTTTCAGCTCAAATCTTAATCCATGAGACAATACAAGATTTTGATGAATCCTGGCATGCAATTAATTTGTATGTCTAACATTTCCAATGTTTTAAAAATAAAAGTTAGGACTAAAGAAAGAGTTATGGTAAATAATTATAAAAAGTATATTAAATTTCTTTCATTTAGCTTGTATAATTATTCTATATATTTTATTTGTTTCTATATATTTATTACCTCATTGACCGCACTTAAATAATATTTACCAAGTTAGTAAGTTAATAATAAATATTTCATAATTTCCATGAACCTACTACTATCATACATTATCATTTTCAATCTCCTTTTTTTTGAAACAATCACACACCTTTTATCTGTTACATAATCAACGCCAATGATTAAATTAATAAATCAAACCATCTCATAATTTAATCCGACTTCCAATTTTAATACAACTCTTTAAATAGAAGGAGATGGCTTTATTTTTCTAATTGTTGAGTTTCAGTAAACTTCAAGTGACAAATCAAGTATAGCTCTTTTATATAATGAACATTTTCCAACTTCTTAAATCAACTAAACTATTCAATTTAGAGATATGGATTACAATAGGTATTTATTCTATTAATCTTTTAGTTATGTACTTAAAAGATAAAATCACAATTTAATTATTCAAAACTTTCCTCATCTTAAATTTATTACTATTCTTAGTAATATCTCTATTACCTTTAATCTTATATTAACAGGTACCAATGAATAGAAATGTTTCAATGATTGCAATAACAATGGAAAATGCTTTTAAGGAAAATGTCTTTGTAGTTCTAATTATATAGGAATAGATTGTTAATTTAAAGCAATAGAATTAGAAATTTAGACTTAGTAAAATCTAAGCCTATCTAATTATGTAACTTTTTTATATTATAAATAACAAGAAAAGTCAAAGGAATTAAATTTAATATTTTATGTAATCTTTTCATGTTATATATATTAGACTAACAGCTAATAAAATCTTACTATTTTAGAGATTATCTCTTCATTTATCCATATCCCTACTTTATAGTATTATGATTACTATGAGAAATTTAATACATCCTACCCTCTTAAATAAATAATTAGTTCAAAAGGTCTTAAAGATCTTGATGATGATGATGATCATCTCAATGAAGATACTGATGATGACAATTCAGATTTATTATAATAAAATAATTTTTTATTAAATAAACAGATACCTGCTAAATTAGTCATAGCAGTTTTATGTTCTATCCCCAATACCTAAATATCTATTTTATTATAAAAGCGTTAGGATTAAATAGACAAACAGGAGTATTTAAAATGGATTATACCATTAAGTATTTTTGGCTTCATAATCATCTTCATTTTTGGAATTATTTGTTTAAAAAAACATTTGACAAAAAAAAAATTTGAAAATAAATATACAAAAGTTCAGTCATTTTCTGATGATGAAATTTGTACATTATGTTAAAAAAGACTGATAATAAGGAATGCTATTTATAAATCTATAGTTTGTTAAAATAACCATCTATTACATAAGAAATGTCTAATTAAATTCTTTGATAAGAATTAAAATTTTGGGTTATGTCCAACATGTCCTTAAATAATAATTGATTGAACGGAAGAACCCAATAAATGAATATTTTATTTATGTACTTAAATTAATTTCCAACAATATAACAATTGATAGATTACAAAAGATAAATAAATTTCAACTACAACAGAAATCATTCTATTAGTTATCTACAACAAGGACAGATTAATTCTAATCGATTATCGGTAATCTAATATGTCCTCCAAATTCTTAAACATTCGCTATGAAATATGTGTTTACATCTCAATTTAATCAAGCTATTTAATTAATCCATTTCAAAATTATCTAAGCATATAGGGCATTCTTTAAAGTTTAATAAATCATCAGAATTTGGAGATTAATATAAATTCTCATTTTATTATTTCATTCTAAAACAAATATATCCAAATATGCCAAAACAAAACAAAATGAGTGTAATTAAAAAAAAAAGTAATAGAATTTTCATTATTTTTTCATAATCATCTATGTTTTCTAATTCCTAAAAATCAATAGATAAACAACATTTTGCTCTTTTTTAAGAAATTATTTTGATTACTAAAAAATAAGATTAGTTTTAGACACTTTACATTCTTTAGTTATCAATTTGATCAATATTTGATATTATTTAATATTGGAGTGTCTTATTGACATTTATTATTTCATCATAAGTATTATTAAAATTAGAAGGTAAATTGAATTATTACGATATTAAGATTTGAACTCTTACATCAGTCTTGTTCTACCATTATTCTGAAAATTTAATACTCAATTTGAATCCAGGAGTAAAGTTAAACTATGTGTAAATGTATTTAAATTATTGATCAATATTTTTTTATTTAAACTATTAAAATGGAGGAATAAGTAATCCTTTTTCTGAACAATCACCATCTAGATATCCAGATTTACATATACATATACCATCCTATTTTTTATCATATTGATACTTTACAAATGCCATTATTAGTACAATTATTTGGACATGGTCTCGAATGTAAATTCTTTATAACCAACTTATATGAAGTAGTTTGATTTGTTAGAATAACTAAATACTAATTAATTTCAGTCTTATTTTCCTAATCTAAGATTATGTAGTGATATTTTTTTTATTATTATTTTCTAATTATAAATATTGAATTAAATACCCATACAAGTCAGCATTTTCAAATCTAATTTATTTTCTGGATGAATTATTCTCATAACAAGGAGCTTCTTTATAAGATTACAATAATAGTAGATTTACCTAGTGTTTTTTTGATAGAACAAATAATTCGATCATTACATATCGAAGTTCTTCTGATTTGTTAACCTTTAGTTATAAGGTTTAATTTATTTTTTTTTATGTGAAATTATGTTCCCAAGGTTATTAACAAATGTCAATTTGCATAAATTATTCGCAATTGCAAAATTGTACTATTAAAATCAAGATTAGTACTCTCATAATTCTAATATTATATTCTATAAATATTTAAGAAAGTCATATTACTTTTATACTCATTCTAACTTTTTCTAATTTTATTTTAATTCTATCCTTATTTTAATTAATAAATCTTTTGCATGTTGATGAATTATTAAATTAGAATAGGCAATGAAAATATGTTTTAACTTAAAAACAAGTTCTTGAAAAGAAGATTTGATTGCATAATCTAAAAATATTTTATTCAAACTAACTTCACACTTTAAAGTTTAATTATTCTTCTATAATATTACATGTGTGGACGTTAGTATAAATATTAGATTATTGACTTTAAAATGTTATAAATTAATTTATTATGTTAAAATTAAATTAATAATTATGTCTAAAGTACATACTTTCTTAGAAAGAAATACATTATCCTTAAATTTAAATCTCATTAATTCTAACGATAATGTATTTAAGAAAATATATATTTAAATATCTAACTTTTTTTAGATGAATTTAGAATGTAAATAATAATCTAGAGAGAAAGTTTTTAATCTTTATCAAATAATTATGCAAAAAATATTTATTAAATTTGATCAATATTTTTTTATAATTCTAAATAATATGATTATTCATCACATAATTATACAATTTGCACAACAAGAATCTCTTATTTTAGATTTTTTATGTTCTTCTAGAATGATTGAACTCAATTACTAAATTTCATCACTTGTAGGATAATCTTCTGAAACTAATTCCACAATTTTTAATATAACAACCTCAATGTTAATATTTTCTTTAACTGAGGTTTCGTAATATAATAAATTTTCTTCATTTATTAATTATTACAACTCATTTTCTTTAAATAACTTTTCTAAATCACATTTATTTCCTAAATCTAATCAAATAGTGTACCAATTAAAATTTTATGTTAAACTTTAGAGTCTATTTTATTGATTAAATTAATCCAATATTTAACATCGTAAAAAGAGGAAAGTTATTGTTGATCAAATACAATTATCACTGCATTTGCACCTTTTATGAAAACTTCTGTTACTACTTAGAATTTTTTATCACCTGAGGTATCTTATAGATTTAAAATGAAATTTTTATTTTTGAGAACAATAGATTTTGATTGAAAATCTCTTGCTTTTAATAGATTTAAGGGGATATCTTGAGATTCTACATATTAATTGGAATTAAGGTAGTCACAAAACCTATTAATTATTTAAGTTTTTCCAACTCCCATATTTCCAACAACTGTAATTTTAACCTTATTTTATGGTTATTTATGGGATTTGTTAAATTGCATATGAATTTTATAATTTATTAAATTTAACAAGATGATAATAAACAATGCATTTTCTTTAACTTATTTTTAAGTAATTAATTTACATCAGAAATTATAAATAGGAATTATAGTAATAAGTAATAATAATAAAGTAAAAATGAGAAGAGAAGAATAAAAAAGATAATCTATGAATAGTAAAAATAGAAATACTAAATGAATAATATTGAAATAAGTGTATTAAAAGTCAAAAAAGATGGATCAACAACACATAGGTTAATCTTATTTTTATGAATCTTGATTTTGAGTAGGACTTAATTTATTAAATGAACTATTTTATTATTAATGTTATTATTGTTATGGAATTTTATCTGTTTATTCTTTAATGAGTTTTGCAATTTATAGAAAGGTATCATTAATGTTAGTTCCTTCCTTTGCACTAGTTTCAAAGTAAGGCATATTATATTTTTATGCTAATTTGATAGCTTAATCATAAGTAATACTTCTTTCTGGAAGATCTGCTTTATTTCCTAAAATAATAATATTATAAATTAACCTATTAATACTTTAATGATGTTGTCACTTGCATGTTATTTAATTTGATTCATCCATTTATCAATATCATTAAAAGTTTCTTAATCATTGACAGCAAAGACAAGTATTATTCCCATAGCTCCTTTGTAATATGTTTAAGTGATTGTTTAATATCGCTCTTATCCAGCCGTATCCCAAATTTACATTTTGATCACTTTATCATCAACTTATATTTTTTTGATTTTAAAATCGATTCCTTATAGATTGGAAAGTGTTGAAAAATACCTATTGTACTAAGACATGAATTTTTAAATTGATTTTCTGTGTATCTCAATAATATTTAAGTTTTGCCAACACCAGAATTTCCAATAAGTAATAGTTTGATCAGTAAATCGTATGTATCCTTAGACTTTTTGACAAGTGATGACATTGTTAATTTTATTAATATAAATTTTGTGAATAAATTAAATTAACATCTATAATTTACAACTTAAAAAGTAAATATTTAAAGAACAAATAATCAGATGCTTAGATGATTAAAAGTTTCGATTAATTTCTCTTTTGTAGCAGGTTTTATTAAGACACTATTAAATCCTTCATTAATGCTCTTTTATTAATCTTTAATACTACAGAAACCTGTAACTGCAATAACTGGAATAGTTCTGGTAAGATGAATTTCATTTTCTATTTGTCTTATTCTTTAAACAGTCTCCCATCCATTCATCATAGGCATATTAATATCCATTAATATACAATTATACCCAACACAATTTAATTTATTACATCTTTTAAGTAATTATGTTTACACCTTTTCTAAAGCTTATTTACCATTAAATGCTGAATCTATATTAAATCCTAATTATTAAACCATATGTGAAAGAACTTCAATATTAAATTCTTCATCATCAACAATTAAAACTATTTTACAATTGCATGAATTTAAAAGTATATCAATCTACATTTCTGATTAACAACCTTTATTTGTTATTTGAATATTATTACATTTATTATAATTCATAACACGAACTTATTAAGTACTTTGAGCATCTAAATATGGAATAATATGATTATTAGATTTTTATAAAGAATTACAATTTTGATTAGATTCTTAAAAGTAATTTAAAACAAAATTAAATCGTGTTCCTTCATCTTTTGTAGATTCAACAGAGAGATAATTTTAATTTTTTGGTGCCATTAACTTTATTATTTGTTTGCTAACTGATAATCCTAATCCAATACCAACTGAATGTTTAGATACTTTTTCATCTTCATCAGTTAAATGTAGCTACTCTAAATTTAAAATTATACCTTTTTTCTTAAAATACTTAACTCATCTTCTGTCATACCTATTCCTGTATCATTCACTTATACTTCAAGTAAATTATTACTATCTTCTAAAATACAAGAATTTACATCAATCCCTTCCATTGACTCTATATATTCTTATTTTTGAACTATTATACTAATTCCTCCTTTATAAGTAAAACGAATTGAATTTCCAATCAAATTTAATAGTACTTAACATATTCTTTATCTATCTCCACTTATAATATAAGAACTTTCAGGTAATTTTACATTAATTAATAAGGATTTCCTTTCAATCTAATTTCTAAACAAATCTACACATTCCAAAATTACTGTGTTTATATCAAATTAATCTTATTTCAATTAAAAACTATCCTCTAAAATATCTCTATAATCAAAGAAATCATATATCTTATATAGTTGTAATTTTGTATAACTTAATGCTTATTCTAATTACAAATGACAAGATTCTTGTTTTAATAATCTATCCTAACTTTGTTTGATGAATCCAAATACAGCATTTAAATTTGTGAGTAATTCATGAGAGATAGATCTTAATAGATTCTTTTTTATTGATTCTAATTTTTTTAATTTAGCTTTTAAAAGAATTTAATTCACCTCATGAATGAAATATATTTGTAATTCATCATCATTATCAAAAAATTTACAGTTTTCTAATACATTAATTAAGAATTTCATTTTGTGAACATATATAGGTTTCGATTTATTTATCATATTTACATCTTAATCCAATAGAGATTACTTATGACCTGAACTCCTACCCTCCTTACTACTTAATAAACAATCTGCAGATATTTTTCTACTTGGAGTCATATATGGTTTAGGTACTTTATTTGGAATATTAGATTTTTTACGTGGACTCTTTTTTCCTGCTGATGACAAATACAATTAAGGAGGATTATTAACTTCAATTTTCATAGTTACATCTGATGTAAATGTTTTTTTTATTATAGATTCATCTTCAGGATTTTTAAATGATTGGAAAAACTTTTAAAATTATACATGATTTTTAGGTCTATCTGTTGAAGTTTCATTAAAAAATGTTCTCGTAGATTAAATTGTGTTTTTATCTTTGTTATATATTACATTCTTTATTTTACACTGATCATCAATATATAGATCATCATCATCCAAATCAAATTGGGCAGACTTTTAATTATTATTTAATTCATCTAATTACAAATTTTACAAAAAACTTAGTTAATTTTTAGTAGAATTGTTAGTTGCTGTTTTTTCTGGAGATTAATCAGTTTCTGAATGATTTGTACTTTCTAATTTATAAGCTAAATTATCAAATACTTTGTTGGAATAGAGTAACCAATTTTTATCTTTATGAGCAATACACATAGCTTAAGGCGTAGAATCAATAATTAAAAATAAAGCTTATAAATTGTTGAAATGCTACATTTATTAAAGTTCTTTTCTTATGATTTACATAATTAAGAGAGCGATGGTAAGATATAATCCTTCAAAAGTGGAAATATTGGAAAAAAAGAAAGTTTAAATATAAAAAATAAGTATAGCAAATCCCTTACATAAGATTGTTAAGTACATGCTTTGAAAGATTACACAAATAGTAGTGTAAAAGATAAGGTAGCTTTCATCTAAAACAAAGTAACAAAGGATATAAAGACATTCTTGCTAAATTAAAGGTACAATCTACAAAAATTTTGATTCATATAAAATGATTTTTGGAACAAATGAAAAGAGGATCAAATGAACAAAAATCTGAAGTCCAAAAATAGTCCACATTAATGTATTATTAGCTAAAGTTGATAATTTAAAGATGATAAAAATGATCTAAATAATAATTAATGGTCTGAATGAAAGATCGGCCCACTAAGTATAGTTATGCTTTTTCCATGATTAATATTGGTAATTATTGAAGGTCATTAGATATTTACGTATGGCTTTATAGAGAGTTTGGTATTTGGACATTTGAGTTTATAAATAATATTTATAATAGTTTATATATTTGATGAGATGATAATATAATAATAATATCTTTAAATAATTTAATCTCTTACTTGTTTTTTTAAATCCTCAAACTTATAACAAAAAATGAAAGAAGAAGACAACGATATAATAAAATAAGTATATAGCATTAAATAATTTGCTAATAGGAAGAACATTAATTGTATTATCAACATTACATGATTCCATTAAATTATATCTCTATTCCTAACTAAATAGAGCATTACCAATCCACACTCTAATTCTTATCAGAAGAGAATCATCGTCTACGCAAACTACTTAACCTAAATTAATAATAATAAATAATCTGTTTGAATAAAGAATAACTTCAAGAGGAAGTTTATAAAATGATGGATTTCCTCATGAAAAATCTCAATTACTTATCTAAAGAATAGATCTTTGTTTACTAAAAAACATTTCGTTATTGGGCCTAAAAAAAGGCACTTAAATACATTTTCTTCTAGATCTTCACTAGATACTTACAAGTATAAAAAATGTAACTTTTTTTAGGCTGTGAAGACAAGAGAAGAAATGATTAAATTTATTATTCGTAAAAGTATGAAGTATCAAAAACAAACTCAGACTAAGGAACAATTAAAGGAGAAGAAAGAAATGAAGAAAATGAATAATTCATTCGTCAAGCAATTATTCCAAAATACTTCCTATTAATAACATTATTAGAACTTTTAAAGTAAAAATTTTACATCTGATTAAAGTAGATTAATATTTATAATTGGCATTAAATGAGAATTAATAAAAGATTAAGAAATATGTAGTATTTATAGTGGAGTTAATATTATCTGATCAAATAAATGTAAGATTGAGAAATAATTTATTTTAGCAAGTATTGAATTACAAGAGATTTCCTTGGCTAAATGATTGGATAAATTAATCAGTTAAAATTGCTAAAGACTTAGTAAATCTTTATAATTAAGATCCTAAAAATAGAAAATCTGATAACTATCTAATGAAATGATAACATTATAATTTTGTATTAGTTTAATATTGGATTAAAATATTCATTTAATAAGTTGAATGCAAATGGGACTATCATATTAACATTAGATTTGAGCAAGTTAATAGAACATGGCAGCAACAGTCCATGAAGGAGAAATGTTATTAATTTAGTCAGGACTATAAATGATTTGATCTTTGTTGATTCCATAACCATAAGAGAGTAATTCATCAACATAAATACTTGAGAAATAATCTGTAGTAATGTATAGATTATTTATATATTCAGGTATTTATTGAATATCTGACCAAACTAAAGAAGTAAAACTAAGAACTTTATTTGAATATTAAGAAAGTGTATAATTTTCAAATCCAAACAAATCAACCATGCTTTAAACTCCACTTATAGCATAGATAGTAGTACTATTATCAATTTTTGGTTGATATGCACCATTGATACCACAATTAGAATGTTAACAATCTTATGGATTATTATTAAGATATTCTCTTATAAGTCTTTTACATTCTGAATAATTTCCTTCTCCAATAACAGTATATTTTGAATCATAATCATAAGTATTTTAATAGCCACTAAAATAGCATGGAGTTGTGATAGTAAAGGTTTGGTTGTCTTAAAACTATTTATGTATTTGTATTAAAGCTTAATCCATTCCATATAGTAAATAACTACTGCTAAAGATTTCGTATTCATTTAGATTTGGTATGATAAGATCAATGATTCCATCTTCAATATTTCCCTTAGGTTTGAATGAGATTTAAGTTGAAGCTCCACCTAAATCAATAGTTGTTACTTAGTCTTAATTCTGCATTCTATTGAGTAGATAATTCAGAGATAACCACATATAAGCACCCTATATAATATTAAATATAATTTACCTCTTCTTCTCCTGTTATAACTCTAGCCCATTGTTCACTTAAAAAAAGGAATCCAGATTTAGAGAATAAATGTTGTACTTATTTTATAATATCTCTCTATTATTGTATTGGCAACATTCTCATACCAGCTGTTGCACCTAACATGATTGGAGTATATGATATCATTTCTTAAGGAACATTACTTATTGCAAAATCAATTAATGGTTAAAGATAATTAGCAATTTCATTTATTTTAGATGCAAATGTTGATATTCCTGGTTTTACTTTCTTCTCTATTGATTTTTCACTTAATGAAACATATGGCATTGTTTAACTCTCTCTACAATTCCATTAATAAACATATACTCTTGTACCACTACTACCTCCATCAAACATCACTCCATAACATTTTAATCCTTCTAAATTCCATAAATTTCCTATCGTTCCTTTACTTTGAAATCTCAAATTATTAGCTATAACAATATCAAGTAATAATAATAATAAATATATCATAATAAATAATAAATTAAAAATTATATAATAAATTTATTCAATTTACCCTTTATATTCCCTTGTTGATTCAATTATCTTCTATTCTTAAGAATTATATTATAAATAATAAAATTTAGAGAATTATCACTTTATTATTAAAATGCAATAATTCTACTTTTGATTAATTTGTTAATCAAATAAAGTGATCCTTTACTTAAATTTTACATCTCCGCTAATAAAAAAAGGAAATCGCTAGAAATTAATTTTTTAGCAATCAATAAAATATCAAATCTATAAATACTCTTTAAAATCTGTAAAGAAAATCAATAAGGATTTACTTTAATCGATACAAAAACACTAAAAATCTTAAATTAATGAGAGAATCTTTTATATATCCTTAAAATTAAATTTTTAAGTCAAATTTCACTACAATGATTTGAGTTATACTTAAAGATTTTCTTTAAATTATAGTTTAAAGAAATATCTCAATTAGACAAATATTTTATCAATATTCAGAAGTCATTTATGTTCTAACAGATTATATGATATTAATTGAATAATATCTATAAAATATATTAAATTTTGATTATATGGCCTAGAGTTATCTCTCCTGATTGATTTATAAAATATTATATCCAAAAGGAAATAACAGCAATGTTATATTATATTATATATACACTTAAAACATTGATGAATATCAAAAGCATTCTAATATGTAATTTAAAATAATTTATTCACTTCAATTAGTTATTAATCATTTTAATTCTAAAAATAATTCATTTGATAACATTTAATTGCATCATAATTGCAACTAAACCAACTCAACTTACAACTGAAAAAATCTCGAAACCTCCTAAATTTTTAATAAGCTGCTTCTCCATTTACTTTATTGATAGTTTTTATTCGATATTTAATCCTAAATCAAAATCAAATATTTTATTATGATTTTTAGTTTTATAAAAATTTTTATCTATCAATTATTCTAGAAAGATAAAACATGATGAATATTGCTTCACAAAATTAAATTCAACCATCTTATGAATTGAAAGTTTCAATCATAAATAATTCAAAATTGATTCCTAAGTGTTCAACAAACTTCTGCAAGAAGTAAACGTCTAATGTGGAATAAGAAAACGAGGAGAAATAAAAAAAGAGTTCTTTTTATTATGATTTTATTATTAAAATTAAAATGGGAAGTATTTGTAAATAATAAGCTCAATAATAAATTGAAATTCAAAACGAAGTTAAACTTTCTAAAGGCTCTGAAAAAAAAGACTTCATCAAAAGAAATACTGAAACTTCTGGAGGAACTTTATAAAATAATCAAAATAGCACTAAGCAATTTTCAGTTAAGAAGGATCCTTTGGCTAGTTATATGAATGAAAGCTTAAGTGATTCTGATTCAGATTCATAACATAGCAAACCCAATCAATAAGTTTTCACTAATTTCGTTACTTTTTAAGCTCTCCCTTCATAAAAATAAATGATACCCAAATTTGAAATGCTTAAGGATTAGTTCAAAAATGAAATGCTTTAATAAATTAATTTGCAGAATCAAAGAAAACAATTTTGAATAATTTATCATCATATCTTACTTAATATATAATTCATATATAATAATAATTTTATATTCATTTAATAATTGTATAAATATATAAATTACAATAAAAACAACAAAAATTAGTTATCACAATACATTTTTCTAAATCGATAAAAATTAATAATTATTTTCTCACAAAAATTAAAGATATCCCTATCCATGAATAGGTATTGAAGACTATCACTTTCTATTTTATAAGTATTCATCTATTTAGCAAATTTTCTAGCCTAATTACGATTAAATTTAGAATTTGCTATATTAAACAGTACCAAATTGTTATCATCACTTTAACTTTATTTCTGAAACTTTTCCAATAATTCTTAGTCTATTGCTGTCGAAAACTCTAAAAACACACAAAAAAATCTTTAAATTATTTACTTAAATTTTTAATACTATTAAAATTACTATGAAATTGATATCCACTATATTTTATAATTCATAAAGACAATTAATTTAAAAATTTTCAACAAAGCGTTATGAATAATGGGTTGAAGGAAGATTTTGTTTTATTGCAAGTGAGCTCTATTTTTTAATTAGACTTTATTAAATCTTATAAAATAAAAGCAATATTAACTTTGATAGTTAAATTTATGGTTTTAATTGATGGCGAAATTTGAGTGGTTTAATTGTAGAATGCAAATGATTTATTTTATGAAATTTTTAATAAATATTACATTTAAAGTTATTATTTGTAGTAAGGCAATAAAACTTACAAGTACAAACAAGATTAAGATGTTAAATTTAAGTTTTATCTAAAGATCCATATGAAAAAATTTGAATTTAATATGATTATATTTTTAAAAGTTAGAAATATAAATTGAAGGTACAATTGTGAAGAAAATTTCACAAAAATTAGAAATTGGCTTTGATTATAAAAATAATAATAATTAAATTAATAATAATAGAATGTAATAAAGTCAGAATTTGACTCCATCAATAGGAAAATACATAACAAAATGGTGGAAGAATTTAGGATTTGGTTAGAGATTGCTGTTGTTTTTGCAAGTCTTATTATTATTAATTAATTAATATGTATATCCAATAGAGAACAGATTGTCACATAAAACTTTAAATGTTATTAATGGAGACTTTTGGAGATTATTCACTGCTCCATTATGTTCAAGTAATTGCTTATTATTATTTATTATAGATAGTTTTAATGGAATTTTGTTAAATTGGTTTTTTTTTTAGATGGTTGTTAATACTTTTGAAACAATAGTGGGAAGTGCATTTTTTATATTTGATTTTGTTTTAAAGAGTTTTCTATTAGAATCTTTGAATTTCCTATTGAATTTCGGATTGTCATATTATGATCCATCTTATATCCACACAGAATCTTCAGGGATTAGTGGATTAACAATTTATTATTTATGTAGTTCGTAAGAAAATAATAAATTTATAAAGATTTATTGCGTCGCCATATAGTAAGACTAATTTTGGAATAATTTCAATAAAAAATTATTTTATAATACTTACAATATTATTTGGAATAATTTATTAAACATAGGATTTGATTTATGTAATTGGATTTCAATTTGCAATATTTGAATGGTATTTTTTTGATGGGATGATCATAAGATTATCAAATGTATTTTTATAGTAATGATAGAATTCAATAGAAAAGTTATCATACATTTTTGGTTCATTTAAACATAATGAATGTTTTAAGTAACCAAAACAAAGTCTACAGGAACCAAAAGTAGCAGTGCAATAATAAGTAGATGATAGTCAACAGAAAACAGATGCAGAAGATTTTGGAGGAAGAGGTATAATGATAGGAACAGATGAAGAAAAAGCTAGACAATCTAGACCATAAGGGTAGAATAATTATTAATAGATATGAATAGTTGATATCATTTATTATTTTGAATATATTTCATATGAATTTTTTTATGGAAACTATGCAATTCAACAGACACTTCGACATTTATATAATCAAAAATTCTATGTGTTGTGCCTTATATAATGATGTTCATTCTGTCAATTATTTATGCTTCTATCGTACCTTCCAATCCATATCTAGGAATCATGACAGTTACTTTATCTGTCAAGATTCCAGTAATAATAGCTTGATCAATTTATTGAGATCTATTTTTGAAGAATAGATAGGTATGATAATCAGATGATGCTCTACTAGCAAATCTAGCCATTCTATGTCTCATATTAAGTTTATCACAAATTCTAGTCATTCTTATTTTATTTGACATAGATGGTGGTAGAGATTCTAAATCAATAGAAGCAGCCAATAATCTATGAACAAGTACATCTGCATATCTTCTAATTGGAGATGTAAAATGTGTATAGAGTTCTGCAGCCAAACCATAATGATAAAGTTCTGGATAATCTACATCAGCTGTACACACATAAAGAGCCTAAGATAAATAATAATAGGAATATACTTCATTCATACATCTAGTTGTAATCATACGAATAAGTTTATTAAAGAATGAATCATTCTTTCTTTAGATTTAATCTAATGATTCACTAAGTAATTTAGATGTCTCAAATGTAAATTGATATCCTAAATAAGAATATATGAAAATGTATACCTAAATCATTCATTAAGATTTATAGTTCTTTTAATTATTTCATCTTTGGTTCTTGATGTCTACGTAGAACTGATATTGATGGAAATCTTTGTAAGATTTGATTGGCTACCGAACAATTAGCTAAAAGCATGAATTCTTCAACAAGTGAATTTGTATCATACAATTAATACATACGTACATCACTTGGATTATGAGTTTCATCATCAAATGAGAATTTAACTTAATTACTAGCTAATGATAATGCTCCTTAATCTAATCTTTATTATTTCAATTTCTTTGCTAACATATTCAACAATCTTATGCTCTAAGTTAATTGACTATTATCATTAATATTATCAATCATTTCTTAAGCTTATTAATAATGTAAAGATGCAACAGATCTGATAATACTCTTACCGAATTTCACATCCTTTATATTAGCATTTTCATCCATTATCCAAATAACTGAAAAGGCTAGCCTATCTACATTACTTACTAATGAACATAAATTCTCTGTTAATAATTTCGGTAACATATCTGTCCTTCTGTCTACTAAATATACTGTTGTGCATCTATGAGCAGCTTCTTTATCTATTGCTGTATCTGGCCTTACAAAATGTGATACATCTGCTATATGAACACCAACTTCATATAAATTATTATCCAATCTTCTACAATGTAATGTATCATCAATATCTTTACATCCTACTGGATCTATTGAACAAACTAATATATCTCTCAAATCCATTCTTCTCTTTATCTCCATCTCTGATATTTTATATTTATCCTTTATTTTATTAGTAATTAATATATACCCCTTCTATTGGCAAACAAGCTAATACTTAATGTGAAAACTCTCTTATCTCTACTTAATGTTCCAATAATATAACATTCCCTTCAATAAACATATCACCTGCTTTCCCCAATACCTTTTTTAATTTACATAGTGGTTTATCACTCCAAACTGGCCAATCTACAAATTAAACTTAAATTTTCTTATCCTATAAACTATCACATTTAGAATGTTTCAGAATAAAATTCGGATATCTACCATCAGCAGGAAAAAATATATTATTCTCTACATGACCACAAAAATGTCTTTCTGTTCTTTATAATACACAGACAACTTTTCCATAAGGAATTAAATTCTGTGTTTATACTTTTTTAAATAAACTTTATAAATGGTTTGTTGACATAATTTCATGACTAGTATCATTTGTATGTGTATTATTATTTCCATCATCTTCTTCCTCTTCATCAAATGTTATTTATATTTACTTTTATTATTTTTACCACTCTTCTTCTGGTAACAATTCGACAGCTACTCTATCTCCATGTAATACTCTATTTTACTAATTTATCTTTATTTCTAATTAAAATTGTTTCACAAATATCCTAGCCTATTTTATATTGTTTCTATCTATCGATATTCTCCCTTCAAATAGTAAACCTTATTTAATTTACTAAACACATTCCTCTACAGGAATATAATTGAACTAATTCTTAATAGCCTATTAATCAACTTCAAATTCTTCATCCATTCCCAAGAAATCAATTAAATCATTGTTTTCATATTATTTTACATAATCCTAGATTGTATAGCATTTTATATTTAAATTCTTGCTTTATTAATGCATATCATAATTTTGGGTCAACAAACATAAATCTAACTCGTCTTTCAAAAATTATCTATGTTCATTATACCATTTAGCCAATAATATTAATGGATTACCATTTTGTGTGTGAACAGAAAATTCATCTTAATATACATAAATTTTCTTTGAAAAATTAGATTCAATCAGATTTATTACTTATTGTGCATACTATGATTATTATTATCTTTTTCTGAAATGAGCTACTTAAGATTGTAATACCACAATATTTTTAATATTAGATTATTCAATCAAATCTATATATTATTCCAAAATCTCATTATCCAACAAATATATAGGATTTTCTAATTGAATTTCTGATTCTTGTGTACAGAATGCGCATCCTCTAATCTGACATGGTATATCACTCGAAAGATAAACTTCCTTAGCTTAAATCATAACCTATAATCTCTTATTTAATCGTGGTTATGAATTTAGTTATACTTTCATTAATTAATAAAATTTATATATGTATTACTTATTATTCTTAATTGGCGTTGTCTTTTCAAGTATTAATCCAGCTGATTATATTTCATAATCTGATCGTCCTTAAATCGCCGCTCATCTTAGAATTTGTTCAGTCTTCCAGTTATGATGATATCTAACTTTAATAGAAAATAAGGCTTACTCATTTGAAGGTGAAATGTTTTAAGGAATAGACTTCATTGAATTAAATGTTGTTCTATCTCAAGACTTGCATTGTAAACATTAGACAGCTCATAAATTATGTAATAATAGTAGCAAATGATACAATAATGAGTGCTGTTTCTATATTTAATAATTGACAGAGTATTAATCTAGACAAAGAAAAAAAACAATCAATGGATAATAAAAGATGATTGGTGATTGATTGATTTAACTATAGATGAATTAAAAAGAGTTGGGATCTATTAAGCGAAAGGTTCAACAAGATCAAATATGTTTGATGGTCTTTTTACTTATCCAAAATTATGGGAGGTAAAGAATTTCAAAAATCATATTGAAAAACAAAGAAATCCTAACAAAATGGCTGTTTGGATATCATTTAGAATATGCAGGAGTATCAATAGTTGAATTAGTTATTTATGAATTATAAAGATTAGCTATTTGAACAATAAAAGAATACAAGAATGAATGTTGTTTCAATAGTCATAATGAATTTGATATAAATGCTTCAAGAGAATTGACTAACCTTTCAAGAGTGTTTTATTAATTGGATTGTAAGAATTAACCATCAACATTTTATACTACAAAATACATGAACATTATTGAAGCAGATTTAGCATCAGCAAGGAATTAAAAGAAGAAGTATAATTAAATATAGATAATTAAATGATGGTTTAAGCTTAAAAATTCTAAGATGATGCTAGTGGAACCTTAAAGATGTTCAATGCAAGGATTGCTAAATATTAACTATCAAGCAGTAAAGATGAACATTCATGGTCTTATAACAGAATTTTCAGATGTAGCAATATAATATGTTTAATTATATTAAAATAAATGAACAATTATCAAGATGAAGAAAGCGGATTCAAAATATAAGAAAAAATCTATACTTGGGGTCGTTTCCTATTATTCTTCTTAACAGGTGTAATCCTGTTGATAGTTTCATTCCCTTTTTCTGGGTTTTTGCTCATCAACCCCTATCCGTTTGTGCTGCTATTTTCATTAGGATCATTACTCATTTTGATAGCCATTATTTAAGTTACTGAATACAAAACCATCTTTAGTTAAGCTGGAACTGTTGTATACTTTATAGCTTTATTGGGTGGTCTTTACACAGGAGTATTTAAGATTGGATATTTGACAACCCTAGGAATAATGGTCATCTAAATTTTAGCTCTTCTGTATTTGATGGCTGCCCTTTTACCAGGTGGATAGGCAGGACTTAAAAATTATGTGCTCTCAAAAATCAAAACATGATTTTATATATGAATTGGGGTTATTATATTGAGTAATAAGATAAAATCAATTCTCATCATCATCATCCGTTTTTATTCTTTTAAAACAATTATCCCCAAAAATGATTCCTTTTGGTTTTGGTTCTCTAACTTTCATTTCATCTTCATCTTCATCATTATCATTTTTTTTTCTAACAATTTTGTTAAAATCTAATCTTATTTCTTCCCTCATCACTTAAACTGTTTATTATTGAGGTGTTTACTCCTCCGAATCATCTTTCTCATAATATTTTAAATCCTCCATCTACATTCTTGTTTTCTATCCATCCTCTATATGAACATACGAATACTGCTGTACCAACTTTGCATATAGAGGATGATCCTACAGATTTAAAATCCTTACTTAAATAACCTAAATAATAAATCAATCATATACAATATATTGACTAAGAGTTGTATTTTATTTTATATACTTGATAATGTCTCTTATTTGACCTTCTAATACTCCAAATAATTTTTAACTTGTAGTAATTTTGATGAATGATTCACAATAAGGCTTAACAATTTATGAACAATTTGATGTACATAAATACTTAAAATGTTTCAATGTAGGCATTATCATAAATTTATCCTTTATTGCTAATTTTAATTGCTAATCCAAAATATTCAATATATGATTAGATAGTATTACCAATTCTTAAGTAAATGTTTTTTATTATTAACAAATTAGTTACACAATCTCTTATAATGATGCTACTGCAGATGCATTCAATCTTTTATTAAAACATCTCATCAACCAATCTATTCCTTATCCTAGGATTGCCTAATTCTAACAGATATACTGAATTATGTCGATAATCATACTATTTAATGTAGTCATATTATTAAACAGTAAAGTTTCCATACTTTACCAAAAGAGTTATTGATTTTATTTCAAAAATTCTTAGAAGTATTATGAATTAGAATTTGCAATCATAATAGTCAATTACAATGTTGTAAAACATAGTTACTGTTATTATATTTCTAGTGTCTTTGAAAATAATACCCTTAATAAATCTGCTTTGGCAATACAACTCACAAATGCATCATTCAAGGATTGAATCTATAAAAACTATTTAAATGACAAAAAAAATTCATTTATAAACTTACAATTCAATTCCAGATTTTCTACAAAGTTTATCAAAAAATCTTCAAATTATCCTCTGTGATTCAACAAAAGACTTTCTAATATCTATTAGTTATTTTAATTAATGTAAAAATTGAATTAATTATATATTGGATCTTCTAAATAAAGATAATATGCCATAACACTTTCTTTCAAATATGACAATCTATAATTAAAGTGAATTTTCTCCATTACTTCGGGATTCAATTCTGTAATTTAATGAAATTTCAATTCAGAACTTAAGAAACTCCTATAAGAAACTCTTTGTGGTCCTCTATTTTCAGAATGATCTACAATTATTAAAAATATAAATTTACATTCCATAATCCCAAAAAAGGTCATATAAAATTTATCACTAAGCAATCTTTTTAGAACATTTTCATTTTTTAAATATACTAAAAGAGATACATCAAATATATATACTTAAATTTCTTATTACATAATGTAATTATTCTAATGTATGAATATGTTATTATGCTTCAGAGTCTTAAAATATCTTTGCTAATGCTTCTAAAAAAGTGTTTTATGGATCTGTTGTAAGTTTCTATATTATTAAATCGGGATTATCACTAATCCATAATTAAACTGCTTCTAAATTCTATTGAGATGGTATTATAGGATACGTTGATTCTGGATCATCGTATCGAAAATGTCTTCTACTATTTTATAATTAATTCCAAAACTCAGATGAATATCTACAATCAATAAAACTTATAGCTATTTCTAATTTCAAATCAATTTCCTCCCAAGAGATGATATTATCGCCTTGCTACTCATAAATTATTTCTGGATTCACTTTTAAATTAATGCACCAATCTTCTTTGTTTGTATTCAAATGAGAATATGTCACTATATTGTTACATTACTTCAATTATTTTTCCAATATTCCTCTTATAAAACTAGCACCATCTGTATGCACAATTTAAACATACCCTACGCAAATCTCTTCCCATTATCGATCACTATGCACGAACACCTTAGCTTTTGAAGAACTATTCATTTTTAATATAATTATTTAAAATTCCCCTCATAAATTCTGGGGGGTACCTAACTTAATAAATTGGAGAAATATTATTAATCAAATATTATATATCATATATATTCCCATTAATTCATTTCTATTTATTATGTCTCTAATTCATATCATCATTCAAAAATCAATTATCAAAAATAAGTAAAATTTAATTATATCCTTATAAAAGAGCTTTCATAATATACAATTGTTTTCTCTATTATTTTCTTATCCTAGATTTATTGACTATGCAAAAAAATATTTTTATAAAATAACTTGTAAAAAAAATTACTTTTTTTTTTAATCTCATTTAAATTTATTCAATTTTTATAACCAGGAGTAATAAAAAAAATATTATTTACATTCTTCACCACAATCTCATTAGTAAATTAAGAATTTAGAATTTCATAGCATTTTAAATTAAATTATAAATATTAATTTAATTCATATTTAAATAAATCTCATAGCCTTCGTATGTCTTTTTCTGATAGGAGCTAGAATGCCTTTTTAAAATTAACTCTAATTATATTTACGAATTTGTGAAACAGAATTATATTCACAAAAATATTTATTAAAATCTTTCATCCTATCAAAGATTATTGTTTAATACTAAAATGGATCTTGTGTTTGAAATGAAGGTCTTTTAGTTTTGTTAATTGGTTCTTAATTATTTCCAGTTTCAAGTAAAGATTATTTATTTTTTACAATTTAAGTATTTATTTTTTTGATACTATTTATATTTAGAAGTTCTTTTCCAAGATCCATTTAATTAGATACTTGAATTTAAATTTCAGATGGCTTCACTATATTATACATTAATGAATTCACTAAAGAATCAGGTCCCATAATAATATTATCTTCATCTGCAATCTCTTTCTATGTATATTCCTAAATGTATTATTGATAATATTCAAATTATTTTTATTAGACTAACTAAAATAATTAAAATGAAATAAATACAGACACTAAAGAAAGGCTATTCTCTCTTTTTATATTTCTTTGCTTAAATTCCCTCCTTTATTTAATATTCTCTTATCTGATTACCATTTTTGATATATCAGGAAAATAAAATAACAATTTGCATTGATGCATTAAATGATCATTTTATTGACAAATAATACACTAGGAATGTTTCATAGGAATATTGAATTATAAGCAATGTTTGATCTAATGAAATATTTCAAAATCATCCTTATTGAGAATTTCTAAAAATTTAGATCGAGAGAGTTTAAAAACTCTTGTATGTGTCTTACATTTGTATGTAAATACAGCTTAAGAATTAGTAAAGAATTCTTGTTATCCAAAAGAATCTCCAGATGTAAATTCAGTTAATAATGTCTTACTTCTTTGTTCAAATAATTCTACTGTACCTTAATCAATAAAATAAAGTGCATTTTCATTCTAAGTATTCTAATTTACAATAAAATCATCAGGTTCATAATTTAATGTTTCAAGCAAAGTAATTGAATTAAGAAGAGTAGATTTTGAAAAATTTGTTTAAAGCAGAGGACATTTTGAAAGCATACTCTCAAAGATTTCAGATATTATGTTAAATCTAAGAGGATTAGATAATTAATCTAAAACTGTATAAACCTATGTTAATCACTAAAATAATACATTTTGGCTTTATTTTTCTTCTTCTTTAAATTTGTACTCTAAATAATTCTTGATTCTACTTTACAATTAATCCTTTATATTGTGTTATTTGAAATAATTATTCAAAATTCTAAAGCTTTTCTCTAATTTATCTGATTAACAATTTAAAATTGAAATAATTTATCCTATTGTATTCAATGAATAAGCATACAATCCACATGATAAAAACATTATAAAAATGCACAAAATTATTTCTACATAATTTTATGGTGTGATATCCCCATATCCAACTGTTACCATAGTAGCAACAGACCAATAGAAAGAATATATGTATTTTATGAAATTTGATTCCTCCCTGATTTGTTTAGAATCTAACCAATTATTATTTTAGTCTATCGTATGTAATCCAATCCAATGCCATATACATGCTATAAAATGAGCTAATAAATTTATGAAAAACAGCAATTTGCATAATTTTAATAACTCTGTTCTTTTTACACTCAAATCAAATAGTTCCTCAAGCTTTTTTATAATTGTTAATAACATCCCAATACCATTAATGTAAAATACTATTACAAATATTATTTAAGATGTTTGGATGATTAAGACCATGGAAATTATAAAAATAATATCTTCAAAAAAATTTCTTTAAATATACTCTTTCAAAATCTCAACTCTATCATAGATTATCTAATTTCTTATCAATATTTACTTATCCTCTAATTATTATTGCTAAATTGAATTATAGTAACATATCTATCATCAATATCAAGATAATAAATAGATAACTATTATTATCAACCAATAAAAAAATATGTTCAAAGCTCCAGATATAAGTTATAATCACAAGAAGTAAAAATATAATTAAACATTTTAGAAATTAGAAAATTAAAGCCATTAAATTAGTTGGATCAATAACATATTTGCTGCGAGTTTGTTTTTATTCATTCTATTCTAAATTCACTATTTTATCCTAATATATATTTTGAAGAAAGGAAAGCATTTTTCCATCTTCTCTCAATTATTAAGTCCTTTTTTGTAATATTCTTAGAAATCGAAACACCGAACCTCTTGATAAATATGATGGAATATTCTTCTTTTCTTCTTGTTTCATAGTTGTTGATTTAACTAATCCATCCATCTCATCAAATGTATTTTTTCTTGCTTCTTAATTTTAGTTTATTTTTTATTGTAAGGCAAATGGCTCTTAAGAATCTTTAATCATATTTTTATTTTAATACATTCAGGCAATTATTCTTCAAAATTTTAAAGATTATTTTTTACACAACAAGTAATATTCATTTTCAGGAGCAATATTATTCTTTTTTTTTATTTAATATTTACTTAATGAAAATATCATCAGAAGTTTATTCTAAAACATTCAATTAATTTCTATTATAAATACATTTAATATAATATAATGAAATAAAAAAAGTTTAAATTTTAAAAAATAGAAATCCAAGTATTCATCTAATATTATTTGACTTTAATTAATTATATAATAATAAAAGTAATGTTTTGGATTGATATTCTTTTCATTTGATAACATAATATAATAGCTTTGATAGTCAACAAAAATTAATCTTGCCTTTCTTATTTTTATTAATGAAATAGGAAATGACATAAATGAAATAAATTATTTTTAATTTTATCTCTATAACTTTGAATAGATTTTTATTTTAAATGAATCAGTAAAAAAATATCTTTTTTATTATAAAAATTGAATAGCATAGCAAAATAAATCTTGATTAACTGCATTTTTTATTAAATATGTAATCAATAAATAATTATATTCTTGGTCTATGTGTAATCGCTTAGAATCAAGCTACAACATAATCTTGAAACAATTAAACATCTTATAAATTTGAGAGATTAGAAGGAAGAAGATCAAGCAAAATTGGAGCACAAATAAATACAGCATATAAATTTACATATATAGTGTTAAATCAAGTTAATTATTATATAAATGAGAAATTGAAGATAGATATAGAAATAATTAACATTTTGCAGAAATGCCTTAAGAAAGAGATACCATAAAAGAATTAACATTATAATTAATTTTAGTAATAATATGAAGTAAGAATAAATGATTTGGCAAATGTGGTTGGTGTTCTATATTAAGGAAAATTAATTGGTAAATTAAGTAGTAAAAATGGGATCCATTAGCTGGAACTTATTCTTTTTTATAGTTCTCTTAATTTATGTTTAATGATAATTTAAGTTATTTAAATGTTAACAAGAAATTATAATGACTTATATTAAATTTAAAAAATTATATAGTATAAAATTTATTATTTCTGATTAAATCTAATTTATACTCAGAATTTATAGTCTTGACATTTAAATTTTTGTCTTTTGAATCGAAAAATTATTTGATTAAAGAGTCATTAATTAATAAAATGTAGATTATTTGTTTAGCAATACTATGCTTGGTTGGAATTGCAACATATTTCTTAATATTAAAACCTTTAATTCCTTTGTTGCTGTTAAAACTTAAACTGGGAGAGAGAGCAATTCTAATGTTTAATCCAATCTTTGGTTTTGTTGGATTACTTATGAATTCAATCAAAATAAATAATGATGCTATGGAAACAATAAATGCTGCACTTAGAAAGAATCCGAAAGCTAAAATCATTTTATCAAACTATATATATAAGCCTTGTATTATACTAGCAGGATCAGAATATATTAAGGATACTTTAATAGAACATCATCGTTATGAAAAAATTAATCCATTTGTGATAAATTCCTTTATGTAAAAAGGTTTAATTCTTAGTGAAGGAGAAAGATGGAAAAGATAGAGAAAATTTTTAGGTTTAGCTTTTACATTTGAAAAGTTAACAGCAAGAATTTAAATGATGAATTAAGTAATTGAAGATATTGCTTTGAAAGATTCTAAAACAAATTTAAGTTAATTTTTGTCAAAAATAACAGGAGAAATAGTAATAAATAGCTTTTTTGGTGAATTAGCATAAGGTTTTCAATTAGAAGGAAAAGCTGCCTAAGTAGCTTTAACAGAATTGACATCTGATATTGGTTTCATTTAATTTGAGAATCCATTTATCTTATTGAAAGCTTTGATATTTAAAGAAAAATTGTGGAATATTTTACCATGTAAGAAAGAAAAAGATATTGTAAGAAGAGTAGATAATGTTAGAATGAAGGTAAGGGAGTTGATTTTAAAGAGAATTGAATAATTAAGAGAGAATCCAATATAAGATTAAGATAAAATGGTATTTTTAGATTTATATGTTACTGAATATTTAAAATAAACTTAAAAAGAATAATTAATTGATGTTGAAGAAATATCACATTAATTCATTACATTATTCTTTGCTGGCACTGATACAACTGCTACAGCAACTGCAACTTGTTTGTATTATTTAGCATAATATCCAGATATTTAAAATGAAATATTAAAAGAAGTTTAAGAAGTTATTGGAGAGAATGAAATTAAAGATAAACACTTGAATAAATTTGTTATAATGAATGCTTTTATTTAGGAAGTTTTAAGATTTAAGAATCCTTCATATACATAAATATTTAGAGTAGTAAAAAATGATACATAACTTTAAGATATTCGACTTAAAAAAGGATGGGCTTTAGTATAAATGTAAAATGCTAATAGTTTATAAGATAAAAATATTGATAATGCTACTGAATTTAACTACAAAAGATGGTTAAATAAATAAAATTTAATAAAAAATGATAATGGTTTTATTTATATTCCTTTTTCAGCAGGACCAAGAAATTGTATTGGTTAACATATGGCTATGATGGAAATGAAAATTATAATAGCTTTGCTTGTTAGAAAATATAAAATTCTTCTGAATCCAGAAGTAAAATAGATTAAATTTGGTATCAAATTTTTATAATGTGTGGAACCAGATAATTGCTTATTATTTGAAAAAAGAATTTGAAATTATAAAATACATTTTAAATTTCATAATATTTCTTATAAAACAATATATATAAATGTATAAACTTATTAATTAGATTACAATCTATTAATGAAAATGAAATAATATGTATAATATTTAATGTTTTTGTATTCAATATATTTTAATAAGTAAGATTAATTATATATAATTTTATGAAATGTATGAAATTATTTTAAATGTATTTCTTGTCGTAAAAACATTGCAAAAGCAACATAATTTTACATTCTTAATTTGGGTTTCATCTATTTATATAATTTGTTATAGATACTTGGAATTATAAGATTTAGAGTATTTTGAAAATGATAAATTGTGATATAATTGCATTAGAATATTATCGAATAGACTCATAAGATGGTACATTCTTAATTGTTCCTAATTATCATTCTATAAACAATGATGAAAATTTGGGCTTTCTATACAAATATTAAAGATATATGTATAAGGAGATGCAAGATTTTTTAAAATTATCCTTAACTTTTAAATAATAAAAAGGTTCTTTAATAAAGATTAATGAATAATTAAAAAATTAATAAGAACTTTATGGAATTAATTTTTCAGAGATTCCTTTGAAGGAAATTATTTTCATTCTTATTGTTAATGCAGACTTTATTTTTTGGGTATATTTAATTGAATACATAAAATTTCAATTTTTCATTATAAATTAGATAATTAAGATAATAAAGTTATATAATAAGATTTAAATCAGTTTATTAGTGATTAATATATTGATATTGTTACTGAAAAAAAATTTAATTTTGTTTTATTTATTTATCAATTATGGATTAGAAAGGAATGATTCATGCTCTTGGAAATTTAATAATTATATTATTTATCTCAAATAAGAGCAACAGAACAAGAATGGTTAGGAATATAAATAATATTATTAAAGAGTAAAAACCTGAGAGTTAATGATGATTTTGATGATATTTTTAATGTTATAAATAAAAAGTAAATACAAAGAATGAATTTAGTAAACGTTTCATAGAGATAATATTTAAAATAAAATAATTGATATAAAATAATATATTGATACTAAAATTTGTAATTTTAGATATTTTTGTAAATTTGATGTATTTCAATAATTTTTGAAAATTGAGAATAATGATCTAGAAATTTAATTGTCAAATAATATAGAGTGAATGATATTTATGAGTCATAAATCAGGTGGTTAGAGATCATCTGCATAATCATCAATATCTTCAACATCATCTTCTTCTTCTTCTTCATCTTCTTTAATTTCAATCGGATTAGCATCTGAATTAAATATTTATTCTTTGACTTTTTCATCATAAGCATTTTATCTTTAGACTAGAGATTCTTCATCTAAAATTGATTTGGGTTTTTCCCAAGCAGCATTAGGTGTTCGAACTAATCGGATGCTTAAACTCATTATTATATGTTTAAATAATTAACAGTTTTTGAGAGAAATATTAAAATATTAATGTGTAATTATATATCTAATTGTTTGGAAATTCATTATACTTCAAGACTCAGTAGATGTTGACATATAAGAATTTCTTTAATTTATATTTTTCATTAAATATTGCAAGTGCAACTAGTTTTTGAAGTTTCATTTTTTTTTCTCATTATTGGAGTTGTCTCTGTTCTTGAGGAGAGAATAGTTTGATTGTTTTGAATTATTGATTTGAGATTTGAAAACATTTATTCACGATCATGTTGAATATTTGGATCACTTTTGTTCCTAAAATAGATGAAGAGTAGAATTACGATTGATTATAAAAGCGAGATTTTTTGGTAGTTGTATGTATTAGCTATTGAGATTGATGTTGTCTATGGTTCATCTTTTAATATAATAAAAAATACAATAATCAATTACAGTAACCCTAATAAATATTGCGTATCGTATTTGATATTTATAAGGATTAATGTTAGAAACAAGGATGTTTCTAATCTAAAATGATAATCATCAAAAAAAAATAAAGATAGCTTCATCATTTTATATGATTTGATCATTAGAAACTTCAAATTTTGTAATTTCTTAATTGACAAGAACTTTGTTCATAAATTAAATAAAATTAGAATGATATCTTAATATGTATTTAATTAATTTACAATATGTATTTGAATAATGAGAATTCAAACTTAAAAGTGATTTATAAAGATCTTTAAAGATGTTTAAAGATGTTTATAAATTCCCATTAAGAAATCTAAATTCTAATTATAGTAAATAAAGAAATAACATTAGATACAATAAGGTTTGTGAAGTTTTTGTTGAAAATGTTGTTTTTAAAAATAAAATTGTGCTTTTTGTTTGTTTATTTTTAGAATTGGATAATTAATCATTCAAATTTATAGTATTTCAATGTGATATTCATTAATATACATTATAATGATAGAATAGATTGTCTATAAAAATAAGATGTGAATAGTAATATTTTGAAAATTTTATAAGAAATTAAAAATTTGAAATAATATATATTATTAATGTCTTAATTGAAAAAACTTCAATATGCAGAGTTTTAAATAATTTATCCAATAACTGGAAAAACAGGATTATATAAAAAGGGTTTAGAGTAATGGATCTGCAAGTAAATTGTTCTTCAAAAAAAGACATAAAAGGAATTGATTGATGAAATTGATTAAATGAAAATTCGTTTATCAAAAGCAGGTATTTATATTCCAGAAGGATATTTGGAAGATAAATAAGGAATAAGTTTAGTATATAAGAGATTCAAAAATTCAATGGGTGATTTAATAAGAGTACATAGAAGATAGGGAAAATTCATTGCAATGAATTTGATGTAGAAATATGTAGATGAATATACAAATTGGTTAGATAAAATACATAAATCAAAGAAAACAGAAGCATAGCGATTTTGTCATTGTAGAATAAAACCTTAAAATTTATTTGAGGATGAAGATGGAAATTGTGTAATTACAGACTTTTAATAATTTTCAAATGAGAATAATGAATATTATTTGCCTCCAGAGTCAATAGCAATAATAAAGAAGAATTAAAGTTAAAGATTTGCATAATCAGGATAAGGAGATTAATTTGGAGTAGATCCATAGAAAATAGATGTATGGTAGTTAGGAATAGTATTTTTATAAATGGCTTCATTAAGAGAAATAGAAGAATTAATTGTATTTAGAGATCTTTAAGCACATGAATCTTAAAAAGCAATAGAAATAAGAGAAATAGTTAGAAAAACATATGGTAATCATTTAATAAATTTGATTGAGAAAATGTTGGAAAAGAATCCAAATAATAGACCATTGTTATCAGATTTAGAAGATTTAGTTTAAGATTTCTTTTCTTAGAATGCAATAATAGCAGATGAAAAATTAATATTACCATAACCTGAATTATTGTTGGAAGAATTAAAAGAGAAATCTAAATAATAAAAATAATAAACAGCTACATAATATTTATCAAAATATTAATTGTAGCCAGTAAGTAGAAGAATAAAAGCTGATTATTTTTGGGAAGCTTTGTAGGATTTAAAAATTGAAGTTAATGCAAGAGAAAAATAAACATTTTTATCTAAGTTTGATGTTTAAAAAAGTGGTGAGATTGATTTATCTTAATGGATTTAAAGTTAAAAGGAAATTATTAAATTAGGTGAATTAAATGATCTTTAAGAGAAAGAATTATCAGAAATGATGAAAGATTTACATAAATATTTAGAAGAATAATAAATAAATCTATTAGAAAGATTTAAAGAAAGTGATACTGAATCGCTAGGGTATTTATAATTTGAAAAGTTTGAATAAATATTAAAAGATAATTAGATAAATTTGTCTGCAGATGATATTCCAATAATCCAATAAAAATATGATCCTAAGAAAAAGAATGTTATATATTATGAGTAATTTTGTGAAGATACAAAGTCTATGAATTAATAATAAATGGGTTTGAATGAATTAAGAATTAAAATGTATAAAGGTATTAGAGATATTCATAATATATTCATTCAATTTTTTAGACATTATGATACTAAATCAAGAGGTGAATTAAGTCATGAAGAAATATATAGATTTTTAAATGATTTAAAATGTCACCCAAGTCCTGAAATATAAAAATAATTAATCTCACAATTAGATCCTACTAATAAGAAATCAATTTCATTTGAAAATGTAAGAATATTTTTTGAATAATTTATTAATGATGATGTTAGAATGATAATATAAAGTATTGTTGATGGTTTGACTAATATTTCTATGACATTACCATAACTTATAAGAAGTAATACAAAAAGTGTTAGTATAATTACAAAAAATTAATTGTTTAATGCTTTGAAATAAGCAAATGAAACACTTAAAAATTCAGATTTTACTTTTTTGATGAGTATTTTTGGAGTTAAAGAAGAAATAGAATATCCACAATTTATAAATGCAATGGTATAAAAAGGTAAAGATCTTAAAGTATAAAATTGGAAATAATTATAAGAAATTGAAATTAAAGAATAAAAGCAAGAGAAAAAAAGTACATTTGATGATCCAGAAGAATATGCACATAAATCTATAACTTTCAATGCAAAATTATTTGATCCTTAAAGATAAATATTATAATTTATATATAAATAGTTATAAGAAAGAGAATAAACCCCTAGATAATATTTTAAATGTACTTTTTAAAGGATGACTATTTCATAATATAAAGAAAAAATAAGATAGTTAGAAATATATAAAGGAGATTTTGAAATAGAATAAGAAGAACTATTGAATAATCTTTTAGTCCCAAATGATAGATCATTAGTTGATATTGATTTATTAATTGAAGCAATACTTTATTATAAGGATAAAAAAATAGAGTAATATAGGTATAGTCAACATAAAGCTATAATGTTTGTTGAATTGCTCAATAAATAAATGAAAAAGAAAAGGATTCCTTATGCAGATATTGAAGATCTAGATACTTTAGGAGATGGATATATTCGTAAGAAATAGTTTTAAGATTTTGTAAATAAATAAGTATAATTAGATACAGGAGATATTTAATTTTAAGATTTCTTGACAAGTATTTAATAAGATTTATAAAATATATCTTTATTAAAATTAAAATAAGCATTAAAATTAGATGATGCTTCAAATAAATTATTATCAGATATAAATACAGAGTTAGCATATGAATAAAGTAAACCGGAATAAGTATTTAAAAAGTATGATGCCAATAGAAATACTAAATTAGAATTAAGAGAATTTGCTGAATTTTTATAATAATTAGTAGGAGAAGTTGATTAAAAGATTGTAGAAACTTTATTTTAGAAGTTGGATGCAAATGGAGACAATACAATTAATTTATATGAATTTAAATAAAAAATATCTAAATAAGAAGGTGACATATCAGAATAATAATAGACAAAATATAAATATAAATAAACTGCATAAACATTTACAAAATAATTAACTCCTTAGATAATGAAAGCTGTATTTAGATTGAAAGATGCTTTAAGAGAAAATAATGAAACTATAGAAATATTTGATAAGAAAGGAAGAGGATAGATATTATTAAATGCATTTTAAGATATTATAGTGAGTTTGGGTTTTGAATTTTAAGAATTTAAATAATTGGCTTAATATCTTTTATCGCCAGAAGATAAGAAATTTCTGTAATATGATAAATTAGCAATTTTAATTAATGATTGTGAAGAAGCTGAGTAATTGTTAATTAATTTAAATTAAACTATTTAATCAGGTAAAGTGGCAACAGCATCATTATTTTACAATTATGATTAAAATGGAAATGATGTATTGGATAAATAAGAATTCTATAAATTGATAAGAGATATTGATCCTATGTCAAGAAATAAACCAGTTGATAATTTATTTTTGCTTTTAGATGCTAATTCTGATGGATCTATTAGTATTAGTGAATTTAAAACTAAAGTTTGTACAAAAGATAAACCTAAAGTTATGGCAACAATCAATAAATAATAATTGAGTATTTTTGATGATGTTATGAAATTTGCAAAAGGATCTCCAACTTTATTAGGAGAATTTGAAATAAGAGATGAAAATTATACAAATAAATTAGATTTAGAAACATTCATTATGGTATTAAAAAAAAATAATGGTCCAAATATTTAATTGCTTGAAATGAAAGCATTAGCTGATTAATTAGGTGCATTATAAGGTAATAATATAAATTATAAAATATTTTGTTTAAAAGCTAAATAATATTAAGTTGAAACACCTTCCACTAAAATTGAAGCTATTCTTACAAAATTAAAAGAGTAACTCAAAAACAAAAATACTAATGTGATTGAAATTTCTCAGGATTATGATATTAATAATAAAGGTAAGGTCAAAGTAAAGGCTCTTAAAATGGGTATATCTGATAAATAAATTTTATTAAATGATAATGAATGGGAGTTATTATTTACAATTATAGAATAAGATGCGTAAGATTATATTGATTATTATGCTTTTAATGATTTAATTAATTTAGGATTAGCTAAATATAAAGAAAGTAGAAAAGATTTAGTACTCAATACTAATTAAGAAATAGATAGAATTGTGAAAAGTTTTGCATAATATTTAGAGTAAGAAGTCTGCACTCTTCTTTACATGTATAGATAAACTGATAAAGATTAAAATAATTTTATATCATTTGATGAATTTACTGCTTTATTGTTAAAAACTATTGGATATAGTACAACTGTAGATGTTTAGAAATAACTTTTTGATATTTTCGATATGGATAAAGATGGTAAAATTAATTTTACTGAATTTGAATATTAAATTTATAAAAGAAATGAAATTACTGCAAAATAAATTCAAGAGATGAAATTAGTAATGTTAAATGGTCGTAATCCATAAATGGAACAATAATTATCTGATTTATTTCTTATAATTTCTTAAGGAAGTCAATTTATAGAATTTAAACAATTCGCAAATTATATTAATTATTTTAAAAAGTACTCTATGCTTGAATTAGATCAATTGTTTAGATATTTTGATTAAGAATATTCTGAAAAATTAGATTAATATAGATTTATATTAGCATTTAAGCAATTGTAAAGATAATAATCAATTCAATAGTAACAACCACCTCCTTAATAATAAGCTTATACTCCTTAATAATAACCATATCCAAAGAATATGTAACCATAACTTCCTAATTTTTAATAGACACCTTAATTTTAATAATTTTAATAACCTCAATTTTAATAATCCCAATAATATAATGGTTAATAATATGAATAACCTCAATAATAATATAATGGATTACAGCCTCAATATAATGGATAATAACCTTAATAATAGTTTTATAATTAACAGGAAGTTGGTGTGTCATTTAATGCATCCATTCCAAATAGTTCTATTGCATATCCTCCTTAGAATGTAATGTATTAAAAATAAATTCCTTAAGGATTTGAGAGAAAATAAGAATGGGTACAAAATGCTAAATTTGATTAAAATGGAGTTTCACAAGGATAAGATTAATATTCTTAGAAATATGATCCTAATTAGGTTTAATTTAAAAAACCTTAAACAGAAATTCCAATAGAATTTGATCTTAATTTTTATGATTAAGAAATCTAAAAAAAATGCATTTAAAAAAATATTGATTTTTTTGATTTGTTATGTTAATATGATGAAACATAACTTCCAGAATTGAAGATTTCAAAACCTGATTAATTAGAATTAGCATTTTAATTTTTAGAAATATTAGCTCCAACTCCACATGTTTAATAATATTACTATTATTATTCATAGGGTTAAAATTAGATGGGAATAGTGATACCATATTTGAAAATGAATAATCCTGGTAAACTATTAGCAAAGGCATTAAATTTTACAATGATAAAACATAAACAATATACAAAACAATAACTTTGGAATTTAATAGGAGAAAATTAGCCAATTTGGTAGATTAATTAATTAGATAAGATTAATAAAAACTTAAAAATTGGTTTAAATGAAAGAGAATTAAGGGATGCATTTTAATATTGGGATACTGAATAAAAAGGTTAAATATCATTTAAAATGTATGATGAAATTCTAACATTGAATTAGATAGTAATTCCATAAAAGTAGAATGGAATACAATAAAAAGATCCAGGTTTATAATCAACATTAGATGCATTTATATTACATTTATCAGAGGTAGTATTGGCTAAGAATTGTTTTAATCTTTATGAATAATTAGATAAAAGAGGATATAATCAAATACCTTATAATGATTTTTTAACAGTAAGTAAGAAGTTGATAGGATCTATATCAGCTGAAGAGATTAAATCAATTAAATAATTATTATAATAAAATGGTTTAATAAATTTGAGTGATTTAGCTAAACTTTTAAGTGTTGATAGAACTAAAATTAATTAGTATAGTTAAGAAGATGAGAAGAGATAATTTGGTTTAGCTTAAAAGGATTAACGTAAATCTATTTTGAATGTTTAGAATAAAGAGAGATTTAATAAGATACTTCCAATAATAAATGAGTTTTTGAAAAAGCGTAATAAATCTTATGAAGATTTTGCACTCTATTTCTTTCCGCCAAATTAAAATAGTACATTAGATAGAGTTTAATTTACAAAGAAAGCAATGGATGCTTAATTTGGGTTAAGTGCTTCTTAATGTGAAGAATTATATGATTATTTGGATGCAAATTCTAGTGGACATATTTCAATAAATGAATTTAGATTAGTATTTTAAACTAAATAGACAGATTAATAAGTTAAGAGATAAGCAGATAATATTGTATAAAGTTAAGATATAGAATAGGAAATATTAGATTTATTTAATTAAATAGATGAAAATAAGAATCAATAATTAGATTAAAGAGAATTATTAAAAGCTTTATAATCAGTAGGTTTAAATCCTGGAACTGAAGAATTATCATAGTATTTTGCATAATTTGATAGGGATAGAAGTGGAACAATATCATATTAAGAGTTTTCTCATATAGTTAAAGATATTTTAAAAAAGGAATTATTATAGGCAGATGATTTATTAGAAGATTTAAGAAGAGAATTCAGATAAGTTTGTAATCCAACAACAAGAATGTTATCTAAAGAATAAGTTAGTTAGGTATTTTAAAATATGGGAGTTTCAATTAAAAATGAAGAATTAACAGATTTATTTGTAGAAATAGATGAGGATAAATCTGGTTCGATTGATATTGATGAATTTATATATTTTATTTAAAAGAATTAATCAGGGATGTCAGCTAAAGCATCAGCTGCTGTTATGAATATAAAAGGTAGTAGAAGAATATCATTACATGATCTAAAAGAGATATTTTTATCATTACCTTAAAACTTTATAATGAGTTTTGTTAGAGGATAGAATAAAAAATTATAAAACCTTCCATCTTCATAATTGAAACCAATTCTTGATAATTGTGGATTCTTTTATTAAGGATTAAATTATGTAGAAGCATCTAATTTCAATATTAAATAAAGTATTTTAGATAAGGTTAATATTAAAAATAATTTCTTAGCAGAAATTAGATTAATTGAAGCAACAGGAATACCTATACCAGATGAAAAGGATGTTCCTAGAAATTCATTTTTAAAAAGAGAAATTGGAATCATTTTAATTGATAAAGCAATAAATAAATATGAAGGTAATACTATTTATATTCCTGCAACATGGAATCCAGAATATGAAGATAGATGGGTTTTTGAATAACCAGCTATGGAATAAGCAATATTAATGAGATGGGGTAATTTTGATGACAAGTTAGATAATCTTAAAGAATTAGTATTTGAATTTATTACTTATTCTGTTAATAAAGGTAGAATTATATAAATATCTTGTGCATATGGTTCAATTCCTGTTTATTAATTAAAACCTGGAAAATAAATTCTTGATTTAAAAGGAGGTGCTCCATTAAAAGATATTACTATTGATAAAAAAGATATTAGAACTAATAGAAATGGATGGAGATCTGTAGTTAAAGCTCTTTCTTCTAATATTAAGTCGTAATTAATATTAGAAGTATTTAAATTATCTCCTTAAATGATAGCTAAAATCTCAGCTTTACCAAATAAATGTTTACTTAATAAATGGGCTTTAGGAATGTAATCAGCATTTAGAGAATACTTTGCTTATAGAACTTAAATGAAAGGGGAAATTGAATTAAATTTATCTAGTGATATAAGAATTAGAGCATGGTTACATTGTTTTGATTGTCCTGATACTATTAGACCTATTGCATCATTTTGGAACGAGTTTATTGAGTAAAATTATTAATTATATATATTTATAGGCCTAAAATTAATAATGATCATCAATTTTTATTAAAAGCAGTTTCCAAAATAGCTGATTCACTATATCTTATGTTTAAAAACACTGAATTTAAATTTTCTATTGGAGATCCTACAGCTAGAATAGATAATGATACTGTTCTACTTAAACGAAGATAATAATTAGTGTTAGAAGCAATTAATGATATGAAAATTAATCTTGGACTTCTTGTTTAATAATAGTAAATTTTATATTAATTAATTATTAATAGAAAAAAAGCATAAATTATCACCAGTTTAGAACCCCTAAATGTTGAAGAAATGATGGATCATGATAATGAATCAGATTTGTAAGCTTTAGAAAAATTTTTTAATAAAAAGAAATCAAAAAAATAATAATAATGACAATAATTCATATGATTATTACAATCTTTACATATTCTTACCTTTTTTATCTATTATTAAACATATTTTAGAATCAAATTTTTAAAATACATCCTAAATTATTTTACACAAACTGATTTAAAATTATTCTTTACAAACTAATTTAAATTATTCATACTTATAAAATCATCTTCAAATTATTCATCTCAACTATATGTTCAATTTTAAAGTATCAATGATCCAGATTAAATCAGCTCAATAATATAAAAAAATTCATCAACGATGTTTCTTATTTTTAAATAGGCTATTCTAAATAACTTTAAAGCAATTAAATGCTTATAGGATAATTGTTTAATCAATTTCAATTAGTTTAATCATCAATTAAATCATCTTAGAATTTTTATAATTTGATATGGATACATGTAAGATTAATGTTGAAAATCGAAAAAAATGATAAATATATCAAAATTTTGTTAGAACAACATTAATAAAAAGTTAAAGGTAATTTGTAGAACGTTGTTATTAAGTTTTTTATCATATTTAATTAATAGCTGTTAATATAATATGGTTATTATAAAAAAATATATACTTAAAATATATCCCAATCTGAATATTAATATTTAAATTATGAAAATAATTATTAAAACATTAAGTGGATAAAACTTTCCTTTAGATGTTGAAGGAACAGATACAGTATATAATCAATGAAAATATTTTAGATTTAAAATGTAAAAGAAAAGATCTTTTAATTGAAATAATTTGAAGTTGGTTAACAAAAATTGTTAAGAAAAGGAACACTTTTGGATGATAAAACAACAATAACAGAATTGGGAATTTAAGAAAATGAATTTTTAGTAGTTATGGTAAATGCTAAAGTAATAAAATTTATTTAAAATGTATATAGAAATAAGCACCTCAATAGCCATAACCAGTTTAACAACCACCAGCATAATAACCAGTTTAATAATAGCCAGTTTAACAACCTGCTAAATAAATACCACCATAATTACCACCATAATTACCAACTTAACCATAAGTAGCTCCAGTAGCAAAACCAGCATCATCATAAAGTGGAACAGGATTGTTATCAGGACCAGAATATGAAAAAGCAATTGAAGAATTAATGTCTATGGGATTTTAAAGAGAAGAATGTGCAAATGCTATGAAAGCAGCCTTTAATAATCCTGATAGAGCTGTTGAATACTTATTAAATGTATGATTATAATTTAATCATTAGGGTATTCCACCTGGTATAACATCAAATCTTCCTGCTCCAGTTGTAGGTGGATAAGGATAACCATAACCTTCTACTGCTTAATAACCAGTTGGTTAACCAGCTTAATTCTAATAATTAAGATAGCTGTATCAATAGAATCCTTAAGCTGTCCTTTAATTATTACCTTAATTGTTAGCATAACTTTAATAGACTAATCCTGAATTACATGCATAAGTTTCATAAAATCCAGAAATGTTATTATAAATTCTTATGGGAGGAGCAGGCTAATAATAGGGTCCTCCTCCAGGATCTATTTAATTAACTCAATAAGAATTTAAAGATGTTGAAGCTGTACTTATTCATTTTATTCTAGATTATGGGACTTGGTTTCACTAAATAAGACTCATTAGAAGGTTATTTAGCATGTGATAAAAATGTAGAAATGGCTATCAATTATCTATTTGAAAAATAAGCAAATGGAGATCTATTTAGTAAATTATTAATTTAATCAAAGCTTAACATCTTTAAAGAGAATAAGCAAATCCTCCTAATCAATAACCACCTGGTGGAAATGATGAACCTATGGATGAAGAAGATGACGATGATGTTTATTAATGATATATTATTATTCATTAAATTAATTTCAATACATCCATTGATATATACATATCTTATTTTCTATTCTTTCTCATTAATCATTTTATATCCTATTTTAGCATTTTTTAAAATATCTAACAATTTTCATATGTTTTAAAAGAAATATTATATTATATTTAAACTATAATTTAACACTCTTTTGCTATATCAAAAAAATGTATACATTAAAATATAATACTGTATTCCCATAATTACTGTTTAGCTATTAATAGTTATAATTAATACTTTAGCTATTAAAATAGAAGTCTAAAATAAACTAATCATAATTCAAACATCTAAATTTTAGTATATTAATTTAAAGTTTCCAATCTATTCAAAAACAAATTTGAATTTGATTAAATAATTATCCTCATAATTATCAACTCTCTTATTGAGTATACAATATTTGGCAACTTTATTAATAATAATCATATACTTAAAAAAATTTATTATTTTCGAAATTCAGCTTCAATTATCTAGATATATGCTAGCTTCTTAATTATTTTTAATTTGAATAATTAAATACTAAATATACTTTTTCAAAAGATTTAATAAATTTTAAAATCTATTTTTATTCTAAACTTTATATACCAGCTATGAAAGAAAAAATCAAATAATATTTATTAATAATAAACAAATACGATATCACTCACATTATTATTCTGTTAGTAATTCAAAAATAACCCATTTTTTTTCTAATAAATCTCCTTAAACGTAATTATTTTTGACTTAATCAAACCTTAGTTTATATTAAAATTTTTAATTTTTTTCAGGTTATTGTACATAATAGTCAGAATATTTGGATTCCTTTTATTTTTGATTATTATTAGATACCCCATATTGTTAGTGAACTTTATTTTATTTACTTTATATTTATGATTCCTCCTTTATTGTAATATCAGCATTTTTAGCTAATAGATTATCTTAAGTTTTATGTGATTATATTTAATTTTCTGATTCATAGTATTAATCAAGTTTCTGTTTTGAGCCATTATCATTTCCTACTTCTAAAGAATTAGGTTGTGGTAATGATTTTTCATTTGATTCTTTTTTTTAATCGGTTCCTTCATGATTAATATTTTATGAATCTATTTTTTAATTTGTTTTTATATTATCATTATTCTCTGATTATTTGTTTGGATTTATATTTTTTTAATCATTTATTTAGGTTTCATTGTTTTAAATGATTTTTTATTTATTTTCTTCTAATACTTATTCATAAAGATAATATTCTGTGCGGTAAAGTTTATTTTCTTATTTAAAAATTAAGTCAAGCAATTTAATTGCTTCTTCTCTCTTTCCTAAAACACTTAAAGAGGCAAATACTCTCTTCAATCTTAATTAATTATGTGTATTTATATGAAGACACTTATTAAACTATTTTTGATTTTTTAAAATCAATTCTTCTTTATCCCATTCTATTCCTAAAAATTTTAAAAACATTTTGTAGTTTTGAAAATAGAATTACATGATCTATTTTTATTTTATTTCAAAATACCTCATCATCATTAATCATTAAATTTCTCTCTTCTATTGTTAATCTATAGCTTTCAGAATTAAACATGCTGTTAAAAAAATTAGGGAAAATCCACTAAATAAATGAATGATCATATTCTAAGTCTTAATAAAATTAATTTAATTCATTCACATCCTAGTAATTTTACCAATTTTTAATATGTTAATGAATTTTACTTCTGACACCATTCTTTTGAAACTTATGAAAATTAAAATTGGGTTTTTCATCATTCTATTTTGATTGATCATAATTTTTCATTTCTAATTTAATTAATATATTAAATAATCAAAATTATATTTTAATAGAAAATGATAAAAATATATTTTTATACATTAAATATTTGTTATTATTTATAAAAATTTCATAAACAATTTTTGGTCTCAAAATAGCTACCCTAGAAAATAATATTACTTAGTAGTATCAAATATAATTATAATAAAACTAGTTAGTAATTTTTTTAACATTACCTAAGCTTAATTATTAATTCTATTTTAAAAGATGATTGTTAAGCTTGAATTAAACTAAGAAGACTAACAAACTCCAAACAGAGAGAGAATAATCAAAATTATTTTGTTAAAGATATATAAATTCGATAACTTGTATTTTTAAAACAAACCCTTATTATTTTTAATAAATAAATTAATAATAAAAATATGAATAATTTTACACACCGTTGTTCACTTGATGGTCATAATCAAATTGTTTAATTTTTCTGCTTTAATGAAACCTGTCATCATATTCGATTATGTTGTTTTGAGTGTTATTAAGAAGGAAATCATTTTGGACATCCAAAAGATGTAAAGTAAGCTTCTAATTTCTTATAATTTATATAATAAACTACAGAATTTTGTGAAGAATTCATTAACAACATATAGAAATTAATGGATAATCTATAAAAGATATTTAATGAATTTAAAATTAAATTGTAGAACAAATATATTTAAAGCGTTGAATAATTATAAAAACAAAGCATTAATTAAATTAGTAGTTATATATCTGATGCTATTCAATTTTAAAAAGAAAAGAATCAACATTATCAATCAATTTTTCAATGTATAAATAATTTCTAATAAATCATCACCGACTTTAACTCAGAATTAAAATTACCATCACTAGTTGAATAATTATAATAAAATTCCTTTGATTAATAAATCTCAAATAAACAACAAATAGAAAATAAACAAATATATATAGGGTTTTCATAAATAAAATTGTTGTAATTTGTTTTGGTAAAAATATATTTATTATTTTACAAAGTAATCATAATTCTAAAAATAATTGACTTTTTCAACAAAGTATAAGCATAGAGAAAGTAAAGTTTCATTAAATGGGAAAATGGCTGAAAATGGTGGAAGTTGTCTTTGTGATTAAATGATTCCCATAAACTAAATTACGCGTTTTGTTTTTTAAATAGAAAATTCATAATAATGCTATATTGGTGTTGGTTTTAGAGAAATTATGAAATAAAACTATTCTTCTGTAGGAGTAAATTCTGGGTATGATAAATTTATTTATGTAATTTTTTTAGGAGTTATTTGATTCGAAATGATTAAAAGTTTTATTCTCATCATGAATAATAAAATATTCTACCATTTTCTTTTAAAGATTAAGATATTATTATTATAGAAGTAAATATGAAAACATTGTAAGTTAAATGGATTATGGCATCCTCAGGTGAATCATTTGTAATCAATAAAAATATTATAGAGCCTTGAATTATAGGAATCAAATGGATTATATCCGTGTATAAGAGCTGGCAATATTTCTAGTAAAGTTAGAATATTAGAAGCATTAAATTGATTTAATTATTGATCCTTAATTACATAAAGTAATAAAGTAACAAAGTTATTTTATTTTTTTAAATATAAGCATAATTAAAACTTTTTATAAAATGGCCTATTATTTTAAATTGCTAATTTTAAATTTTGCTAAGAATAAACTCTGAATGTATAAATTATATTATTTAATATAAAAAAGATAGAAAATAATATTTGAAATTAATTCCTTTATAATTAGTTTTTGCATTTTTTCAAATTAGATATCAGAAGCTCATTCAAAAATTAGTCATCAATTTTTTAATTGAGTTTTTAATTTTATTGAAAAATTATATATAAAAATAAAATAAATAGATTAAGTATTGCAAAAGAATACATATTTTGAAGTTTTCAATTGAGATATCACAAGGATTATCATATGAAAATTATTCAGTATTTTTTAAACATATTTTAATTGATGTATAACCAAGAACAAGAATAATGATCGTGACATTGAATTTCATTTTAGAATTAATTAAAAAAGGCTCCTTAGCATTAATTAGTTTGCCAAATACGACTATATTGATTCTATTTTTCGTATTTGCAATTCTATCTCCAATATTTCTCAAACATTCATCTTAATTTAAGTAAGTATGATACTTTAGAAGAAATAGCATTACAGGTTGTTAAATATTAATTATTAGACTAAATAAATTATAATCCTTAAATTTTTGAGATATGTAAACTTGTTTTTTCGAAGATATATACAAAATCTAATTAAAAATTATTCTAACAATAATTTCAATTGTTTTCCTGATTGAAATAAATCATTAATAATTAAGTTTTGAGTGCGTTAAAATATTTTTGATTCGTTCTTATTACATTCAATTCAAGATGATATACTTTTGAATATTCTAATATATTTTCATATTCTCGATAAAATTAAAATATACTATTTTTTATATCCTATAAATAAAATTAGTTGTAATGATATATCTTGATTATTATTCATATAATAAAGTTAATAAAAATACTTGAATAAATTATCTTAGCTATTTTAGCTAATTGATAGGTTTCTAAATCTGTTAACCTTGTTGAATAAACAATTAAAAAAAATGTTAAGTAAATGGTGTTCATTTATATTTTTACTAATTTATTAGGAAAGGAAGAATTATATCAATATTAACAATAACTACAGATAGAAATTCAAAAACAATATGACTGCATTTTCATAGAAATCATTATTTTGAATGTCAAATAATTTTTATTATTTTAAATCTCCGATAAATTTTGAAAAGANAATATTTGAAATTAATTCCTTTATAATTAGTTTTTGCATTTTTTCAAATTAGATATCAGAAGCTCATTCAAAAATTAGTCATCAATTTTTTAATTGAGTTTTTAATTTTATTGAAAAATTATATATAAAAATAAAATAAATAGATTAAGTATTGCAAAAGAATACATATTTTGAAGTTTTCAATTGAGATATCACAAGGATTATCATATGAAAATTATTCAGTATTTTTTAAACATATTTTAATTGATGTATAACCAAGAACAAGAATAATGATCGTGACATTGAATTTCATTTTAGAATTAATTAAAAAAGGCTCCTTAGCATTAATTAGTTTGCCAAATACGACTATATTGATTCTATTTTTCGTATTTGCAATTCTATCTCCAATATTTCTCAAACATTCATCTTAATTTAAGTAAGTATGATACTTTAGAAGAAATAGCATTACAGGTTGTTAAATATTAATTATTAGACTAAATAAATTATAATCCTTAAATTTTTGAGATATGTAAACTTGTTTTTTCGAAGATATATACAAAATCTAATTAAAAATTATTCTAACAATAATTTCAATTGTTTTCCTGATTGAAATAAATCATTAATAATTAAGTTTTGAGTGCGTTAAAATATTTTTGATTCGTTCTTATTACATTCAATTCAAGATGATATACTTTTGAATATTCTAATATATTTTCATATTCTCGATAAAATTAAAATATACTATTTTTTATATCCTATAAATAAAATTAGTTGTAATGATATATCTTGATTATTATTCATATAATAAAGTTAATAAAAATACTTGAATAAATTATCTTAGCTATTTTAGCTAATTGATAGGTTTCTAAATCTGTTAACCTTGTTGAATAAACAATTAAAAAAAATGTTAAGTAAATGGTGTTCATTTATATTTTTACTAATTTATTAGGAAAGGAAGAATTATATCAATATTAACAATAACTACAGATAGAAATTCAAAAACAATATGACTGCATTTTCATAGAAATCATTATTTTGAATGTCAAATAATTTTTATTATTTTAAATCTCCGATAAATTTTGAAAAGATTTACAATTAAATTTTAAATATTGAACTTTAAAATTTAAGCAAATTACAGTATCGCCACACACACAATAATTTTTATTATTAAATTGAATTATTGATTTTTTATTTTGCTAATTTTTAAATGGAAAGAAAATTATCATGAGTTTTTGATTCTTTGTTTTAATAATTGGGATTCAGTTCTCTTTTCAATAAACTAAATCACAGTGATATGATAAATATTAATTAGAATCAAATCTTTTCATTAAGATAATTATTTTTTATTTTCATACTCTTATTTTGATAATAAGAAAATACTTTAATCTTAATAATATATCAGATCTATAAATATTAAAAAAATTTAGATTTGATAATATTGAAAAGAAAATGAATTATATATATTATAATTAATATAAATAAAATTTGATATTTTCAAAAATAATACTAATAAATTAATAGAAATACATCATATCTAAATAAATATAAAAATAAAGGGTTATATAAAAAAAAATGATTTAAGATAAATTCGATTTTGAAAATTTATGCATCGATTCTATATTTTGCTCAAAAGAGTTGTGTTAGTTAAACCATTTCAGGGTTTTTGTTGGAGTTTGTATAGATTATTTAAGGATAGAATAAAAATTTATTAATGATGGGGGAGATCCAGATGATTTATTAGAAAAGAAATGCCATAACATAGATTGCAAATTATGGCACTTTAATAATGAAAAATTATAAGATTAATTATAAAAATAACCCGTTAATGGTGTGTTTCCATTTAATTTATGTCCTAAAGGTTGTAATTAATAAGATTGTAAACTTTTGCATAGAGAATGGGCATAAAATATATGTGTTAATTTTATTTTTAACAAATGTAGAAATTAAGAAAAATGTGAATTTTAACATAAAAATTGGGCATCTTTGAAAGAAGAAGCTTATGGTTGTTGTTAAATAAAAGCAACTACTCCTGAATTATTATGTGAAAAAGAGATGTGCAATTGCAATTAACATCCTGCATTTTTATGAGATTATTGCATTTTATATATAAAGGGATGGTGTCCAAGAAAGTAATGTTTGAAAAATCACATTGAATGGGAAAAGATTAATCGTAAAAAAGGATAATAAAATGCTTTAAAATCTTGTATTATTCTAAAATAAGAATAAAGAAAAAATATTAAATAAATTCCCGATTTTGAAGATTTAGAATTATAATGTTTATGTTAAAGTTCAGAGTTTAGTAATTATAAAAAATGGTTTTCACAATAAAATATTATTGATGTAGTTTTTATTATGGATTTAACAGGTTCTATGAAACCTTGGAAAGATATTATGGAAAAAACAATTGCTAAAATAATTGATAAGTTTTTAAAATCTATAAATGGTTATTAAATTAGAGTGGCTTTTGTAGGATATAGAGATTTTTGTGATAAGGAGAAATTCTATTTGTATAATTTTACAAAAAAAGTTCAATAAATTTAAGATTTCATATTTCAATTAGAAACTAAAGGAGGAGGAGATGAAGCTGAGGATGTAGTAACTGGATTTGAATAAGCATTAAAACTCAACTTTTCTCATCATCCAGAAAGTTTATTATGTACTTTTTTACTTGCTGATGCTCCTTGTCATGGAAGAGATTATCATAATATAAAATCAGATGATTTAATAAATAAAATGCCAAAAAATTATTTTGAAAAAGTATTAGAGAAATATAAATAAATAAAATAGAATAATTTCTTATGTTGTATTAAAATTAACAATAAAACAGATATTATGTTTCAAAAAATGAAAACTGTCTTTCCTCTTATAATTATAACAACAGAAAAAAAACCAGAAGATTTAAGTGATTTAGTTAGCTTTACATTAAGTCATTCTGTAACTGAATCAAGAAGATTAAAAGACCTAACCAATAAACAATTCTTATATTTTAAAGCCAAATATGAGAAATTTAAATTAGACACAATTACAGATATTATAGAACCAAATAAGGAGTATTGGGAACTTTATAATTAGTTTGTTGAAACTTGTGTAATAATTGGTGAGACTGGTCTAAAAGTGACATAAGATAAAAATGAATTAAATAAAGATAATAATAATTCATCAATTTATATTTTTAAGGCTTTTGATGCTATTAATAATATAGAAATAATTTTAAAACTTCCAAAAGTATTAGTTGATAATGACGGAAATAATAATTAATAATAGATTTAAAATGCTGAAGAATAAGCAAAAGTATGGTTTTATACTTCTGCATATGCTTGCTAAATGGCCTACTAATTTAATTGCTAATTAAAATAGGAAAATATATTAGATGAAATGTTACCTATTTTTTACCCTCATCCAATTTTATATCAATTAAATAGTCCATTTTATGGAGTCTTTTAAATATATGGTGAAACCTTTATTAATTTCTAATACAATTTTGAATAATACACCTCAAATATTAATTAATGTAAACCAGATAATTATTTTTTTTCAGCATTTAGTCACTTTTCATTTGAATAGAGTGAAAAACTTTTTGTAATTACAGATTTACAAGGATGCAATAATCTTCTATCCAATCCTTCTATCTAAACCAGTTAATAATGGTCATCTATTTTAGATTAAAATTCAAATAATTAAAAAGAATTAGGAATTCTTAATTTTATACAACATCAACACAAAAATTGTAGTTACTTATGTTAAAAACTAAATCTAAATAAACTATAACTAAATAATAATCTAGATCTAAATAAATGCTCAAATGTGCAACTTTAACATAAATGTGGAATTTGTAATCTTTGTGGCGAATTTGTTTACGAAAACTTCGATAAGACTTTGTTAGAATAGGAAGATCAAATTTATGAAAAAAAAAAATTTATATTTTAATGTGATTATTGTTTAACTAATAGAGCTGCTCCAATCTAATTAGCATGCATGTGTTGTAAGAAGATTCACATTATTGATTATCCTTCGAAGCGTTTTAAATAGATGTAATTCTTAAATTTGTGTCTTGAATGTAAATAAGAATGTTATGGATCCAGAAAACCAGAGTGTCATTATTGTAAGGAAAAATGTCAGAAGTTAATAAAAACACTTCAAATCAATGATTAAACTATTTATGTTTGCGAAAATGCTTATCGGTATCTTTAAGCTTTTTCGTGCAAAAAATGCAATAAACCATATAATATGGAAAGTATTATTTCAGTTGATGATTATACTCAAAAAATGTTTATCTGTTGTTGATAAACTTGAAGAATTGATTTTATAAAAATCATATATAATAAATTCATTTTGTTCAAATAGACATATTATCAAATTCTTTTTCTTAAATTTTCCTAAAATAATTTAAATATTATTTTATCAGAAATCATGGAGTTTATTAATAATTTAGCTCTTCTCAAACTATAATAATAAAATGAATATATAATTTATTCAGTTTTCTTCTAAATATTTCCCTATACCTTCCAAAATGGAATGCATATTTTTTTATGTTTTATTTTAGAATTATCAGAATTACTATTAATTTTTCAAGAAACTCTCAAATTTTATGAATGTTTAAGTATTATATTGTATTTATATAAGGAAATTATAATTATTACTGTTACGTTATATAAACTTATGGTCAATATTGAGTTTGCTTTTGATTAACTAAGTATAAATAGCAAGTTGAGATGATTTAATTGAAATGCCTATAAAATTAAAATTATTTCTTTTTAATTACTATATCTGTAGATTTGATTTGCTGGCTGATTAGTAAGAAAGATTTTGTTGATAAATTTATTTTTTAACCGAGTAAAATAGAAATATAAAATTTGACATAATTATAAAAGTTATTAATTATATTTAATTATTTTTAGCTTTTAGATAAATTATCTAAATTTATTTTGTAATAATTAATATTCTATCTGATAATAAATTGGAGAAATAAATGGATAGCTTAAAATCTTGTTAAAATTATGATTAACTTAAGTTATTATTAATATTGGAAATAGCTAGGATTTTAGAATAATCATAAGTGTTCCATTTCAATATTTTATTAGATTCATTCAATTAATCAAGTCTTTTTTAAATTGTATGATTATTAGAAACATTTAATGTTAAGATGATATAACAACTGTAATTAAATTTAAAATTAAATTCTGAAAAGGTGGGTGAAGGTCAATTGTTATTATATAAAAGGTGAGTTGAATATATCTGATGTTTTAGTATACTTTAGCATCTATACACTTGCAAGATTAATAGTATAGTGATGAATTAAACAATGAAAAGCATTTACTAAAAATAGGATAATTTAAAAACATTTATTAAATAGTTACTGAATGTTTAAAAAGATTAACAGTTAGTGATTAAGGATATGGTTATAGTAATGAATATAAATTTAAAAATTAATGCTATAAAACTATGAATAATAATTAGATATTTTTTTGGTGAGAATTATATTAAAGTATTAGTTTATAATTTTTTAAAGATATTAAATAAGCCGCAGAATGTATATTTGATATTTAAGGAGATAAGCATGAGTATTTAGATCTATTACAAATAAAAATTACTATTCAATAAATCACAAGATTGGTAAATAATAAATGCGAGAAAAAAGGATATCCTTATCCTATATAACTTAGACAATAATTTCTGATGATATGAAAATTGCGGATTAATTTAAAATGAATCTTGAAACTCAAACTTTTAAATCAGGGCTACATGTATATATAAATTATAAATTCAGAATATAGAAATAACAAAACTATTCGAGGATGCTAGAAAAGGCCATCTATTTTGAAGCAGAATATTTGAATCAAAAGAACGCATTAATATTTTAATATTATTATTAATATAAAAGTAAAATCAATTGCAAATCTCCTATAACAAGAATAAATTATCTTCAATAAAAATTTTAATTTGGGATTTATATAATAATTTTATCCCAGATTTTAATAATAGAATATGTGATAATTTATAATGAAACAATAAATGCTAATTAATAATAAATCAAAATGAAAGTTAGGGACTTAGTAATTAAATAAGATTAGTTAATTGCCTATAAGTTATAATTATTCTATAAGCATTTTATTTATACGATTCATGTTTTTGTATTCAAGAAACTAAGAAATGGGAAATCTATTGGAAATTATTTAAGGTATTTGTTAAGACTAATAATTTATGTGAATATTTAAAAAAATTACGAATAGTTACAAAATATCTTATGATAAGAAAGTTCAACTATACCTCATATTAATCGGATGTTCATCACTAATAAAAGTAAATTTGTTAATACCATTAATTATTTTAATTCTACAAGTTGTTCTATTGCTTAGAACCTTATTTTCCAAGGATTAATTTGGTAATTAATCAAACCTATTTAGAATGTAACTAAAATTTAAAATTAGGTAGAGGAAATACAACTCTTAATGAATGTTATTTGTTGCATTATTTTAATTCATCTTATCAATATTCTAATAAGTTTTTGGAAATCTTAAAAACTGAATTTGAAAATTCAAATTAATTATAAAAATATAAATGTATAAAATTAACAATAATATTCCAATTAAATTAAATCATTTATATAATATTTCATATGTTTCGTATTTCTGTATCTTTCCTTTCCAATATACTAAATATTATCCATTATCTGTTATATTTTTGTATAGATTCCAATTCTGACAATACAATTCTTCAACAATTGATAAATATCTACTCTTTCTGAATGATTTAAGCTTAATGAATGAATACAAGAAGTATGCTTATCTAAAGAATATAGAAATTTTAATTCATTATTATTCACAGCTACTATCCATACTTTAATTGATTTATCTTAATTACAAGATAATAATTAATCCTCTTTTTATGTTAAGATTATACAAGAAATCCAATCCTTGTTTTCTTTGTATGGTTTAGAACTTTATCATTGATTATTATTCTTATACTTACACATTCTAATGAATTTATCTTCAGATCCAGAAACTTTGAACCTATCGATTATAAATTTAATATCCAATCCTTTTTAAATGATCTAAATATTAAAAAAAATGACCTCAAAGTAAAGACTTGACTGAATAACTCAATATTTTAATTATTTTATTTAATTAGATAATCTAATATTTCTAATGATTTTTTTCTAATATCTTAAATTATTTTGGTCATTGTTAATTTAACAATTATTTATTTAATTCTTTAGTTAAAGGTGATTTCTAAAATAATATGCCATATCAAAAGACAATTAAGGCATAAAACGAGAAGAATAAAGAATTAAAAGATCTTTTTAAGGTACAAACAAAGTAAATCATTTTCAACCAATTAGATAGTTGATTCATTAAATTTTTTTAAAATCTTTTGTTGTAAAAATTTTAATCAAATCTTGAAATTTATCTTGATAAACTACTTTTTGAAAATCTATAGAAAGCTATATATTGAAATTGAGAAATTAGATTTTACGAGCATTTATTATATATAACAATTCAAAATCTTAATAGAAAGGAGACATTAATTTCTTCCATAAATTAAGCAATATAAGAATTAACAACCTGAATTAGATTTTATCCTTAGAAGTCTATTCATAATTTGATTCCTTTTCAGTTATTTGATAAGGAATTTATGATTTGAATAAAGCGTATTCAGCTAAATAAACTAAGTTTAGAACTTATTGAAAATTAAATGAAGAAAATCATATTGAGTTAATGATTAAACATAACAACTTTGAATAATACTTATTTATATATTAAAATTATGTAATGAAAATTATTTTATCCAAATGAATAGAAAATTAGTATAAATTGAAATATTAATTAAAAATTTAAGTTTATGATTAAGGCAATTTAAACGAATGTTCAATGCTTATTACAATTAATAAATAACTAACTTTGACTTTTTCTACTTTAGTATTATTTTATTGATGATTTTTAATATGATTGACTTCAAATTTATCTCAGCAATCTTTATAGCTTCTTAATTTAATATTTATTAAATTAAATTTATTTTGAAAAATTTTTATATTGAGGTGAGTAGTAAAATATTTCGATGTTTCCATTTTTTTCAATATCTCTTTCATATAATTCAAGAGCCTTTTCTTATTATTTAAAAAAAAGGAATGGATTGTCTACGATGAAATATAAATAATTAAAAATCTTTATGGAACTGATCATCAAATTCCTTTGGCACAATTTAATTATATCAATCAAAGTATTTTAATGCTTCCTTTTTTTATAAATTAGAATAATAATAATTATAACCATAGTTAACTTGGGTTAATAAAAACTTAATATGTAAGCTTAGTTAGTAACTAAGACGTATTACTTTCAATGGATTTACATATAAATTATTCCTTGGTGTTACTTATATAAATTCTACTTTTTCTACTATTCTATTTATTTCATGATTATTGTCTTATTATTATTATAATATTGATGTTATTTCTATTAGATTTTCTAATCAAAAAATTAATATATTATTTTATAATTTAATTTCTGTTTAATAGCATTTTTAAATTTATTTACAATTTTATTTACTAAATAAATATTCATCTTTTTTTTCATTTAAATAGTCTATCTTTTCTTTAAAATACTATAGCAAACTTACTCAATACAGCTTTTAATTCATTTTAACAAATGATATCAAAAATTATAAATAATTGATTTCATAAAAATTACTCAAATTTATGCAAATAAATAGGTATTACTCTATCCCTTTTATCTTTATCTACATTCAGATTTTTTTTAAATTTTAAATCTTCATGTTTCAATTTTTCTTGAGAATTTCTAACAATTTTATTAGAATCGCGGTTGAATATTAAACTCAATATTATTCATTTAGTCAGTTTATAACATTTTTTATTTGATTTCACATATTATTGATTTATCAAATGATGATTAACAAGTAACCTTCTATATATTCATTAAATTAAATTGTAATTGTCTGAAAAAATTTAAGTTAGTTTTAGAGAGTTTAACTAAAAGAAAAGTTCATCTTACTTACAATTATAATCAATCATATTAAATAAAATAATTGTATGAGTTTTATTTGTCTATTATTTATTAATAAATAGAAAAAATTAATTTATTCATAAAATTCTTTTAAATAATCTCCAATTTATTTTAAGGGGTTTAAATATATTTAAGAGAAGAATGAAAAAATTTAACTTTTATTTCTTCACTTTAAAAATAAGGAAAGTTAAATAATAAGAAATTGAAGAAATTAAAATTATCTGTATTGAGTGGATAAGGAATATAATATTATTTTTCTTTGAAAATTTATGAGTAATTAATTAATCTGGATTATAATAATTAAATAAATACAGAAAATATATGATTTTAATTTAAAATAAATAAAAATATTTTTTATTTCTAATTTTATAATGAATGATATTCAATACTCTTAATATCTTCTAATTCGAATTTCTCATGTTATTCTATCTCATGTTACCAAATATTCTCCATCATGAATTAATTTTCCATTGACTGTATTTGTACAAAAATCAATAGATTGTTAAGTGACAAGTTCTCCCTATTCATTCTTGCTAATAAAATTGATATAAATAACATTTTTATTGATAAGTACATTTTTTGATTTATTAAAATCTTATGGAAAAAGATATCATTTGTATTTGTAATATCATTTAATTAAAAAACACTCATATAAGATTGTTTGGATGGTTAAAATGTAAATTGATTATCACTTATAAACATAATTTAAATCCAATATGTTATTCCATTAATCTTAAAATTTCGATGATTTTTCTAAGACTAATATAAGTTTGTCATCTCCACATGAAATAACTCTGTTTTCACTTTCATTGAAACTAAGAGCATTAACGTAATCTTTATGTTCTTAAATTGTTTAATAACAAGACCATTCACTATCTTTATTAGGTTTGAGCCAGAACTTAATTTTTTTATCTCTACTACCAGTTATCATTCTTATTTAAAATTGAACATAATATACCAGAAGAATGTCTTAATAATTTTTATTAAAAAAACCACTTTAAATCTTACTTTTAAATTACAAACAAATAATTTACTATCAGCACTACCTGAAATAAACTATTTATTATTATTTTTCATAAAGTTAATTGTTAAAACTATTACATTATGTTCATTCAAAGTTTAAATAAATCAAATAACTTTATTTATCTATTGCAACCATAATTGAATTCTAATGCTCCACAAAATTGTTATTATTTGACTGGGTTATTTAAATTAAATTATATACATATTTGAATTTCTTAGAAATAGGTGATCCTTATTAATCTTTCTTTTACAATTATGACTCTAAATTCTTTACTTTTTACAATAACACTTAAATTTGATTATTAAATAATTAGTTATAAGCTTTAACTTTTAATTGGGAATCTATTTATTATTTTAACTAAATAGATAAATTTTAATTTAAATTATTTTGTTATTAAAATTAATTTTGATTGTTTTGTGTACTCAATTCTTATATCAACTAGCTATTTGAGTTTTTTGAGATTGATTTTATCTCTCCAAAGGTAATTTGAATTACTTACATCTAAGTTGGATATTAATTCTTATTAATTAATAAAATCTGATTGAAATAATGTTTCATTTTGATCAAATTATTCTTAACCTTCTTTTTCAATTTCACTTTGAACTATATCTTTCTCAACTTGCAACAATCTTTCATCCATTAAATCTTGTGATTTACTATTATTAAAATATGGATATACCTATAATAAAAGAATTTAACTCAGAAGGTCTTAAAATTTCTATTTTTTAACTTCTGAATTATTCTTTTCTAAATCTTAGATATTCATAGGAAATATTTTAAAATAAATAAGATTATTTTGAAGAATATTTTTTACTCAATTAAAAGTTTTTTCTTATTATTATTTAGTTAATACTAATTAACTTTATTTTACATTCCAAAATTATTTTGTTTACGGTTAATTAATTGTATCTTAAATCTAGTATTTAAAGTAATATAATAAAGAATATGTAATGTAATGCTTATTTATATTATGGAAGTGTACTCTCATATTTTTAATTCAAATAATTAAGTTGCTATTATTTTGACCATTAATTTATAAATTAATAATGATAAACAAAATCAACAACAATCACAAGTTTCTTATTTTATCAAAAGTTTTGTTATCTTTTTAGTTGATAAAGTTAGGATTTTTAAAATTAATGTAAAGATTCTGTAATCTTCAATTCAAATTTAATTTTTTTTAATTAAATTATATATTTTAAAATTATTAATAAAACACAAAATATGAGGTTTTTTTATTTTTCTTTTTTTCTAAAAATCGTCACATTTTTGTATTCTGGTAAAACTCTTAACTTTTTCAAAGCTTTCGTCAATATTTTTCTTATTAAAAGTTAAACCAATATGCTATTATTTTACTATGATTTGGATTCTTACAATTTTTCTTTATTCTAATATCAAAATATTGATTAAATTGAAAAATTAGGCATTAAGAAATAAAATCTTTAAGTTATTGGAATAAATTTTTGAATTTTATAAAACAAATTCTTTTTTGTTAATGCGGTAAATAAATGTTCGAATAATTTAAATTGAAATAAAGATATTAAAAGAATCTACAAAAAATTAACGCACTTCAGAAGATTAGAAATATCTAAAGCAGAGTTAATTTGAGTAGAAACTGATTAGAAATTTAAAGATATTGAAAATAGTTTAGATAATAAAGTATATGAATTTTGGTAAAATTTCATAAATATTTTTAGGAAGATTTGAGTATTGTTTTAGATATTTTAAATTTAAAAAACGAAATAATTTTATTTGAAGTAAATATAAATCATTTAGTTTGAATTAGAACAACAAAGGTTTTAGACAAATTTAAAGTATAAAAATACTTAATAATCCTTGTAAATTATTGAAGCTAAATAAAATCAAATTATTCACTCTTTATTTATTTCGAAAGTAAGATGTTTACTCGTTAATATTGATATTTTATGATTTTATTTTCTATCAAAGCTTGAAAAAATTTTAAATTAGATGAATTTACTTCTAATGATCATCTACTTTTCTATGAGTCTAATTGAAAATTCAAAAATGGAAATTTTTTTAAACCTATAATATGCAAAAAAGAGATAGGTATAAAAAAATCTTCTTATTTTTCATATCATATATATTCCATTATGGGTCTTTTTTTTATTTATTCATATTGCTCTTTAATGATGAATATAAATTACTAATTTATATTTGATTGGCTTACTATAAAATAATTACATGAAAATATTTAAACAATAGCATTTAATTCTATAAAAGAGACAACAAGTTTTTATATTCTCAATTGAATTTTTAATGTATTTATATACATATACAAAAAAAGTAGCATTCTCTTTATAAAATCTCAAAGTTAAACGCTGAAAAGCTTAACCTTAAATATACTTTAAACTAATGATGACCTATAAATTTAAATATTCCATGTTGTAATGTAAACCACTTTTGGAGTTGTGAAATTTCCTTGTGTTGCTTGAATATTAGTCCTTTAATTTATTTGTTGATTAGAATATAACTCTTATTAATTAATTAATCTCCATCAAGAATAAAATCAGCAAACCTTTAATAAAACTTTCTAAATATCTTCTATTGCTTCATCATAAAGATCTGTAATAAACTTACTAATTTTTATCCTATTAATATATCATTTGTTCAATTTTGACTAATTCTATAAGGAAATTATATATTACTGACTTTATTATTACGTTATGAAAATATAAATTACAATTATTTTATGAATTTGAACAAAAAAGTTTATTTATTAAATAATGCTTATTATTCGTGTCTATTTTTTTTATAAGACAAATTGACTTAAAATGTATATAAATCATATAAAATAATGTGATCATATTTTTCAATTTTAAAACAAAAATGAGAGCAGATACAGAAAATGATTTAAGATAGTTTATCTATGAAATAAGAGGAATTGCCTAAAAAATGCATACAAAACGATTCTATTTACAATTGAATTTTGTATGATGGGAAATAAATTTAATAAATTATGAGACGAAATGATTCTCAAATTTTCAAAAATTATCTAGAATAAAATGAGGATCTTCATTTTCTTCATTTAGATACAATAATTTTGATTCAATAATTAAACTCAATAACAATTAATTGATTTTTTTAAAATAAATACACTAAGATTGATATCAAATTATTAAGAATTAAAAAATTATGATTTTTCTATTGAACTAAAATAAAAGAATCTCTTTCTCTATTATATAATTGGAAATTAAATTGATTGTCAAAATATTAAATCTTAACTACTCAGAGAAAATAGATGCTTTATAGTTTAGTACAAAAGAAAATAATATGAGAATATGTAATAATCAATCATTCATCTTCTTTATATTAAGTGTTCAAGATGGTTATTGAGAAAATATATAGATAAATCCTTCATCAATTTACATCTAATTAGTTTTAAATTGTTTATAATTTGAAAAATCTATTATATTTATATTTGATACATTATATACATTATAGAGATTTTTTAAAAACATAATATAGTTTCTGAAAGTTTCATTAAAATTCTCTTTGATCAAATGGATATGATTTTCAGATTACAATTTATATATCATCTACAGGATAAATATCATTAATAATAATTAACAAGCAAATAGAAAAATAAATTTGGTAAACTAACATTTAATGTAATTAAAAATAAAAATAATTTAAACAAAAATTTTCACTTTTAGTTCTCTTGATTATAAATCTTTTTAAAATTGTTTTTTCTTCTTAATATGTTATTAAAATTCTGTAGCATAACTACAATCATATAGAAAACAGCTGGAATGGAAATAGCTGAAAAAATTATCCATCTTACATAAGATTAAAGTAAATCATTATAAATCCTCCAAAATAAATCTAAAATAAAAATTCTAAAATACCGAAAAAACAATAATAAGCAAACATTAATCAATTTTATTAAACCATTTGACAAAGCAAGGTTAAGTCTTATGTTGAAATATAAGTACAATACCTAAACATTTTTAAATACAGTGCTCAAACCTAGTATAAGCAATTTAGCTTAAGTGAAAATTACAACATAATTAGATGTATATTTTAAATTTAATGATTAATAATTATATTGAAATATTGATTATAGATAAACCTGAAGTGGATAATAATAAATAATACATCCAAAAATTGAAATCAATATAATTATAAAATGGAAATCTTCATAACATTGTAAATCATTTTTTCTGATCAGCCCATAAGGATATTTAGAATAATCATAAATAAAAAAATCTATTTAAATTTTCATAATAAATTTAAATTAACCATTTATAATTTGAAGGGATTATTAATAAAGTATTTTTTTATGGGAAAGATACAATTTGATAATTTACATCTAAACCATAAGTATTATTCTCTATTTATTTAGATTCCAAAAATCTTAATAATATATACAAAATTCCCAAGATCAAAGCAATTGTAAGCAATACTATATAGTAAATTGAGTTAGAATATTCAACTGTTTAAGATTAGAATTAAATTGTTTTCATCTAACCATGCAACTTTTGATCTAAAGCAAATTATGATAGAGCCACCATTTCATATAATTTTATTAAGATTCTAAAATATTGGGAATTGAAATATAAAATTTATATTCTTATTATTCTTATTTAAGTTCATCAATTTTTTTAGATTTATTTTTAATAATATCAATAATTTCTTAAGCTAATTATTTCCATTGTGGAGTATCTCTAAATTAATTTTATGGTTATAAATTGCTGATAAGTAATTTATTTTTTTAATTTTTCAAAGGATTTTTTCGGAGTGTGTAAATTTTTTTATTGAAAAATAAACTGCAAAATTCCAGAACATCTTATGAGATAAGATTATTGAGTAATAATATGAATTAATTGTAAATATTTTTAATTAGAATTGCTTAGTAAATTGATGAAATTTTACATCACCCTACCTTAGATTGAAGGAACTCAGCATTTGAATGTTACAGGTAAGATGATGAAATAGAGGAAAAAAAATTTTCAAGGAAGGCAATTTAATCAAAATATCAACAACAGAGATACAAAGATATATTAATAAATATAAAGAATACTGCCTATCTAAAAATCAGAATTGTAGTTATTGTTGAGGTTTAAATTTGAAGACATCAAAAAGTTTGTGTTTTTTAGATGAGAAAGAAAGATAAGTANCAAACATTAATCAATTTTATTAAACCATTTGACAAAGCAAGGTTAAGTCTTATGTTGAAATATAAGTACAATACCTAAACATTTTTAAATACAGTGCTCAAACCTAGTATAAGCAATTTAGCTTAAGTGAAAATTACAACATAATTAGATGTATATTTTAAATTTAATGATTAATAATTATATTGAAATATTGATTATAGATAAACCTGAAGTGGATAATAATAAATAATACATCCAAAAATTGAAATCAATATAATTATAAAATGGAAATCTTCATAACATTGTAAATCATTTTTTCTGATCAGCCCATAAGGATATTTAGAATAATCATAAATAAAAAAATCTATTTAAATTTTCATAATAAATTTAAATTAACCATTTATAATTTGAAGGGATTATTAATAAAGTATTTTTTTATGGGAAAGATACAATTTGATAATTTACATCTAAACCATAAGTATTATTCTCTATTTATTTAGATTCCAAAAATCTTAATAATATATACAAAATTCCCAAGATCAAAGCAATTGTAAGCAATACTATATAGTAAATTGAGTTAGAATATTCAACTGTTTAAGATTAGAATTAAATTGTTTTCATCTAACCATGCAACTTTTGATCTAAAGCAAATTATGATAGAGCCACCATTTCATATAATTTTATTAAGATTCTAAAATATTGGGAATTGAAATATAAAATTTATATTCTTATTATTCTTATTTAAGTTCATCAATTTTTTTAGATTTATTTTTAATAATATCAATAATTTCTTAAGCTAATTATTTCCATTGTGGAGTATCTCTAAATTAATTTTATGGTTATAAATTGCTGATAAGTAATTTATTTTTTTAATTTTTCAAAGGATTTTTTCGGAGTGTGTAAATTTTTTTATTGAAAAATAAACTGCAAAATTCCAGAACATCTTATGAGATAAGATTATTGAGTAATAATATGAATTAATTGTAAATATTTTTAATTAGAATTGCTTAGTAAATTGATGAAATTTTACATCACCCTACCTTAGATTGAAGGAACTCAGCATTTGAATGTTACAGGTAAGATGATGAAATAGAGGAAAAAAAATTTTCAAGGAAGGCAATTTAATCAAAATATCAACAACAGAGATACAAAGATATATTAATAAATATAAAGAATACTGCCTATCTAAAAATCAGAATTGTAGTTATTGTTGAGGTTTAAATTTGAAGACATCAAAAAGTTTGTGTTTTTTAGATGAGAAAGAAAGATAAGTAGTTGAATTTAGTCTTAGAAGACACAAAAATTAAATTTGGTATAACATCAAAATAATATATTCTCACACCTTCTGGTTTAATCTTTTTTAATATTCTTATATTCTAAAAGTAATTTACAGAATCCAATGTCTTAAATCCAATTTATTATTTTTTACAAGATCTAGTATCTCTTACTATAATTAAGCTCAAAAGTCAATAAATATAAGTTAGACTTTCCCTATTTATTCAATCAATTTTTTTATTTAAATTTAAAAATCTATTTCACTAACTAAATCCACTTAATTTAAGTTCTCTTATTGTTTATCTTACAAATTATCTTCCTTAATCCTTTATATCTATAAATGAAGAATTCATGATCGAAACTTTGACTACTTTTTTCCGCCTGAATTCTTTATTTATAAAATCATCATTCCAAACATATCTTCTAGATAAATAATTCAATAATCATAGAGGACTAAAATTCGGAATGCTATTTAAAAAAAAAATAGAGAATGAGAGGTTTAAATATGTGTTATTAATGATAACTTATTTACATTTTAAAATAATTATAAAGAAAAAATGTATGTTAATAAAATATAAATTATATTGTTATTTTAATCAGATGTTCTTTAGTATTCAAAAATTTTTTATGATTATTAATGATTAAAATTAGGTATATTTATTTTTTAAACTAATTTTGGATTTTTATATTTTTATTAATCTCATCTAAAATCATCTTAATTAAATTAGAATCGAATAATTAGATTACAGCTTATTTTTATCATTCTTAATAAGAATTAATATATTTAATTCTTTGTTTAACTAAATTGTGTCTTTAGTTTGATAAACAAAAGTTGGATGAAATCTTAATATTTTGAATAATCGATAGAGCAAGATAAAGAATAAGCTCCTCTAAGAAGTATTTAGTGAAGATATTCTTAATAGTATTTCTTTCTTCAAGAATGTTTCAATTTTAAACTTTGTAACATTCTTTTTCTTTCTCGAAATTTTTATAAATATTTGCCTCAAAATTCAAATTTTAAAATAATAATAAAAATTAATAAATAAGTCTTAGGCAACTTTTTCTGAACTAATATTAATTTTATAGCCAAATAACAAAAGAATATGTATATCATCAAATCTTCCTTTATTGTTTTCTAACTATTATAGTAATTTTATCTAACACCATATATTAATCATCAATATGGAATTATTATTTTTGAAACTCATATCAAGTTCTGTTTATTAATTAAATTTTTTAAGTTAATAATCAAAAATAATTTGTTCATGTTTTTAATATTAAATTTAATAGATTTAGATAATGTAGATCAGATGTATTTAAGCTGATCATCAGAATCAATATATAATAGGGATTTGTATTGAGAGCAACTGCCTCTATCAAAGGCCTTATTGTCATGCTTGTTTACCAAATCATGTTTAGCACATTCATATGTTAATAACTTTGGAAAGTTTAAATGAATGGTTTAAACGAAGAATGATCATTATTAAGGATGTATAAAAGTATTCTTAAGAGTGTAAATCAGTCCTTGATAGTCTTATAAATATATTTATTCCTTATCTCGACATTAATATAGAATAATTAGGAATCTCTTAGATTGATAACATTATTAAGTGTTTTTGCTAAATTGAAGTTTGTGAGTAATAATTATTAAAACAGCTTGAATAATCAATCTAATAGGTTAAATAAATTATAAATAAAATATTAAAAAAAATAAAGAGTTAGATAGATTAAGAATAGAAAATTGATCTATATGTTTAATAACCTCAAATTTTGAAACCCTTGATATAAAAATAAAACAATCATGATTGCTACTTAAAATCAATTCTAAAGCCATTCACTTTTGACCTCATTAAATAAAATTCAATTAAGTAAGATGAAGGGTGTTATGCAATTGCTTTTAATAAAGATGGGATGAGAAGAGAAGATAAAAGTATATCAACATAACGAAGGGAAACTGAATCAAGTATAAGTATTAAGTGAACGTACAAATAATATGTCTACTTTGAATTTCAGGAGGAATACAAATAATTTTGTATCTGGAAGTTATGATAAATTAATTATAATATGGTAGGTGTATAGCAATAATTAATGGTATTGCTAATAGAAATTGAATGGACATTCAAATTGGATATTATGTTTATTGTTGAATAATAATGATGATTTAATAATATCAGAGAGTGAGGATAATACAATTAAATTCTGGATTAAATAGAATTAATGGGTGTGTTAATAAACCATAACTTATCATACTGGTATAGTGTTTTCATTAAGCTTAAATGATCAATAAAGTAAAGTGATATCTTTTTCAGATGATTATTAAATATTAGTAATTGAATAATCATAGTTAGATAGAAAGTGGAATGTTATTTAGAAGATAAAAGTAGATAAGTATGGACTAAGATTATGTTTTATAAATGATAACTAATTTATATTCTAATCTTTTTGTTAAGAATAAATGCAAATATATGAAATGGATAATAAAACTAAGTAGTATAGGAGGATGAATGAAATTACTATTAAGTGTGGTTCTAATTTTGATCATTATTCATTTCCATAATAATACGTAAAATCAAAATGCCTGTTGGTGAATAAAAATGGTAAAAGTGTTAATTTAATGAGAAAGAAAGAAAATGGTGACTTCATAATTGAAAAATCTATTGAATTTGATGATTAACGTATTTATGGATAATTAGGTTAAGACAGAGAATATTTGATCACTTGGGATAATAAATCAAAGGAAATACAAATAAGAAAGTGTAAAGAGAGATGAAAAAAAATGAAATATAATTAAAAAATTTTCAATATTTATTTTCTTTAAATATTGTCGGGCAATTAAAAAATCATAAGGAAAAAAAATGGAGAGAAAAGCAAAAAATTTGGAAAAGAAATAATAAAACATGGTTTAGTATTTCAAAAGTTTTTTAAGTTTATCCTCAAATTATGTTTTTTCAAATAAATAAAGAAACTAAATTGAATTTGGTCAATCTTTTCAAAATAACTATATTCTCATAATATTAATCCTTCCAAGGTCCCAAAAAGTAGCCCAAAAATTTAAGCTACCGTATCTTCATCATAAAACCTTAAACTTACTTTATATAATGGTGGATTTTATCCATATTTTATACATTTTTTCCAGCATTTTCCCCATATAAATAAATAGGTAGCAATGTGTAACAATAATCACAATATCATATTATTTGATTTAATAGACTTATAAGTTAATTCTGACAAAAAATAGATTTTTATTTTTGAAATCTGTCAGGAATTTGTAAATGAATTATATTTAATCTTTCATCATATGAACCATCACCACTAATAGCTACTTCAATACACCTTATAAACATAAATATTAAATTGATATAATATAATACTTGCAATAATCCTTGCTTATATCAATTCTTTCTCCTTCTTTTTATCCTAAAAAATTATATTTGTTATTTCTGAAAATAATTCAATTGTTTTATTTTGCATTCATTAGTTCTCAATTATCCTTCAAATTATATATATCTTATATAATCAAAATTATAGTTTATTATTTTTTCTCATCTTTTTTAACTTTTTAAGTATTTTCTGTCTAAAATTGTATTAGCTAAACTTTAATATCATATCAAATTTAGAAATTTTCTATATATTTTCAAAAAAATTAAATCAACTAAGATCTGCATCAGGATTTTTTTTGATAATACTCAATCGAATATTGATACATTTTTTATTATTTTATTTTAATATGCATCACTACCTTTAATAGGTAAAAAAAAGAAAATACAGAAATTGAAAGAAAAGAACTGGATATTGAAAATGATCATTTTTAGAGTGCCCTCAAATTTTAGGTTATTTTGGAAGAAAAAGGTATTTAGCTTTTAAAAGTGCAATAGGAGAAGATTATTCCTAAAAACTAACTCAAGGTTAAAATAAGAAGATTTTATTACTAACATCGCTGTAAAATAGATACATTTTAAGATATTTTAAATCAATTTTAAGTTAGAGAGAACCAACAAAGTAGAGCATTATTTTCACTCTCCATAAAAGAGTTGATGATTATTTCAAAGTATTTTTATTTTTTAAATGGTTAATTTCAAGAGTATGAATTTAGGGTTATTTCAATTTTATTTTCCTTCTGTTCTACTTTTGCATAAATATGTCGATTTTAAAGTTTTTGGTAGGCATTGTTATTTGGATATATTCTATATGTTTGTTTTGGAATTGTCCATAAATTTATTAGTAAACAGAAATAAAAATTATAGGTAGTTATTTCAGATTTTGAAAATTAAAATTAAAGGATGCTTTACTTTTTGGCTATCCGTAAATAATTTTTTAAATATTTTTTTTTAGGATTAGTTATTACACCATTATATGATTATTTCAAAAGTATTTTAAATA